CAATAATCCTTCTCATTCTCATGCGTTTAATTTTAAACAAAGATTTCATTCAAGTAAAATGAATCAAACATTATAGTATGAATTAGTGTGTGCTTTCAAATTATCTGTCCGATTGCAGTGACCCCATGAATTTAATTAGGGTTTTCTTAGGCAAGGAATACTCAAGAGTTAGTTTTGCCAATTCCTTCTTCTGAATGTAGCCTGGAGTACTAATCAGAACTGACATTGCTTAGTTGCCAAGATCAAATGGCATGTGGTCCCTTCTATTCCAGTTTTCCAACCTTCTTTGCCTGCTGATCTGGGAGTAAGATTCACATGTGGCTTCAGTGACAAAATGTGTTATTTACCAACCTACGTTACACCAGCAACAAGTTACGGTGGCAGCTTTCCTTTTCTGTAAGATCAGAATGAAAATGAGACAATGCAGCATGACAAGCTAGACCAGTTGAAATTCCCTTTTCTAAGCAATTGCTAAAGGTATAAAAGTGACCTCCACTTTTGCTGTGTTATCAGTTAAGAGACAATCTGCAACAGACCAAATGCTTCTAAGGAAATGTGAAAATTGAAGCTTTGAGTATGTTTGAGTCTATTTTATAAGAGACAGCCGGGAGCCATTGGACCTTCCGAACATCTCCCACCATTGTCACTGGCAACCCAAGAACATTCAGGGGGCTGCATGCTTCCCACTTCTGTTTATACACAGCAGGCCTTGTTTTGCTGCCCTGCAAGTTAATGGGAAGTCAATTTTGTTTTCTTCATTAAATGAATGTTGTTGATTTCATATCTGAATATTATCAGGACCACAGCTGTGCAATTTCCCAACAAAGGATGCTTCAAAGATCTTTTTGTAATAGAGAACAAATGGAACGATGTGTGATTTATCCATAGCATTGGGAAGCACAGCTAGGAAGCCACAGTGCTTCTTTATCTGTTAATTTCTAAATATTAGTATGTTTTTAAAGGTACAAAAGAAAACTACATCAATTTTGCTGTGATAAGAAAATGAGCCTAACAACAGGTCCAATCTTTTGCAAAGTTTTATATATTTTCTGTTCTTTTGGTTTGGTACAGGTTGAGCATTCCATATCTGTAAATCCAAAATCCCCTCTAATCCACATTTGGGTGGCCAAGATAATGATAACCTTTGTTTTCTCATGGTTCAGTGTGAACAAACTTTGTTTCATTAACAATTTTTTTTAAATTCTATAGAGGCTATGAGTATAAAGTATATATGAAACATAAATTAATTTTGTGTTGGGACTTTGGTCTCATCTCCAAAATGCGTAATATTCAAATACAGGTATTCCAAAAAATCAAAACACATCTGGTCCCAAGTTTTTCAGATAAGAGATACGTAACTTCTACTAGGAAGAGAGTAGTAAAAGCTAAAAACAACATCCCAGGGTTGTTGAAAGGACACAAGTGTAATAGCAACTGCTATAAAGCATTGATATACAAAATCTAATTCTCCATATGGTGTTGGACTATAAGTCTCACAATACCACATCAATGTTTAGGTTGGGTGGAGGTGATAGGAGTTGTGGTCAAACACATGATCATGAGATTCTCATATCTCATATACAGTGAATACAGACATATTTTTTGAAACTGGACCAATGCATTTGGCAGTTAATACCCTGGATGCCATTTTCAGCTCAGAACATATGGATCTGTGGGCGGAGGTAATCAATACCTCAAAGCTGTCATGGACAGATCACTTTCTGGTCAGGCCTAGTATCACAGCTACAACCTACCCCTGGTCCACTTTCAAAGGCTAACGGATCCTTGAGATTCCAGGAGGCTTTAGAGGATTCTATGGCTGGCATCACCGATGATCCTATTGGATCTCTGGTCAATACGTGGAATCAAAATCAAACCAGCACTGTTGACAAGATTGCTCCAAAACAACCACTCAGACCAGTGACAGAATAGAAACTAAAGGTGAAGAACTGCTTTACATGGGATGTATAAAGAACATCCAATTTTTAACTCGATTGCCAATATGCAGGAGTGGTTTCAGACATGGCATTTCTCCCCACATAGGTGTGAGCTGAAAAATGTCCAAAAACCATGTATGAAAACAAAATGCCTGTGTTATTATCTGAAAAAGCCATTCAAGATCACTTTAGACATCATTCAAGATCAGGGATTTTCTGTAACACCAGAAAAGAAATATGCTAAAAGAAAAAGTTGTCGAAGCAGCCAGTTGTTACATTTAAACAACCTTGTTAGCATTCCCATAGTGATGCAAATCTGCCTCAGGCATCCATGGAACAAATTATCAGTTATTACCAAATTGTGGCATGGAACAAAATGTAGTTCTCTTGAGAACTGTAACGTGAAACATATCAGAAACAAAAGCATACTTGTGCTTCCTTAATAAAATGAGTCATTCTGTAAATGCTTCCCTTTTGTGTGTGGCTAAAGCTGTATCACCAGATAATTTTGTAGGTTCATATGCTTTATAGTCACTGCTAGCTAAGGTTAGTTAAATTTGGAGGGATGGAGGCTATGTCAAGCCTGGCCATTGCAGGAGCTTCCCAAGGGGGAGAATCATGCCTTGCTAGGCAAACGTTTGAAATGGTACTTTGTAAAAGTACAACTTTCACATCTTACCTAGTGTGGCTGGAGGATTTTGAGAGTTGCAAAAAGTAACGTGGACTCTTGCTTCACCCACTTAAAAAAATACTTAGGTGGTAAGTGATCTGTTATTTTACATCTGGTTTTCTTCCTAGTGCTGGAAACAGAACAGTTTCCAGGCCAAGTAGAGAAAGAAAGGAATATTGTTCTCAATTAAGATTCATGTTGTCAGGTTTAGTGTTCTACCCAATATCCCAGGGACTGGGCACCATATTTGTGACCACTGGCCACTACCATTTCTTTCACTCCTGGAAACTTGCTGCAGACCAGCACCAAAAGACTAGCACCAGTCCATCAACCATCACTTTGAGTGGCTTAGGACAAATGCATGATTGTCGGCATACTTGTGGTCTGCTGATTTTTCCTACTGCACGTAAGAGAAAAATTGACAAAAAATTGATTGGATACTTTAAGGTGCAGTAGCCTGTTTTTCTAGTGTGGAATTTCTTTTCCTGGGTGAAGTATGATTAAAGATTTGGCTTTGCTGTTTCGTTGCATCTGTGAAATGTGGCCAGTTATAACCAGGAAAACCCCTTGGGCATAAATTTGCTTTTGAAGGAGCTCTGAAATAGCACGATTTTGTTCAGCTTTGTTTTAAGGGAATTCAGACTCAGTCATCATGATTCCTGATTTCTCAAAAAAGGTCAGAGAAATGGAATCTGCATTCTCATGGAGGCATGATCGCTGCTGTCACCTAGCTGCCCCGTGCAGTCTGTTTTGAAAGCAAACCATCTTTGACATGAACATCTTCACTGTTGAGCAGCTTTTCCTTTCATGTATGTTAAGCTTCACTGTCAAAAAGCAGCTCTTGGCTGCATTCTCTATGATCGCCTTTCATTATTGCTTCTGTAAGTATCAAGCCTTTCAAATGATAAAAAGATTCCAAATCATAGATAATGAACAAATGGTTGGTGAAGGAAAACAGTAATTGATGCTTTCTTCATTGATTCGTTTTTAAAATTGTCATTCATAATATACATACAGTATTCCCAACCAATGTATCTCATTTGGGCATGGATTATATTTAAAATATCAATATTTAATCTTTCATAGGTACTACCAAACACAGCACTCAAACACGAATCAAAGAACATGAAAGGCACTGTGAATTAATTCAACCAGAGAAGTCAGCCATAGCAGATCACTTGATAAACCAACCTGGACATAGAATACTATTTGAAAACACAAAAGTGCTGGACGACTTTGACAAACATCATGTCAGACTATAAAGAGATGCCACTGAAATCCACAAGCATGTGGATGATTTCAAAAGAAAAGAGAAAACCATGAAAATGAACAAAATCTGGCTACTAGTATTTAAAAAAAACCCTCTGAAACCAGGACAGTAAATAAAGAACATCATTCAGAAACAGGGGAATTCCAGATAGCAAGTTATCAAGTGCCAGTTAACAGTTCCCAAACAACGGATGTCCCCAGGCAGCAACCACTAGGCTTTGCAGCTGCAAGGCTATGCAGTGCTAATCAAGCTGTTAATCAAGTGCTAATTGCAACATTCACACTTGTTTCAAATAAACAAGAGTTCTTTCTCCCATCTGGACAGATACATATACACCCCACTTGCCTAATTTCCAAAGATTCTGAACAAACCTCTGAGGATGCCTACCATATATGCAGACGAAACGTCAGGAGAGAATGCTCCTGGAACATAGCCATATAGCCTGAAAAACTCACAGCAACCCAGTGAATTTGGCCATTAAAGCCTTTGACAACACAGGAGTCATGATTATCTCTGCTACAAATCAACAGGGTCACTTACAGATATACATGCAGGGTGTGTGCAAGATACACGTGATTTATGCCATTTCATTAGAAAACATTTTATCTTTATTGATTCTGGGGAAGAAGATTGACAGGCAATGGGGACTTGGCTGATCAGCAGAACTAAAAGGTGTTTGAAATAAATAGCAGGTAGATAGGTAGGACTTGGAGAAATGGAGATAGCACTTTACTATAACAGGAAAACCACAAGGGACAGATGTGCGGAGAGAATAATCTTTTTCGTATTGCCAGAAAGAACTTATTTAAGGGAAAGCTCATCCTGTAGATCTGGAGGAAAATAAGAGCTGAAGTGATGTGAGATTTTAAGAGAAGCAGGCACTGCATTTGCAGTTTGCCTTCATAGCAAGTTCTCCATCCTTTTATCCCCTCTATTATTTGTCTAAGCGGGTGGTTTTTTAAAAAATATATTGCATATAGACCTTTTAGAGATTTCCCTTCCATTTTCTCCAAAGTGCAGCTTTCATCTGCATAGAGCAAATCAAATCTTATCATACAATTCAATTTTGCAGATAAAAATAAATGCAGGTGCATGCAGGATCAAGACAACACGCACTTCCATATGGGTTGTTTCATGGTTTATTTGATGTGAATGTGTGACAAACATTCTGGAGCCTACAGGCATTTTGGCAATTATTGATCCCTGGTGTTAGTGTGTTATTCAAATGAACTCAGGCTCAAAGTAGTGTCAAGCTTTCAGGCTGCAGAAGGCTGAAATGGAAAACCTGAGGCCTGCATGCTGTTAGGCTTTTGCAAATCCTCCACTGGAAGGAGTGAGTGGTAAGCTGCAGACTGGAGGAGAGCTTTCCAACCTTGCACTTGAATATCTATCACTCCATTACATCTGCTTATGACTGGTTTTGTAGTGATAAGAAGCTCAGCATGTTTTACCATCTCTTGCTGGGCACAGAGTAGTCTCTAGTATGGGTCTCCAACTCACATCTCCTTTGAGGGAGTCAGTCAGCTATGACACATAGGATTAAATTGTGCTCTCTTAAACCATGCCTCGCAGCAGTACTGACAGATAATTTAGCTTTTCAAAGAGAGGTAACAGTTTATACTTGGCTTCCCTTTATTTCCCATTTTCACAGGGTGAAGCGTTTTGTAATGAACAGCCAAGAATATCATAAAGTCACGCTGGAGGACCTAGAAAATGCCTAGAGAGGACATAATTTATTGGACATGGATACATAAAACTGTGGATAATCATCCCATGAATATGGGGTTCATACTGTAGCATTTTTGATCTATGCAATCCAGGAAAACCTGGAGCAAAAAGGATGTACACAATACACACACATTGAATTCTACAAGTCAGACAGTGATGAATTAACTTACACCTTTGTCTTACTTCTACCATCCTACTTGCTTGCCTCCATTTCCACTTTTTTTTTCTCCCGCTGATGTCAGTCATATTTTTTTTACATCTTGAGACACTGGACTGAATAACAAGTGAACATGAATAAAAAGTTCAGCCTTCCCTAAGCTAAAATGCCATTCATAATAAAAAGCAAGACGTACATTGGTTTCCAGTTTATAACATTGTCCCATATAATATGATTTAAAAGTTGTGTGCAGCCAAATTATATTTTCCCTCAAGATGTCTCTGGCACTGTCCAGAGACATCTTGCTTATTGTTGTAAACAAGGAGTTATTTGAAGTTCTTTCACATTCAGTTTGATAACTGCATATCCTGTGCAGTTGATATAGAGTTCATTCCAAAAAAACCCTAACAGATCCTGAGATTAGCTGAATATTTCGAATCTAAGGTACAGGTGGCGAAATAAACAGATTCCTTAAAAGAAGAGACGTGTTCTCTACAAGTACACAGGTCAGATATCAAGCAGATTAAACATTTTTTTCAGAACAGTTTTATTTTATCCTGAGTAGTCACCTACCAATCAATAAAATAATTTTTCAGTTCATGTACAACCATGGGGTACAGGAACAACAACCATTCCAGTAGTCAAAGCACATGTTTCGTGTTCAAGATTAAAGATGGAAATGTTGCTTTTTCGTTTTTAAGAAAACATTTACACGGGTAGTGTCCATGAAGTTATAAAGCAAGACTGTGCAAAGTGATCCAGGAGGGATTAGTGCTCCCCCAAATGACTTTTGCAGCTTACAACTCCCTCTATGTGCCCCCATTTTGTTTAATGAAAAGGTCATGGATACCTCCAAGGGCATAAGCATGCAGGCTTCCCATCTCCACGCTGAAAAAGGAAACCAGAACTTCAGTTCCACTGGCTTAATTTTAGGTTTTGTGTTTCATTTTAATCTTCATTGGATTTAGTGTAGCCTGCAGTTGATCTTAGGGGAGAGAATTTGGTCCTCACATACCCAAAATTTGCTCATCCCATTCTACTTTCACGGGTTCTATGTATACAGTTTGAAACAAAACATTCCAGTTAGTGTAAAATGTGCTAATGCACAAGCCAATAAACTTGTTGCCCCATTTATTTACCAAAGCTTGTACATTACCATGGAGAAAAGGAGGAGGAGAAATGTAGGGACCAATTATGGATGAGAGGAAGTGTGACGGAAGCCCCAAGGGTTGGAAGCAATTGAACCCGTCCTTCACAGCACATTCCTGAGTATTCATCTGCTCACCAGCTGTTTCATAGGGCACCCTATAGACGGAGTGAAGGAAATCCTTGTGGTGGGGAAATGTGGTAGCATATACAGCAATTTCTAAACTGTGAAGAGATCTTAAAGGGTGGGAAGAAGCCAAACTACTGCCTTACAAAAAGCAAACTGACAGGGAATGTACAAAGATGGACCTTAAGGCACTGTTTGCAACACTTAAGAGGGCACAGAGTATATGAAAACAGCTCACATTTACATTAAACAAAGTTTAAAAGATCAAAAGCAGCAGCATTTACATGGGAAGTTAATATTTTCTTTTCCTCTCCTCTCACAGGGCTCCTCTTCTTAATCCATCTATGCCATCTGTTACGTTAGAACGGGATCCCCAATACCATGGTCTGGATTGCAGGTGAAGGAAATGGTGATGGCAAAACGGGTGCCCCACTGGACCTTTTCCACATGATGGAGGTTCTCAGAGCCAGACGTGAAGAAAGAAACCCGGCCTGGAAGTAAAGAACATACAGTAAGGCGTGAAGGGACAGGATACTACTCTTGCATAGCAGTGAATTTCCAATATTCTGCTGCTGGATGCAAGACCCAGGGACTTATCTCTTGAAACAAGGTTTGAACACTCAGGAAAACCAAGACAGTGCTACCTAAATTTCACAGACTTATGTATGAAAGCCAGATGTGCAGATTTACCTCTCCTTGACTTTGACAAGTTTAAAGAGAATGCCATAGACATCTCCATGGGGCAAGCCCTATACAAATCATAGCAGCATTCTTGATACCGCCTTTTTGAGAAATGAAGCTGTCCAAAACACTGAGTGTCAGAGAAAATTTTGGTTTTACTGTCCTCCATCTCCATAGCCTGATGCTATCAGCCAAGCACTTTAATATATACATTTTGCTATCCTTGCTGTATAAAATGGTAGCCCCCATTCTCCAGTACACAGTATGGGGTCCTTATTGTGGTAGGATGAAGATGCATTGCTTGCTCACTATCAACAACCAACCCAGGCCTGTGTCCTTTGTAGTGTCTAGAGATTGGCTGCTCCATTCAAATGGCCAGAGGAAAGCAGAACAAGGCTACTAACCCTCTGGGAAACAGAACATAGCCATGTGACTGATGCATATTGATAAGTAAAATGTCCTCTTGCCTCTTCCTGGAAGAGTTGTTGCATTAGCTTTGCTGAAAAACAAGCACCTTTGTAGACTAAAATGTCACCTGATAGGGAAACTGTCCTGAGTACTAAAGACTTATGACAGGTTCCTGATCCCAAAACGTTTCCCTTGATTGAAAAAAGACTCTACAAATAGATGCACAAACAGAGAGCACACGCACTTTTAAAGCAGAATATTCTCAGGTGTCCTGTTTTCTTGGTTGAAATGAATGATGTAAATATTATGTATGTGTGCATGTCATATGAAAACGCAAGATCAACATCTTAAAGATGATTGCAGACTCACCTGCTTCAGTTTAAGCAGGATTGTGGCATGTTGTGCCTTTGTACATCATGTCACAACTCCTGCAAGCGTAGCAAAATTGAAAGGCACAGTCAAAAAATTTTGTTCCACCTGCTTTTTAAAAAACACAGCAACCATAAAATAAAAGCCAATGCATTTGTATTTTGAATGCTGTTGCTTGCTGTTTAGGTTCCACACAATCTGCCACCCATAGCAAATGTGGATAATGCAAAGAGTTATAAAAAAAATCCAGTATCGATTTGAGAAAAATTGCGATTGTATGACCTAGTTCTTAGTTCACTATCTCTATCAAGGAATTACAACAATGTCAGTTGTGGGGGAAAGGGGCATATCAATATGATAAGTAGAACACAAAACTTTTGGGATTTTTAGATACTAAAAGTGGCATAAGGATTTACTAAATAGCTCCTAATTTTTCACTGTTTCTTACAACATGCCCAGGATCTGGACCAGCTTCACAGCATATCAGAAATCTAAGCAAGGAAAGTATCTTCTCTGTGAAAGATAAGGGATGGGATGTGTGCTTCTCAAATGCATAAGAGATTTGAGAATGTTTTCCTGTGCTCCTAAAAGCAAGTACTCTATGACTCTTGCCTTACAAATACAACTTGGGAGCAAAGTAAGATAAAAATCACATGATTTAGAAATAGTTTATGTTCCAAGGGACAGATGATAGGGGCAAGGATTGTTCTCCCTCCTTTCTAAAGTTCTGTTCAAATGTCATCAACTCCCTGTTCAGTACAGTAAAAAGACAACCCTTATTGCAAAGCAAATATGGGAGAAATCCCAAGTCGTAGCTCAGAGACAAGATCTGAATTTCCTATTCTGCTACAGAAAGGTAGCAGTTTCCCTTGCAATAGTTAAGCGTGGGACTTTTAGAGAAGGAAACAGGGTCTAACTAAACTACCAACAAAATGGACAAGGCAAAACAATGCACCCATGGGTTCAAAATTCCCATTTCTGATGGTTTGCCATCTTTTAAATCCTTTAAAATAGTGTAGTCTGATATAATTTGCTGATGCTATGGAAAGAACCAAGTCAGTACAATAAATGTAGAATAGGCTTGTAAGGAAGTCTAGATTACCAAGTAGAGAGAGGAAAAATGAAATGTGGCAACACCTTTAAGACTAGCTGGATTTTATGTTAGCTTTAGCTTTTGTGGATGTAAACCTACTTCTTCAGACACAGTACCGAGTAGCTATTTATACACTTGTGGGAGTACTGCCACATTTCTATTTTTTTACTTCTCCCCTTTCTCCTTTTTATGCTGGAAGAGACTAACCAAGTCTGAGGACAAGTTCCAGCATTAAGGCACCTCAGCTACAAAGACCAAGTAAAGTAACACATGAACTAAACAATAGGAAGAAGGTAAGTGCTGCCAATTTATTGCAAACAGATCTAATTTGTAAGTCTTTACTTGAAACCACAGCAAGGCCGAAGAAAAAGCAGCTAAATCCAGAAGGATATGCCTTTACTAATGTGCACTTTGGTACTTTGATGACATGGGAGAAACCAGCAGAAACATACATTTCTTGCAGTTCTTTTCCAGAGAGATGGTAAAAAAAGAAATAAGTGAATTTCCAACACTAGCTACAAAGAAGTGTATAGATAAGACAACAAAAACAAAAGTAGATGTTATTTTCACCACATCTGATAAACATTTGCTGAGAAAACTATCATATTATTATTTCTGGGAGAACGACTTAGAAATAATATCCTCTTCATCAAAGCATAAGAAACCCATAAACTTGAAAAGGATCACAGACATTTTTTTTATCAGTTATTATTATGGTTTTCCCAGTGTTGGAGAAAATAAAGGGACTCAGGCATGGAAGTATTATTAAGATCTCATTTTTCCAAGAGCTTGAAAGGCAAAAAATAATCAGTCTGCTTCTTAAAGAAAAAAGATCAATAACCTAGTCTGTTGGACTTTACAAAACTCAGACATGTTGTAGATGGGAAGCAGAAAAGTTAGAGAAGATCATTCTGAAAGAGTAGCTCTTCAGTATTTTGTTGTAATTAACTTCATTCAGGATTACACTGGGGCACATGTAAGAACTGGGCACCAATGCAGACCTGCAATGCCATTTTTTTTTTAAAAAAATCTGGAATTTGTTTTGCTTAGTCAGGTGTCGAGAGCTTTGAAATTTTTTATCAAATTGTTCAGATGTTTTAAATCAGGACTTCTCAGGTAATCAGATGTGGGGGACAGGCATATCTGTACTCACTGTTAACATTTTTTCTTCATTTTCTGGTAAACTGTCAGGAACCAGTTGTCAATGGCTCAGGGACTGGCAAAAATTGAGGGGCCTGAAAATCTAAAGGACAATACAGTTGGGGGAAGCTCATTTAAATGGTTCCTCCAAATATTGCTGGGCCATGACTCCCATGAACTATAACCAACACAAACTGTAGTCAGGGATGACTGATCAACACCATCAGGAGAGATGCACATTCCTCATTCCTGAATTGAGAAATTTCATCTCTAAGCGTAAGCAGCAGTTGTGTGAATGCTTACATATTTCACCCGCCTTCATTTTTCATAAGTTCCATGTTGGTGACCAGAGTTATAATACCATATTAACATGCTGGGAATGCCTGCTGCTTAGTACTGCATGCTCAGTAAGGGAATCAGAATGTAGTTGCTGTTTACCTTGCCTGTTGTAGGCAGGAACATATAGGCACAGTAGGAACCATTTGAGCAGACTCCTATTTTTCCTACCACAAGCTTTGTCACATTATTTACTGCACACATCCAACAGTTCCCCTTTACCATCCTTCTAATGCCAAAGCTATTTTAAAAAAAACTTCTGACTGGACAGAGGACAAAATCAAAGGGTCACTGACCAAGCCTAAAATTATTTTGTCAGAGGCTTTGTTAGCTGAGTATACCTTTCAGCCCTTTTAAAGTGTAAGTAACTAATTTTAAATGAACCCAGGAAATGTGAGAAATCCATAGCATGTGTCTGAAAAACAATTCACAGAAGTAAGATTTAACTACAAACGGCTTGCCGCATTCCTACAAACTTTTACAGAATGCCTTTGAGAGCAATGGTATTTATACAGCTTGATCGTGAGCCAAAATGTAATCATAACAATCACTAACAGAAACCATCCAGAATAATTTTGGCCATGTTCTACATTCCCCAAAAAGACATATAAAGATATTTTGTACAGGAATACAAGGAGGACCTTGGATGGATCAGAATTCTTGGCCAACCGAACCGATGTTGCCAATGGGAAGATCACAAGCAGGACATCAATGAGACAGGTCAAGGGCTGCCCTTGAAGAGGGAACTCTGGCCTTATAAGCTTCTGCATGGAGTTACAGAAAGTCTGCTTCTGGTACTCTTCTGAACAAGCTCCAGCACATAAAAAAAAGAAGGCTGTAGATGTGCTGGAACTAAATCCCCCATCCCAGGATGGCAGGATTACCAAACTTGGAATGGTCAGAGTTTATTTTATCTCAGTGGGAATCACTGGCAGGAAACCATCCAAACCACTACACCATGCTCGTGTCTAGTGTCCAGCTGAGAGCTGAAAAAAACCACCAGAAGCCTGAAATTGAATCATCAGTCACACCACCTTCCAGTTAATGATCAATCTGAGAGTCGCAACCTTGACAAGATGTCGAACATTTAATTAGGTTCTTGTGGGTTTTTTCGGGCTATAGGGCCATGTTCTAGAGGCATTTCTCCTGACATTTCGCCTGCATCTATGGCAAGCATCCTCAGAGGATGCTTGCCATAGAAACAATGCAAGCGAAACGTCAGGAGAAATGCCTCTAGAACATGGCCCTATAGCCCGAAAAAACCCACAAGAACCTAGTGATTCCAGCCATGAAAGCCTTCGACAATACATTGAACATTTAATTGTTTGTAGATTGAATGTATAAAACTACCCACATTCTACAATATTATTTGGCATCTTGCCCCAAGATATTTCCTGTGGTATCTTATGCTGCTTCGCTTGCCTCTAACATGGAACCAAATTTATAAAAGGGAAGAGTTTGTATATTGTACCTGTATGGCGTAAAGAGAGAACTGTCTCTACTAACAGAGATACAGCCTGACTGCAGGATCCAACCAGTATGAAGACTGAAGATGAGGTAAACGTAATGCTAAACAGCAGAAGCAGCCAGATGTTTCTCATAAAGAAGGAAGGATCAGTACAGAGATCTAGGATCTTTATAACTTTACCTGCTCGAGGCTCTACCGTCCTGTTTGCCCCTTCATCCATAAAAACAAATCGTCCACCACCAAAGTCTTCTGTATAGTCAGAGAGGTAAAGCAGAGATGTATAGTCAAATGAACCGTACGTCACCTGGGAAGAAAACATATAAAGATCTCTAATTCCATAGCAGCTTTGTTTAAGAAACTTGAACATTTGCGGATTTGTTAATAGATCTTTTTGTTTTAATCTCTTTAAGAGATTAAAACATTTGTTTACAATACTCCATTTGTTTTTTTAGCATGCATTTTATCCAACTTTGTTGGACCATATCTGAGCAAAAGGATGTAAAGGATGTAAAGACCAGATCAGATAAACAGATTATTTATTTATTTATTTATTTTTTAAACTTATATGCCGCCACTCCCCTGGGGCTCGGAGCGGCTTACAAGACTAGCTAAAATCTAACAAGATTAGGTATTAAAAAGTGAGAATGTTCACTTTAGGTATTTACAAGTAAGCAGATTCTCACACACACACACACACACAACTTCTACAGAAACCTAGCATTGTACAGTGAGAAATGGTTTGGTTAGCCAAATGTCTTGAACTATATAATATTTATTAGGCCAAGTCTGTAAGTCACCCAAATAGACTAGACATGTGGAATCAGTGGAACTTACATAAGTGTCAACCTACCAAGTTCCTATTAATCCAATTGTTTAGTTGGAAATAACTATGTGTTTTAGACATTGCATGTACAAATATCTGACATATATTCAGAAGTGTTGCTGAAGACCCAACATCCAATGAGTAAAATGTCTGAGAACCATCTGATTGCCAACTCCATTAAGATTGTCTGACTTGGCTTACATTAAGAGCTGTAGCAGTCTGCATCCAGTAGCCTTTGGGCAAATTCCAGCTTCTTACTGCCATTTGGCTTCCAGCTTCAGGAAGAACAAATGTGTGGATAGATGCACAAACAAGCAAGGCAATGAAGCTAATGGATTCGAAGGAAGAAACACATTTATCTTCTGTGTGTTTATCCTAAAACTGAAAATATTTATTCTTGGCATGTGGAAGAAAGATCAATATTCTTCTTGACTGCTTTCTGCCTGAGGGGGAAAAAACTGAAAATAGATTGTGTTGTTGAAGGCTTTCATGGCCAGAATCACTGGGTTGCTGTGCGTTTTCCAGACTGTGTAGCCATGTTCCAGAAGCTTCTGGAACATGGCCATACATCCCAGAACTCACAGCAACCCTGTAAATTCATTTGTTTCTTTCATAGCAATGTGGCTGAACTCCATAGATTACTTGATTAACACTAAAATTATTCCTATACTTTCACAAATTAAGTATTTTAGATTCACAGAATTCATTACAGAAGTGAGGGACACAAAAGTCAGCAGAAGAAGGATGAAGACTAGATGAAATATATCAAGTAGGCTTGTTGTTATTCTGTTGGGAGGAAGCTGATGCCTCATGGTTTGCAGAAGAGTGAAAATAGTGATAGATTGAAATCACTGGAACATGTAAATTGTCAGCTGAACAGGCTTTAGGTGAATCTCAAAATATCAGTCCTTTTAGAGTTAAAAGCTGGTGTTCCCACTCTCACCGTATAACAAGCTTATATAGAAGAAGTTGGATCCTTTTTATTATGTGGTGAACAAACGGGCAGGTAGCGAAGATGTTTCTTTGATTCTCATCCTCATTTCTATTAATTTTATTCTCTGGTTTTATATATTATTTGGGCTGAGCTGCAATTAACAATTTCGTCTTGGTTATGTGTGTTTGGTTGCTCACAAAGTGCAGAGCATGAGGATAACAAAGTAAAATGTTCTCCTCACCTCATTTCCTTTTCACTCTGAAATTATTCTGCTCTCCACTCACCCCTGTGCTTTGAGAAGTTTGCTCTGAGTCACTAATCCAAGAAGTTACATGCTTTGAGGGGTTTGCTCTGAGTTACTGAGCTCATTTTTCTTAGATGAGGGGAGAAGGGATGGGGAGAGCAAGTTTCAGGATTTGGCCAAAGAGAACCAGATAGGCTTGGCAACCAAAGTAGATGTTTGGGTTGTTTCAACAGTCGTGTATTCAATAATCCCTGGCTTCTTTTTCTGTGAAGCATTGTGTTCCCAGACTTACCATCTATATAATAAAAGTCAGTGTTTGTATGCGGCGGGAGGGAGGGAGGGAAGGCGGTGTATGTATGTGGCAGCATTCTGATTGGCTGACACATTCACAGGCCACTGTGACCTGCACAAGTGATGGACCTGGACCAAACTTGGCACACATAACCCCCATTACCCACTTTATGTCCTGGTGCGGTTTGGGGGTGATGGACCACGGATTATGGGATTTGTAGTACTTTAAAATGCTTGGACACCCACAGACCACTGTGGTATAATTTGCATATGGTTTCTGATTGGCCAGCCTCAACATTCTAACATTCTTAAGTGGCTGAGAGGGGAAAGGAAAGGGCCCGAGGATGTCAGGAATGGTGGGAGTTGAAGTCCAAAACACCTTGGAGGATATAAATCATAATCGTCATGTAAGCAAGCCATTAGGGACATATTTTTCTCCAGAACTTTTCAGTATTTGGGCGTTTTACATAAGAAATAACTATGTCCCTCCACAGACTGATTGGAAGAATCATGTGGCAGCCACAAGATATATTGTGATGCACCTCTGCCTCTAACATGTTTATCCTGATTTTTTCTCAAAAGGAGGAACACTGTATATACTCAAGTATAAGCCAACCTGAATATAAGCCTAGGCATCTAATTTTATCAAAAAACAAACAAACTGGGAAAATATATTGACTCAAGTATAAGCCGAAGTTGGGAAATGAAGCCGCTACTGGTAAATTTCAAAATAAAAATCAAGACCATCTTGGCACACATAACCCCCATGACCCCCTTTACATCCTGGTGAGGTTTGGGGGAGGACTGATAATGGATGATGGGATTTGTAGTACTTCCACACCCTTCAGTTCCCACAGACCGCTGCAGCCACCAACAAAGACTGATAAAGACCAAACTTGACACACAGAGCCCGCATAACCCATTCTACATCATACTGTAGTTTGGAGGAGGGCGGACCATGGATGATGGGACTTAAAGTACCTTCACTCACTTTCTGAGACTACTGTGACCCTCATCCAATGACTGATCAAGACCAAACTTGGCACACAGAGCCCTCAAGACCCACTCTACATCCTGGTGCTGTTTGGAGGAGGTTGGACCATGGACGATGAGACTCGCATTAACGATGGGACTCACACTAACTTCCTGAGAGCACTGCAAGCCACACAAATAACTGATAAAGACCAACCTTGGCACACAATGCCTTTCTCAAATAACCCAGGCACCGGGAAACCATTAAAGCTAGTGGTTAATAAAAATTATAGATGAAAGCAAACCGTACTGAATGAATTACTTCAGGTGCTAGCATACCATAAAGTTGTGCTGGGGAACCTAGGAAATGCCTAAAAAGGATATATTTTATGAGATGGAGGGTAAATAAATGAAAACCATAGGTTCTGGTCCTGTGGATACTGGGGTCATCCAGTACTGGCACGTAAAGTCTCTGCAAACAAGAAAAGGTTCAAACTTTTTTTGTTTACCTATGCAAGGGTTTCCTGATCTGATTTCATATGTGCATAGTGTTTAGTTTGAATTTAAAAATAGCTGAAACATGCTGAATTACTCTACTTTTTTGTGGTGTAGGAATCTATCCCTATTCTTTTTGTGTGGTTTTCAACATTTCTGTTAAAGGAGTAAAGCACAGGAATAATAATAATAATAATAATAATAATAATAATAATAATAATACACTTTATTTATATTCCGTTCTATTTCCCTGAGGGGACTCAGAGCAGATTACAGTTTACACATATATAGGCGAACATTCAATGCCTTTTATACAGTGAACGATGGCATATAATACACAAACGAAGACAAAGGAACACTTGTTTAACTGAATACCTCTCTCCCCTACAATCACCGTACATGCTTGAATATTTTTTTAACCTTCAGCTTGTAGCCTAACCAAGTTACAGGCTTCATTGCTTCAAGAATTATATTTGCAACTTTGTAACTTCTGGTTTCACCTTTGCAGCATATCTGAATATTAGCTGGATGTGATAATTTTTCATTTCAGAAAGTATCTAGCTGCAAATGGAATGGCCAAATCGTATTCATGATTACAGTTAGTGCAACCTTGAAATAATCCTATGCAAAAAAAAAAAATCCATTCATGGTGCCATTTCTTTCTAATCCCTTCCAACATTCTTCCTATAGGACATGGCTGCTAACCTTTCTTTTATGCTTGTACAATACTGTGCCACTATTCAATGTATGCATGCTCTGTAAACGTATTACTAAACAAACAGCACAGCATTCCTTTTATAAATTAATTTTTGTCCTTGCACAGTCAGTTTCATATTTCAGTGTAAGCTCACAGCAGCCGCTCCCAATAACGACACAGGACGCCAATCCGTAATCAAKCAGGAACTTTTACTGCTGGACATTCATACACGAAGAAAGHCAGGATTGGCYBGBARCYRCARTTTAACCCTTAKAYAHYCTCCCTYAMAMTTGAATTCMCHTTTCCCGCCRRCCRAGAWTMCYRCGCWAYATTCCCYGYYAAATGCCAACTGCTTYCCCCCAAGGCCACCAGCTGCACATTCTTATCAGCAGTCCATGTCAGGATTCTGGTTTTTTGCGCCAAGACTCAAGGCCTGGAAACCGGTTCCTGACATTTCAGAGGCTAAATGACCTTTTGAACATGATTTTTACAGCATACACTGTATGGTAAGTATCTGCTAGCAGAGCACCAGTGAAATAAACAGGAACCTAGAATTCATCGTATGTAAAAGTTTAGAATTCTTTACTAAGAAAATTCCCCCCTAAGGCCAAACTAATCAATGCAAATGTGCTTCCTGTTATTCAGCTTTGGATCTTAGAAAACACTTTCAGGGAACCATTAAGCCAGATCAAAGAAACTCATGCCCACATGGATACTGAAAGAAACGATGGGAAAACCTCATACAATAGCTTCCTATTTATCTGCAAAATAATAAGGAAAAAATTGATGAAATAAATCACCCCAAATGGAATTTGAAAGAAGAAAAACCTTAGAAACCTAAAATCACCCTTACTTTCTTCATACAGTACAGCCTTCCTTCCTTACAAGATAATACATATATTCAGAACAACCCTTGTATCCACGGGACCAGAACCCAGTTTGATCTGCATGCACCTAACTAAATCAGCCATTTTGAGGAATCCTTCAGGTGATTCTATGATAAGCTCTCTGGGAAATTTCTTTGCCCTCCAATGAGACCCTATGACAGACCTGCACAACCTGTGGCCTGGCAGGTGTTTTGGACTTCAGCTCCCATAATTCCTGGCCACAGAAACAGCTGGTGAGAGCTTCTGGGAGTTGGAGGCCCAAACACTTGGGGGGCTGCAGGTTGTGCAGGCCTGATCTTTGAAAACTTCTGACAGAAGTCATTGCTTTCAGTGGAGTTCACTATTATCTGCAGTTTCCTGTTTCCATGGTATGTTCAACATATGGGATTCCTACAATAATACAATGTATGATGCGAAGGCTGAATTATGTGAGTTAGAGATGGAAAGATCCAAGTCAAGTTCTGTACAGTCTCACTAGGTGGCCAACTTTCAACCTACTATATAAGAAAGCTGCTTGCTGTGTTTTAAGATAACGTGTTAATAAATTGTCATTTTTAGAGTGCACACCCACACTGTAGACTTAATGTAATTGCTCAATCCTATGAAGTTCTGGGATTTGTAGATTGTTGAGGCATCAGCACTCTTTGGCAGAGAATGATAAAAAAAAAAAGATTCCACAGCACTGAGCCATGGCAATCAAAGGGGTGTCAAACTGCATCAATTCTGCAGTGTAGATGCACCCCAGCTTTAGCACAGCAGGTTAAACACCAGCTGTAGACAATCTTGTCAGTCGAAAGGCTGCCAATTTGAAGCCGAATCAGAGTAAGCTCCTGGCCTTTAGCCCAGCTTCAGCCCACTTAGGGGTTCAAAAACATAAATGTGATTAGATAAATAAGTACAGTTCAGAAAAAGTGGGGGAGATATTCTGGGGCACCCAGAAGGAATGCCGGCAATTCAGTCCAAAGGAGGAAGTTACAAACTAGCTCTTTGGCAGTGAGATGGAGTGATAGCACCCGCCCCCCATGGCCAGAATCGAGCGCAACACCTTCCAAGATGCTGAAGAGACGGGAAAAGCTTATATACCCCTTATCGATGTATAATTGGGTTCTTGTGGGTTTTTTCGGGCTATAGAACCATGGCTCTATAGCCCGAAAAAACCCACAAGAACCTAGTGATTCCAGCCATGAAAGCCTTCGACGATGTATAATTGTCTGTCTAGTTGTGCATAGAATGTTTGCTGCATATGTGTGGTGAGAAGGGCGGAATATAAATAAGGTAAATAAATAATCTGATTTCCTCCAAAAGAATGGAAGGAATCTTAAAACAAAAGCAAGCAAGCATTAAGGATCAGTAACATTTGGAAAGCTACATTGAAAAATTAGACATCTGCTTTTGGGACTGCTTGGCCACATTAACTAGCAGCACAATAGACAGCCAACTTCTTAAACAAAAAGGACAGGATGTGGGTGAGATCTTTTCTGTCTAAAATTCCAAGAGATGGCAAAAGTGTTATGCGATTGCTTCCATCATTCAAGTGGCAAAAAGAAATGCAGATACTACAATAACTAAAATGTTGATGGCAGGTTTGTCCCTCACAGTTTTCATATCGAAGACTGTTTTTATGTTTCACATTGGGTATTTTCTAATGTATAAAGTTGCCTTCAGACTTTACATATTTATATATTTATATATGAAAACACACATGAATGCCATGTTTAGACTTCGGTCCCAACTCCAAAATGGTGCATTATGTATATACATGCAAATACAGGTATTCCAAAATCTGTGGGAGGAGGAAACAAAAATCCCAATTCCTGCTTCCAAGCATTTTGTATAGGAACTATTTGACCTGTATTTAACCTGTATATTTCAGTTTCTACTTTGATTCTTCTGATTCCCTTTAAAATACAATAAAGAAACTATACTTTTTAGATAACTTCCAGAGTCATCATGGTAGCTGTGGGGTTCCGGCAGATGTCTTCCAACAAAGCAACTTTTCCAGTCTTAACCTACAGCAACAGATGCTTCTCAACTGTTTGCAGATTAAACAGACCAATTATGCTGGCCATAACTAAGTGCACATAAACTGAAAAAGGCATACTTGTTTGCAAAATCTTCTCACCTAATATTTCTCCAAAGTCATATACAGGGAAAGGCAGGTACTCTTTAATGGACAGAACAACTACTGAATATGATAAGATATAGAAATCTGAGCACATGCATACAAACACATTCAAGCACAACTGGAAGATTCAGCAAAATATATGGAATATACAGAAAACGTAAAGGAGAGTCACCAACTGTGGTAGAGTATTTGATTAGGACTTAGGTTTGACCTCTGTGCCCGAGGCATTAGATTTCTACATTTCAACAGGAAATTTCCAATTAGCAGCAATTTCAAATGTGATCCTACACACTCAGGCCACCCTGGAGGCAACCTGCCTCCCACACACAGTTGTTGCTTCCATAAATCAACTGTTCCCAAAAAGTGCTTTGCTTCTCCTTGCTGTGAAAGAAATAATAGTGAAGAAGCGGCCAGCAATTGATCAATGTTCCTATTATCTCTTGAAAATGACAGTTGAGATAGATGTATTTCTCTTTTGCCTTCCCTACCTAAGAAAAGAGGAAGGATAGCAAACTGCCACTCAACATCTAGCACAGGTCATAAGCATTGGGGACAGGCTGGCTTTCCAGTGCTTCTTCAACCCAGAGGGGATGATATGAGTTGGGTAAAGCTGCCTAGAGATAATGAATGGGGGCAGATATGTACTCAAATCCAGATGTAAGTCCCATCGGGCTTAGTGAGAGTCACTTCCTAGAAACTTACATAACACCAAAGTGCTAATCAAGTCATGCAATAACTACTGCACAGACCTTTAATCATGCCATGCTGAAGACTATAATTAAAGACAAGGCATGAAAACAGGATTGGAGGGGAATAATTTCCTTTGAGCATCCCACTTACCTTGTCAATATGTGGGTGCCAGTATTCATCATGGGTAGTCTTCGCTTCCGAGCTGTTTATTCTAGAGAAGAAGGTTGGCTTTGTCAAGTACATGGAAGAGGAGCTGATGCCAAAAGCAAGAGCTATTTTTTGTTGAATTCTCTGTCTCACGTCACTGCAAAGGACAAGAAGTTAAGGCTTCTTAAGGAAATTTAAGTACCATGACACAAATGTAAGTTTCCTCTCTTGTTACAATAAATAAATATTTATAGAGCGTGCAAACTATTAATATAGCAAAGGTTCATCCTATCAGTATGATTTAATTCACTATATTAACATATTGCAGACAGTGAGCCAAGTCAGTGCTGTTTGTATAAGGTCATCTGGTGAGGTAAGATCTGAATCAAGTGTCCAGGGGCCTTTACACACTACACAGTTATAGAACTATGATTTCACTTTAATTGTGAGTTGTAGCTGGGAGAGGCACTGGTGCTCCCTGGCTGAGAATTCCCTTTCTAAACTACAGAACCCATAATTCTACTGTTATCGTGGCAGTTAAAATGAAATCATGGCACTATAACTATGTTGTGTGAAAGGGCCTTGGTCTCTCAATCATTAGATTAAGAATTGAGTGACCTTCCAAATACACTGGAGCTTATCCCCCCAGTGCCAGTTAATGTATCTGCTGATTGGGCATGATCAGAGTTGCAGTTCAACAATAACTGAAAGGTCACAGATCCTGGATCTCTACATTATATCAGATAAACAATCGAATGTACTTATGTATAAGTACAGGATAGATTAGGGGGGCAGAATGGATAAGTTGAGAGTCATTGCATGAAGAAGGGAAAGCACCAATGCAGTTTTAGGGGGCGAGCTACCATTGGGTGTCTTTGGCAAGCATCCTCAGAGGTTGTGAAGCCTCCAAATTTTCTTTGCCACAGGACTGGCACAGAATTGGCAAGACAGACAGCATATTTAACAGTTCTCATACTCAAGTTACATAGGAATTATTACAGTACTAGTTTTTTTTTTCACTGTCAACTCTGCCACTTTCCTGGATTTCAGGTTCACCAAATTGAGAAAAGAAAAAATGAAGTTCATTCAAAAGGAAAAATCATTTCAACCGAACAAATGAGTTTAAAAGTCTTATCTGTTTTCTTTCAATAAACTTTGCCCATCGCTTAGAAATCTTGTTCAATTGCTATGGTTTCTATTTACACAATCCACACAGAAATCAATCAACCTTTCAAGCGGACAATAAGACATCTCTCCAGCTATTCCCCTAAGCTGCCATTCTGAAGGCCATCTGCAGGCTGCATTGTTCTGAGAAATCCTTCAAGAATTTATACTCTGATGCACAACAAGACTTGTGATTACATCTGTAATGAAGCAGACACTCCTTCATGCAAACCAATGCTCTGAGATGTATTCCAAATCAAAAAGTTATTTCACATCAACCCACATTCCAGATTTACGTTTTTCAAGCTATTCAGAATTAATCTTTCACCTAGAATAAGCTATCATAAAAGAAAAATATATAGAATTAAAATAACCCAATCTGCAAGATACAATGCAACTCTCATGTCCGTGGAACTGGGACACACAAATTCACTTATCCGAATCCCCTCCCCGCTCCAAATGTTCTCCAAAGGCATTTTATAACGCAATTCTATAGTATGGTGGTGGTTAATCATAGAGTCCTGCTGGGAGACCTAGAAATGCAAAAAGATGTTCTGTGACAAACTGTGGGTACTGACCCCAAATGGGGTCCCTAAGCTCAACGCCAGGTACCGAAATATTTGGCAACAGTAAAAATTTCTGGATATCACCGACTTACACAAATCTGTTCATGACAACATGCAACGTTTACAGTGGAATCTGCAGAAAACACTTCAGCTGTACTCCACAAAAAGAAAAATAGCAAGCCTTGCAAATGCTGATTTATTATAAGCAAATGTTTGACTTTATGCCTATTTATATATCTACATAATGAGATATAAATAGCTTATTTTAGATGTTCTGCTGTAACAGGCACAACAGTCCTTTTGAGCATTACTCTCTCCTGTCATTGTGGCCCACAGAACACATAATTCATAGCCAAAAACAGCTCCTCTTCTGACTGAGTTTAATACACATTCACTGGTTCATAATATTACTTCTGCTTCACTATAAAGTAAAACTAAACACATTTCTTATTTCGTCAGTACTTGAGTACATTCTTTAAATCCTTTCTTGGATGGTCATCTCACAGATATGCTTTGGCTGTGTATTCCTGCATGGCACATGGAGTTGGAATGGATGATCCTTGTTTTCTCTTCCAATTCTATGTTCCTACGATCTTCAGTGATGCAGAGTAAAGCAATAAACAATTCTTCCCTGCATTTGGATCATCCATGGGAAGTTGTAGTGCAGATTTTAGCAGCTTTGGACAGCATAGCCAATAGTAAGCCATATTGGGGTTTAAAAAGATTTGCAACAGCACAGAATTGTCATTTTGTATTCAGCTATGTCTTCAGACAAACGAACTACAAATTGACTGTAAGTACTCCTTTACCATATCCTGGAAAAATGAAGAACGATAAATATAAAATGAAAAAGTACTTTTCTCTTACCGGTACAACTGAAAATCCTCTTCTGTGAAGATGTCATGGACTTTATCACCAAAGTATCTGAGGTCAGGATGTGGGGTGAAAGAGTGAAACAAAGGGAAATCACAACCAATGTAAAATAAATATTTGCACCAGCCAATTGCTTACACTTTGTCATCAAATTAGACTATCTTAATATGCAATTATTTCAGAAATGTTGATGATCTCAGGGTGGTTGTTACTAAGACTAAAGTTAAAACAGTTGTAATGAATAGGCAGAGGTCTTGGAAAAATTATATATATATTTTAAAAACCCTTTCTTTCTGGCTTAAAGATAGTACTATGGATGTACACTAAGACTTTGGATCGAACAGACTATATCAAGTCTACTGATCTCCTAATGGCCCGGCTTAACAACAGGAGGTATCACATGTTCATTTTGTAAAGGAAGGAAAATGTCCAAAGTTTCTATCAATTACCAGCAGAGCTTCACTCCTGTTCTTATAAATCCTGAACCCATGTCAAGAAGCTAAGAGCATGAAAATCAGCAGTTCCAAGCACACAGAGCCCAAGACATAAAGTTGCATTACCTGTACATGTTAACAAAATGCTTCCCCAAAGACAGCGCTCCTGAGTGCAAGTCCAGAATTGAAGCCTGGGATGAAAAACAAAACAAAACAAAAAAGAGGAACCACGTTAGCAAAACAGGAGATAAAATTCAAGTATCTCTGCTTTCCTGAAAAAAGAATATTGTAATTTATTTGGAGGCCATATCCCTATTGTTTCCCATGTAAGTCAGGAAGCAAAGCAACACAAGACTTACTCAGAACCAACAGCCGGTGGCTCTCTTGTCAGTGGAAAACAAATGCATGCCACATTTCAGTCTGAACTAAATGGGGTATCCAAAATGCTGAATCTATTTTGAAGATTGAGTTCAGTACTTCAGACTACTAATTTATAGTTCAGACCAAAATCTGGTATAGATTCATTCATCAACCTATTTACATTGACACTACTACCTGTCATTATTATCTAGTGTTTCCCTAGAATTCAACTGTTTAGTGGTTTGAACATTGAACTATGACTCTGGAAATCATAGTTTGAAATCCCTCTGGGTGACCCTTGGACAAGTTACAATTTCTCAGTCTTAGAGGACGGCAAAGACAAACTCAACGGGAACAGCCTTAGCCAAGAAATCCCCATCTTTGGGACCTCTTCAGGTCACCATGAGTCAGAACCTACTTGAAGGCAGACAATAACAAAATACCTATGTTTCAGAACTTGAACTACATGTAAGTAAATAGTATCAAACAGATATAGTGTGCTTGTGGCTTTATAGCTCTAACAAAATCTACCACCCACCACCTAATCTGGGAGGGCAAAAAGTTGATACACCTTTTCAAATTATGGTATGTACTCATTTTCAAGGTTTTTATCCTGACATTAAAAGAAAAACTAGTGGCCTTTTATATCAATGGCAACAGTAAGATATACATTTTATGCTACCAAGTGATTTTACTTATTTCTCATTTTAAGCCTTCCAGCAACCCTGACAGCATTTTTTCTGCTTCCTTAAGCAGCGCAAGTCTGAAGAGTTGCAGGAAGAAGACAATAATTTAGGTTAACAGGAAGTCCAGGAAGAGGAAAATAAATCCAGTGGATTGAAAAGAACAGAACTATAAAAATAGGCACAAAGAGTAAAATATTAATAGAAAAATGGTCTGAGAAAGAAGAAAATTGGCTTTTGAAGAGGGAAATATTCAATGTAAAATGCTAAATGGACCATAATTAATGAGTCAGACTGGTTGGAGGAAATTACTTCAATGAAAAAAAGACAAAAAACATTTGCTTTTGCTAAAAGTGATCTCATACCAGATATATCTCAAGATCATGTTCTACTCCTTAGAAATGTGGGAAAAATATTTCTGAGGAAAACTAGACCCAAATAAAGTCTAGCTAGGGCTACAACACCCCTCCATGATGCCTCAATAATGCAGCAAAAACTGACACATAATGCTGTCTTAGAAAGGAAGTCCAGAATCAACCAGACTCAATAATGCTAAGTCCACGCCAGATTTGTAATCAAGGCACATTTCTGTCTGAAATAAAGAAAACATTAGAACTCAAGGACACTTATGATGTTTTGATTCCTACCCTTTGTTCATTTCAGTAAATTGCTTACTGGATTAGTCAGATAACCTTTTTTTCATGCTTCCATTTGGAGATAGAGGTGTCATTCATTCTCTTGTTTTGAACAGAAGAAGCAAACAACATGATCAAAGAATAAAGCGTAAGTGTTGCAAATTAAATCTCTAACTTTTCCAGATAGGGCTAAAAAACAAATCCTGTCTCAAATCCTGGAGAGCTACTGAATTGTAAGTAGTGAACTAAATGGACATTGGTCTGACTCAATAGAAGGCAGATCATTATGTTGTGAAAGCATACAAGGACCTATTCGTATAACTCAAAGCCCCTCACCTTCCCAACAAAGATGCCAATGAGGCAAGCAGATGAGAAGAAGTAAGTCCACTATGAACTATTGGTTTCAATCAAAAGAAGATGTAAGAGACTCACAGGATACTGGAAAGTTGAGAAAGCCTATGAGAAAAAGCATTCATTCGTTCTTGGACAAGTCACACTCTCTCAGCCTTAGAGGAAGACAAAGACAACTGCCACCCCGAAACAAATCTTGCTAAGAAAACTTAATGATAAGTTCCCCTTAGGGTTGCCATAAGTTGGAAAGTACTTGAAAGCACACAACACCATGACTGAGAAATAATTCCATCTTTCTTTCTAGAAGGAATGGAAAAGCAGATCCATTTGTCCCACTGTACATCTGATAGCTCTATATCCGCACTGCAAAAGACCATATAGATCGTGTAGATCTCCATAGTCATGGACCCACCACTAAGACTCTACTCCTGGAAGACAAACAAACTCAGCTACTGATAATGATGTCTGACAAAGTGTTTGCTGGAACATGAATTGGAGGGTCAGGTTTAAAATGCCAGTCACGAAGCTTATTGGTAGTACTGAGGGAGTAACCACTGATCTTTCCGATAGTTTATTCCATAATTTTATTTAGACACAATGTTTCCAAAGAAGAGTAATTTCAACCCCAAAAGCCAAGACTGCAGTCAGCTGATTTTTGCATACAGCAGGATAACAAAATCTTAATTGGCACTGATGCCTGAATCTTCTTTCTTCTGTGTTACTTGTTTTACAATGTGCCATAACAAGTTCACCACTCCAGAAACACATCTAGAGCACACAATAAGGTTCACTAAACTAAAGCCATATTAAAAACTCACAACAAAGGTCAAAAAACCACACCAGTCACATGACCATCACCACTGAATTTAGATTTCTGTCCATTAATAAATTACACTTTGTTGATTAATCTAACCTGCTTGTTTTCTACTTTAAGCATGTTTCCTTAGTTAACATAATTGATTCTAGCAGACAACCAGTAAACAAATCAGAAACACAAGACATTCCTTTTGGGAGGCTGAGGAGGACAAAAAGATACACCTTCTAGTCTTCATCGTCCTACACCACAGTTTCTACTAAGGAAGTCTGAGTACAAAAGAGCTACAATGAAGAAAAATGTCTGGTTGACTATATACTGTGAAATTTTCTGATCAAAATACTGAAGGCTTTGTATTTGTATTCACAGTTAACTATCCTATCTAACTCGGTCCTAAATAGTGTTAACTGATTTATCCATTAATCACTATTTATGCACAGATATACACCAAGGTGACCTAGAATTTAAGGCACTCACTCCAATGGTCAGCAATTGCACTGCCAAATAATGCATTTTGATTTGCACTGAATTGCATTATATGGGTCTACATATACTGCAGTTCAAACTATGATTTGCATGAGCAAACCCAGGCCCATGAACCAGATGCGGACCTTTGGGCTGCTTCCTCCAGCCCTCCTCTGTCCTCTCCCCACAGCTGCATCTCAAGTGAGTTTTGAACTACATTTCATGGGGAGGGGGTCCTTCTCCCTCTCTCACTGGTGAAGAGAGAGAAGGAAAGGGAAGCCTGCAAAACTGCGACTGAGTGGGTTGCTGTGCCCTCCTGCCAGCAATGGCAGAGAGGCTCCCTCTCCGCCTTGTCCCTCATGCGCCTCAGCAAGTAAAGAGCATTTGGAGCTGAAGAGGCACAGCTGCAAAAATGCCCAGGAAGGATCCCACACAGGCAATCCTGGAGAGCCTGGGCTTCCCCACTGGCCCAAGGGGGGCTCTGATCTGCTCTGCTCTGATTGAGCACACAGGGCTTGCTTCCTGGGCCATGCCAAAGGCTGGGCTGATTGCTTTGCCCCTCATTATGCCTCCAAAGACTGCAGCAGTAACAGCAGAAATTGACCCCAAACACCTCTTTTCTCTCTTCACTTGAGCTGCATCTCCTCCTTCTGTGATGACCCCACCACCAGCAGTATCTTTGAAGCCAGAGCAGCAACCCGGGTCAAGGAAGGAGTGGGATAGCCTGCAATGCCTTGGCCTCTGTCCTCCTTTTCCCCCACCATCTGCTGCTATGCCCACCACCAGAGAGGCTTCCACAGCTGTGTGTCAAGCTCTCCTTTTGGCAGAAGGGCACAGCGGGCCACTGTGCCCTCCTGCCAAGAGGAGAGTCTGGGGCTGCATGCACCTGTAGGGATTTTCTAAGACCCCCATGCAGCCACATGTGAAACCCTCCCACCTCTCCCCAGCCTCCCCCCCCCCCCCCCGTACAAATAACTTATGCTGACCCTAAGGCTGACATGGGCAAACTTCGGCCCTCCAGGTGTTTTGGACTTCAACTCCCACAATTCCTAAACACCTGGAGGGCTGAAGTTTGCCCATGCCTGCCCCAAGGCAACATTAACATGGAGCATTCTTGGCAAGATTTATTCACAGGTGAGTTGCAATTGCCTTCCCCTGAGGATGTGACAGTGTGACTTACCAAAAGATTTTAATGGGCTGAGCAAAACTTCAAACCCTGTTTGCCAAAGTTATAGGCAAACTCAACTCAAACACCAGCCCAGCTCCGATCAAAAATGCATATTAAGTAGGGCCCTGTTATCTGCTGGGGATCCTTTCCAGTACTCCTATAGATACCAAAATCAATGGATGCTTAAGTCCCACTATTTACAATGGTGCCCCTTGAATAAAATGGTAAAGTCAAGGTTTGCTTTTTGGATTCTTTAAAAAAATATTTTTGAGCTGGGAATAGTAGAATCCATGTGTACAGAATCCATGAGATAGAGGGCCTACTAAAGTTAAAAATATAGAAAAGTTGAAATTAAAACATTATTAAATTAACTACAGAATTAAAGCATCCAATAGGCACTGACTGGTGGTGATGGTGCTGCTATTTGTTGTCAAGTTGGCTTCCATTGCAAGCTCAGGGTCATGATTTCTTTGACTGAATCAATGTCTGTAATGTTGACTTCTCTTTTCCTGCTGCCTTCCCCTTTACTTAACTATGAGGTACCATTATATGTCCAACGTACCATATTTAGCTAGATGAGGAAGGCAGTCGAGTCTTACATCTCCTTCCTAAACTGCCATTACTCCCCAGAATACATGGTAAAATGAAATCTGAAACATCTTGCCTGGACACCAGAAGAATGTAAAAGGTAACAGGATACTGCTCACCCCTCCATCCGATCCTCCCAGGGACAGTCCCCTCTCTGCTATTCTGTGGATGAAACAACAGTCTCAAATCAAGGCTTTGGTGCCACTGTTTGCTGTTTAGTGCTGCAGGTCATAAAATAATTGTCACAATTGCAAAGAAGCAGGAAACACATAGGGATGGCATTTGCTAGCAGAAACGGGCTACTATGGAAAGCATGATGAGAAGGACTCAAGACAACTAAAACCTAGTCATACCCAGAAAAAGTACTATTGCGAAGTGACCAGAAAAATTACGATAGCTTTTCAATTATTTCATTTTATTATTTCACATGTTATTTTAGTGTGAGGATTTTAATTGCCTTTCAGAATGTTATCATTTTCAGCTTATCCTTTTGTGAGTTCCTTGGCTCCTAATCCAGGAGAAAAGTAGTGTATAAATGGAATAAATAAATATGTATTTATTTTCAGTCCAGTGATCTGGAGCAGACTTCCAGACTACAAATGACCAAAGATTAGAGTGTGATTTTCATTTAAATTGAAATATTAAATTGAAACATTGTTCTGGTGAAATGCGGGAATTCATATGCAGAATGGGTGTTTACTGACTCTATTGAGGGAACTTGGTGTGGCAAGAGCAGCTGCCCAAACTCACTACTGAAAATATATGGAATAAAAAGGCACTTCATTAAAATCCTGATGCCGTCTAACTGTAGAGCCCACAAACAATATACATATGCAGGTTACTATACCAGATTGATAGATGGGAAGAAGGACTAGGATAATAACATTGCTTTGCATTCTGTAGTATCTGAAATTATTGTTCCATAGGGAATTGTGGTTTAATTATCTGTTAACTTGCCATGATTTGCACGTGATGTAATATTCTGGGAAGTAACCCAACATTAATCCATTTCAGACACTGCTAAGAACCACCCTGAGTCCCCACAGGGAGATAGGTGGGGGATATAACTAAAGTTTTATGCTTTATTATAAGAGTTTCATTCAAAGATCAGCACACTTAAAAAGGAAGAAAGCAGAGGGAAAAGCAGGAGGGCTGTTACACATTTCTAGTAGCTAAACCAGGTCCATGTACTACAGCACCCATCAACCAGAGTCAGCCTAGCTAACAGTGAGTGATAATGGGAGCTGTAATCCTCCAACCTCCGGAAGAAGGCACATTCCCCGATCTCATGCCATATAATTTGTTGACAAAGATGTTTGAGAGCAGTTGCCCCTTTTCACTTTGCTTTATGCCACCGTATTGAGCTGTATACTAGGAATTTTGATAAAATTATACACTATATGCTCTTTGGATATTATACTTTCTCTTTACATAAATTGCTTTGTGTTTGTTCTGACATCCAACAAGTATTCTGGGACATTGTATAGAACTAATGGAGCAACACCACACATTGTTCTAAGGGAAGGGGTTAGAAAAAGGATAAGAGCAGCAAATGAGAGGGATAGGATTGGCAAGTGCAACTCTGATATGTCCTGTCACTTGGTTTCTTTCCAGTAAGGAAGCTGCTAGTGCAAAACCAGAGGGCACTGATGGGAAACCCAGATAAGATTGCCATAGTGTCTAGGAGAAATCCATCCCTTCTACCTTTGTTGGGTAGGAAAGAAGAGGGGTTTTACTCTGTTTTAGCTCATCTTAAGATTCAAGCCAGAAGAGAGTTTGGGGATCAGTTTCCATGCTAAGTGTGGTCAATCTTCACCAACATCTCTTCCAATCATTTTCCTCTATATAGATAATATGCAAATAGCACTTTTAAAAAAATCTTGAAATATAATGAAAAGGAATAAAGGTTTTCCTACTATTCCCTATCTCTAGATATCATCCTCCTATCTTGGGTGAAAAGCATAAAAAAGCAAAATTTATATAATTCTATTACACTTACTCACACACACACTTTAAAGCCTTCAATAAAATAAGTTTGTATCCAAAAATAAAATTTACCTACGGATTTTCTCAGCTTCTTCCCTTTTGATTATGGCATCTGTTATCCCTCTTCCACACTTCCGAGGGGTGCAGCCTGGAGGACACATGCAAAACACACACACACAAAAACTTGTTTAAGCATTTTTAAATCTATTGTATTTGCCTTCAAGGCATTATCTAAGGGTCCTTCCCCAAGGGCAAACCTCTTTTGAAAGAAAAAATACCAAGAAAACTCTGGGAAAGGTTGATCTTGGGGCCGCCATAGGTCAGAAAGGACTTAAAGGCAGACAATAACAATGCAATTTAAGTCCTTCTAGTCCAGTGGTTCTCAACCTGTGGGTCTCCAGGTGTTTTGGCCTACAACTCCCAGAAATCCCAGCCAGTTTACCAGCTGTTAGGATTTCTGGGAGTTGAAGGCCAAGACATCTGGGGACCCACAGGTTGAGAACCACTGGACTAGTCTATTGAACACTCAAGACATGCATCTGTAACTTTAATATTTTATGGGAGTGGCTCATCTTAATGATCTAATCCACCTGTTTTTCTTCTGTGGACATTTACAACAACATTACAACTTTGCAGACACGACCTGGAGAAGACATATCGATTAAATGTCAGAGGAAGCTAACAATAAATACTAAATTAGAAGGCTGGTATTTAAGAATAAATGAGGCCCCTGAGTGTTTACTTTTTTCACAGTCAGGAGAAACCTTATGAGAATAAGGATGGCAGGCTGAAAACATGAATATATTTCTAATACAGAAAATGTAAAACTAATGTTTGAAATAAGGGAAAGGAGAATCCTTGGGGATGTAGCATTAATGGCCATGCATTGAGCAAGACAAATTCTTCATACTTGGTAGAGAAGAAAATGCCTGGGAAGAACTGAAAAAAATCACCTTCTATTCAGTCAGAGAGTGACACCTTCTGATTGCCTTTAAAGAAACAACAAATAGCAAAGAAAAATGTTTCCTTCCACAGTCAGGGAACAAACAGCTACAGGTATGCAGTGTTGGAGTACCTACATTTTATTTATTTTATTTATATCCCGCCTTTCTCCTAGTAAGGGACCCAAGAAAGCATGCACACCTTTAAAGCACAATGCAACCCCCTTCCCCCTTTCAATACAAAAGTAAAAATACTATTAGACAAACTTTGATTCACGTTAAAATACAAGTTTCACAGCATTAATAGATATCCACACAACAGAAATTGAAACTTCTATATCGTCTCCTTATTTTAAAAAATCCACTTACCTGCCATTTCTAAATGCCTTATTAAATAAAAACATTTTCACCTGCTGGTGGAAAGATAGCAGGAACCCTTCCAACTGGACCTCAAAGAAGGCTGTCTACTGAGTTCCCTCTAACCATACCAGTGAAGGTGGAGGGATTGAGAGAAAGCTGTCTTCCACATGTTTTAAATGGTTTATGTGAGAAAATACAGCCTTTCAAATAGTCTAGATTCAAGCTGTACAAGGCTTTAAAGGTAAAAACCATCACTTTGAATTCTGTCTAGAAATGGACGTGTAGCCAATGCAGCCATTTCAATAGGGAAGTTACATTATTCCTGAGCCTAGTCACAGCCATTTGGACCCGCTTAAGTTTCTGAACAGTTTCCAAAGGTAGCTCCACATAGAGTAAGTTACAGTAATCCAAACAGAATGTAATCAAGGTATGTGTCACCATAACCTGATCTGACCTCTTGAGGACTGAGCACGGCTGGCACACTATGTTTAACTATGCAAATGCACCCTGGCTCAGTCAAAACCTGGACATCCAGACTCAGATCTGAGTCCATGAACTCAAGCTACAAACCTGAGATTTCCCAAGAGATATCATCCATCAGGATCCACAACCTTTTGGGGCAGATCATTGTGTTGAGTTCCAGTGAGATTAAAGTCCACCATGTAGTGATTTCTCCATGACAACATGGGCAGAAAGTTCCTCCACACTCAGATCACTACTATTCCATCCCGCACAGAAAACTAGGCCCAAAGTTTGTCCTGTAGAATGGGTGGCATCAGAGAGACCTTGATTGTCATGGAGGGCGTGAAATGCTAAGCTGCCCCAGACAGAGAGTTCTCTGTATGGATGCCAACATCTCCCCACAAAACTAGCCCAGGGGGACTCCAACATCACCACTGAGACTAACTCAGCCAGGTCAGGAAGGGGAAGTGTTGAATGGAATACTGAAGAACCCCTACGGTGACTTGGCCACTAACCTTCAAAGATATGCACTCAGGGGACTGGGAGAGGGCACCTGGATAGGAAGATGGGATCCTAATCGACCTCACACTTTGGAGGCAATCTTGCCAACCAGGAGGCCCCCTTATATTCCTCTCCAGGCAGGTGCGCAAGTGATGACAACACTGATTCAGCAGCTGCTGAATTGGTATCTAAGGAAGCTAGTGGCACAATTATTTGGGATCCCTTTGGTTGCTTTTAAACCTGCTCTATTCCGACAAGGTTGTTTTTTTTTCTTGAAAGCAAAACAAAGCTTTTGTTTACCAATATGGTACTCATTGTGCTGTTTTATGGCTATTCTTTATATTAACACTTATTTATTGTTACTTTGATTTCTTTTTAAAAAAAATTCATGTGAATCATGCTTTCAGTTGCAAGGTGTCTTGAGATTTATTTTATTGCTCACAGGTGAGATAGAAATGTCAAGATCAATGGATAACTACAAAGTGGTACTTTTCTTTGGTAAGCTCTTCAAACAACTGAACTTAATGGTACACTGCAGTACTAAGAAAAAAAAATGGGAAGAGGACTGCTCAATTCTCAGGGCAAGGAAAAATCTCCCTGAAACTGGCAGGAGATAAATTACAACTCACAAAACTGTCCTCAAGGGAGTAACAAACTGGGTAGGATCTGTGGATGAGCAACAAGTTAACACTATATTTATATAACCGCAAAATCAGAAACTTAAGCAACTGCAACATGTCCTAAATCAGGTTACAGAATGAAATGTATCATTTTAAAAATATCACTGGCGCCCTCATGTGGAAATCTGGAAAATTATATTGAGAGAGATGCAAAAATAATTTAATATATGTATTTTATAGTATTATGTTTTAATATATGTATTTCATTGCATATATTTTATTTATGCTGATGTGTTTGACTATGACATCATGCAGTGAGGAGAGACAGGTAACAAATAAAACTGGTGATGGTGGTGGTGGTGGAGGAGGAGGAGGAGAAATGGTTCTATGTCCTAAAACTGATTTTTAACTGTGATTTTTTTTAATACTGTTATGTTTAATTCTGTTTAAATGTTTACATATTTGGATATTTAAAATTATGTGGTCGTACTTTTAATGTACGCTGCTTTGAGTCTTCTTCGGGAGAGATAAAGCAGGGGATAAATAAACATAATAATAATAATTCTCAATTATCCAACTTCATTGGATGACTTTAGGGTTCTCTATTATGTTTCAAGTATCATAGAATGTACTTTCTGTCCACTACAAACATGTGATAACTTTTCCTAAGTTAGCATGCATATGTGGAAAATTGGAAATGTTACATGTAATCTTATGTGGAAAGGTTACAAATGAATAACCTTTCAACATAAGAAAAGTTTCACTTCCTCTATTCTTTTTGGCTGTTATTTTGAGTTGTTCCAGATTTGTATGACAAATGCACTCACAGATCCCTAGAAGCTCATTACAGTATTTTTTAAAGTTTTAATTTAACTGTAATTGTAAATTTAACTGTCTTTCCTAATTCCCACCAATGTGGAAATTCACAGCTACCATGTGCAAAGTCAATATTTATTATCTACTCACAACACTAGGAAATAATTCCGCCTTGAGTCCCCCTGCCGGGGTTGAGAAGAGCAGGGTACAAGTATGGTAAATAAATAAATAAATCCTGATCACTCACAATCACTACATATGTGAAAATTGTGACTGCTTACTCACTCATCTTGGGAAAATTCTTCTAGGGCAGTGGTTCTCAATCTGTGGTGTTTTGGCCTACAATGCCCAGAAATCCCAGCCAGTTTACCAGCTGTTAGGATTTCTGGGAGTTGAAGGCCAAAACATCTGGGGACCCACAGACTGACAACCACTGTTCTAGAGATTCTTTGCAAGGTGTCTGCTTTGGTTAGACTGTGTTGATTTGGTAGCATCTGAAATTTTGACCACTTTGCTAGAAAATCTGCATTACCCAAAATTTAACAACACATGTATCCAAAGAGCAGTTTGTAGAATTAGTAATGAAAACATACCCAGTGTCCCACCACTGGCAGAAACTGTAAACATCAGATTCTTTTTCTTACTGTTTTTCAAGCTTACTAAGAACGCCCAAATAATGTGCATTACTAAATATGTACATTTTTAATCTGCTCCAGTACCCATCAGTTAATTAGAAAACATTTTTAAAGGTCTACATTAGTAACAATGTATACCAAAATATCCATCAATTTCCATGAAGAAAGAGGGGGGAAAGCTCCTTCAACCCAGCAGATAACTTGAAAGGACAAGAATGTTGGTGGGATCTGAGAAATTTTCACATCTCTGCACCTCATTTTGAATTCCACTGTAAGAACTGTATATTTAGTCCTACGTTCTGCTCCTCTTCTTTAGTTGGTTACAAATTCATAATTTGTGCACTTATCCTTTGAATAAAAAGTTTGCTCACAGGTTTTTGATGAAGACCTGTGCCAAAAACTTTTTAAAGTATACTAGAACAATCCTGTCCATATATTTGTTTTAGACTCTCAAAGAAACATCTAGAGATGAATAAAGATGTCTAGAAAGAAAATTAAAAAACGGTTCGTCCTGAAACAGATCATGGAACATTTTTTTGTGGAACTACATCCCTAATGTTTTAGAAAAGATGTTCTCAAACTCCCCAAAAATGATTTTCGAAATAATGAAGGAGGAAAACCTTGATAAAAGACTGAATAGTTTTGTTCATCACTAACACAGTCTTCTAACAACTCAAGAAGCAACTGCATTATCTAATGGCTACTTTAGAAATCAGACTATATACTGATTTCTGCAAAAACAAGATCAGGAGCAGACTGAGGCACAGAACATGTTTCACTAATACCAAAAGTTAAAATAAAGTTAAGAAGAACATTAAACTAACCTCAGGGTAGTAGAAAAAGAAGGCTGTATTCCAGATTGATATAATCAAGAAAACCACAGCCATGAATTTGCAAGATCTGATCAGGGCTGTTGAAGATAGTCTGACTTGGAGATGGATTACTCATGGAGTTACCTAAACTAAAGTTGATTTGAAGGCAGCTAACAAAAAGTAGCATCACATTATTACATTCTCTGGACTTAGGTCTCTTCTACACTGACACCATAAGGCAACTTGAAATAGGTTTGAAAGGAACTGGTTTTGCTGTGTAAATGATCAAAATGCCATGCTTGGAAACACTTTGAGGCCAGGAAGGTAATTACATTTACCATAGAACCTGGCCACAAACCGCTTTGCAAGGTTTCTTTTCCTATGTCCTGGAATGTTGCACATCAGTGATTTAGAGGCATACAAGTGAGGAAAAAAGGAAAAGTGACAGCAAGAAATCGTGCCTCCCGGGATCCCGCTGCTGCCAAACCATGCCCATGGGGTGTTTTTTGGTACAACCCCCCCTCCCCCGCGCACACACACTTTCTGGATTCTTTACTGCACTTTACTGGTGTGTACAATGTGCTCCACATTTTGAGGATCTGATTTCAGTTTGAATCTAGGATATACTGGGATCAGCTGTAGGACATAATATAGCTTACACTGGACTTTCATTTGACATTTTAAATGAGCTGTTTCCGATTTAATCCATGCTGCAGCATGCATCGGCAGTATATGTTTGTAGCCACCACAATCTCAAGTTAGTTTGGAGCTGTATTGTATGGTCAGTGTAGATGGGCCCATAGTCTCCTTTTCTCAGGACACATCTACACTGACACTATAATGCAGCTGGGAACTGGGATCTGCTTCAGCAAATTAAAGGGCCAAACACAGATTTTCCTGTGACTTTCTTTAATGTGCTGTAGACCCTTTAATCCATGCTGCAGCTTGCATTGACAGTATGCGTTTTGTGGCTGCCGTGTTTCAGGTCTTCTTGAAGCCACATTATAGTGCCACTGTTTGTTTTATTGGAATAAATCAGTTATCTCAATACAGTCTAGAATTTCATTGTTTGGCACTACTGTTTGGTTCCCTACTATATGGTTCAACTGGTTGGAATTCCTTCCTGAAAAAGTTACTTAGGCAATGACAACCTGTCCCAGACCTTCTACAGCCAGAAGGACACAATTTATTCTGCCTCTGCATTCATATTCTTTTTAGCACACCTTTCCACTCTTGTTGTCCATCAATTCAATCACTACTCAGCTGATTGCTTTCTTCTGAAGTATATGAAGAAAGATAAATTTCCTTCATTTTCTAATAATACAAGCCTAAAATTACTTTTCTGCATCCCTTATTATCAGCTTGTATTTCTCGCGCCAATGTTTGTTGTCCTTGTTCTATTTGATCAGGCGATAAATTTTCTGAAATAAACCATTTATTAGTTTCCATTCAACTCTTTCATTAATGACACTGACATCCACTTGAACTTGTTGGTATGTGATCTGAGATAAATTTGAAGTGACCTGTTATTGCTCTTAAATAACCTCCAAGAGTTCTGGAAAGACCTGATCTCCAACTATTGCTTTAATTTCCTTTTCAGTAGTCCCTGCATTTTATGAAGAAAGTTCCTCTTATGAAACCAGGTATAATGATCTTGGTAGTTGTCCATTTTAATCTGTATTAATCAAAGTCAATTAATCAACAGTTCTCATACCAGGCTCTTGGTATCATAGGATGAGATCCAGGGTCATTGACCATCTAGTCAGTTTATTGACCATAAGGTTGTCCTTCACCATACAGAGCAATGATGCTCCCACCATGCTCTTCCAGTTTGCTATTAAAGAAAATTCTGGTTTTCTTAATTTCACTACATTTCTATTATGCTCTCCACAACTATGATCTCATTTAAAACCATATGTACCAGCAGCACTCTGGTTCCATTCCAGTTCAAGTGAAGTGCTTTCATATAGTTGGGAGAATAGTTGCATAGCTTAAAAATTCTGTATTCTAAATTTTGTTTATCAATACTTCCAGAATTCAGTATACCTTCTATTTCAACAGTAAGCAGTTAAAAACCACTGAACACCATGGTACTTTTTCAACATTTCCAGTGTTTTTTGTTGTGTTAACCCTCAACATCGGTGTTTAGTGCATACCTCCTCCCTCTCTGTACGAAGGTCCTTCTTCACCCCATCCCGGAAGAGTTTCTCCCTCACAAATAATCTGCTCCATTGCTCCTTCACCCCATGTTTTTAGCCTTAGTATTGTATTCTGTACATGCGGCCCACTCACTGTTCTGTGTTATGAATGATTTTATTGTAATTTTATACTGTCTGCTGTATTCTTATGGTTTATGTTTTATGTAATTTCTTATGCTGTTGTTTGTGTTCTGATTTCATTTATTGTATTGCGTTGCTGGGCTTGGCCTCATGTAAACCGCCCTGAATCTCCATTGGGGAGATGATGGCAGGGTACAAATAAAGATGATGATGATGATGATGATTACTATTATTGTTATTATTATTATTGTGTTCCTTCAAGCATTTGGCAACCATAAGGCAAATCACAGGATTTGTTCAGAGGGGATTTGCCTTTGTCTCTCTCTGCGGCTGAGAGAATTTAATTTGCCCAAGGTTAACCAATGAGTTTCTATGACATAACAATGGATAACAATAACCCTGAAATGTCCAAAAGAATTCTAGGTACTGAACAAATATGAGATATTGAATACATTCAAAAAAGACGTGCTGCCCGAAGGTATGCCAAGTTAACAGCAACTCCCTATTAATACAAGGGAATTTTGCTGCAAGATAGAGCTCTGCCATGCCTAAAGCAGTTTCAGCAAAATACCAAAAGTAATTAAAACTGTAAACCTCTGCATTATACATCACAATTGTAGGACAGGACTCATTTGTGAAAAGGTTTGATTCCAAGCCACTCTGGGTCTCCATCAAGAGAGAAAAGTGGAACAAAATAATAATAATAATAATAATAATAATAATAATAATAATAATAGCCACAGATGACCTCTTCAGTAATTAAGATTTTACCTAGAATGGGATGAACTCAATCTGTATCATAATGGGTAGAATTAAGTCCTAGAAAATGAAGCCTCTGGATTCTGTATTGGATAATATTACATGCCTGGAAATTCAATCTTGCTCTTTTTCATACGCTTTAGATGTATTGTATTTCTTCCATTTTAAGATGTGCTTCCCCCTCCTCCCTAATCAACATGTCTTAAAATGGGACGCATCTTAGAATCACAAGTACTTTTAAATATATATAAATAAAGCTTTTTACTCTGTGTCACTGAAATTAATTTGCATTTCATAATCTGCATCTTAGAATAAAAGAGATATTGTATTTGGGTCAAATGGAAAGCAAAGATTTATCTCAAGAAAGAGGAAAACGGGGCAGTAGAGGCTGATAAGAAAGTAATAGGTTTACTCAGTGTGACATTTTTCATTCTTTGCTCAGTTGAAAGAGGTTGGGAGGGGGGAGGTGTAAAGATGGCATTACAATAAAAGGCCCAAGGCAGAAAAAAGCTTCCAAGGTTAGAAGAGTCATGAAGGAGTGGGAATTCTGCTCTAGTCCTCTTTGGCTAAGTTCACCAAGTTGATTTACAACGTGCAAGTACCTTCAAAACGCTTGTGGCTGTCATAGTCCTCTGAGCAGGGTATTTCGATGAATCTATCTGGTAAGTGCTCACTGTAATGGGCCAAAACTTCTGTAACTCCATCTTCACTGAGAAAATAAGTCCCACTCAGGAGGTAGCCCAACATGGCAGATGAGAGAAGGAAAGCCACTTTCAGCCACTTCCGGCGAGAGTCTTTTGGGACATTGCCTTTTACACCACTGAAAAACAAAACCAAATCCCTAGTAAGAGAAACAGAATCTCTAAACTTTGTGATGCATCTTAATAACAAACTCCAACTTACTCTTCACCTGGGGGTGTGGGGGGCATTAGCAAAAGTAAAATAAACACTGACAGGGGGTTACAGAAATGCAAGAGGAACATGACCACTATTTGGAATAAAATGCAAAAGTACAGTTGTTTTTAAATGCTGAAAAAATTTCAGTTACTTATATCGTTTTATAGTCTGTTTTACTTTAACATTCAGACCCTACACTAACGGATGCAATGCAAATATTTTGTTTCAATAAATAAATAAAAATAAACAAAAATATGATTGCAGAGTGTATTATAACTGAAGAACATATGCTGAAAATCTTCATTTGAGGGTAGACTTCAGAGCCAGATTGCAAAGCAGATTATATGACTTTAAAGTGACACTAGAAAGCATATGACCTGACAGATGGTGGTTAAACACTAACTTTCATAAGTCCTAGCCAGTTTATTCAATAATGAGGAATATCAAGAGACGAAGTCTAATAATATCAGGAGAGTCACTAAAGAAACTGGCAAAACCACCTCTGATCAGTCTTTGCCTAAGAAATCCCTATGAAAGTCATGGAGTCACCAAAACAGGTATATAAAATGTAAACATCTTTTGTGTGACCTGAAGGCACACAAAAGGTGTTTACATTTTATATACCTGTATTTAGTCTAACGTGCCATTGAATCTAATGCACACCTCAATTTTCAAAACCCTGAAACCAAAAAAAGGATTTGCGAATATAATGCACAGCAGCAAAAAGTGTAATTTAGCCAAAAAAAGATATGCATTACAGTTGCTGGCTGCTCATAATTTATTCTTGAAAAACAAAAGTGTTAGAACAGCAAAGCTTTCCACAATGGAAAATAAAACCTTGGAATGCATCTATGCTGTAAAATGAATCCACTTTAACTGACTTCGCTCAATGCTATGGGGTCATGGGGGGCTATAGTTTGGGATCATGGGGGCTGCCAAAGAATGCTGATGCCTCACAGAACTACATATCCCAGCACTTCATAGCATTGACCCATGGTAATTAAATTAGAGGTGACATACAGTAGAGTCTTATCTAGCCTTCGCTCATCCAGTGTTCTGTATTACCCAACACAGTCTCCCTCCTGCCTGGATCCACAGCTGTTTCAATACATTGTGATGTTTTGGTGTTAAATTCATAAATACAATAATTACTACATAATGTTACAGTGTATTGAACTGCTTTTTCTGATGATTTGTTGTAAAACATGATGTTTTGGTGCTTAATTTGTAAAATCATAAGATAATTTGACATTTAATAGGCTTTTCCTTAATCCCTCTTATTATCCAACATTTTCACTTATCCAACTTTCTGCTGGCCAGTTTATGTTGGATAAGCGAGACTCTACTGTATCTCGAATGGGAGCTCATAAGTTGCCATATTATGCACATCTAATGCTCACCCTTATTTTGGGAAGGTAATTTAAACAAAAAAGGTGAACATTGGATTTGAGTTGGAGACCATTGTAAACATAGAGGGAAAGCTGGGCACTACATATTGTAGTAAAAATCCACACATACTTCAGCACAATTCTACACAGTGAACGTGTCTTTGTTTCCTAGGCCTCTTTTGCCCCAAGCAGCAAATCCATCAGGGTGTTTCAGCACTTAGCAATAAACAGCCAGAATGAGTTTTGTAAAAGATTAAGACTAACAATTCACTCTCCATGAATAAGTCATAGCTCGCTAATAATATCTCTTCTTCTATATTCCACAGAGAATCTGGACACCTACTCCTGTGCTCTCTAAGTCATATAATCAGCAGAAGAAGTTAAAAGGGTTAGTGTTTTATTTATGGAGTTTTATTTCATTCTTTCCTCAAGGAGCTCAGGGGAACACTCCCACGCTACCCTGGAATTAAATTGTAAAGTAGATTACACTGCATGCAGCACTCAAGATCCTCTGGTTAGCTTTGTGGCTGAGTAGGGAAATGAATCCAGGGCCCCATCTACACAGCCATACAATGCAGTTTGATAAGTTTACCTTAGGGCACACATGTCAAACTCAAGGCCCGTTAGCCAAATCCGTCCCACTATGTCATTTTATGTAGCCTTCCAGATGTTGGACTACAACTCTTGAATTCCTCATCATTAGACATCATGACTGGAGCCGATGGGAGTTGTGATACAGTAACATTTGGAAAGTTGCCATTTGTTCTGTTTAGTCAGGAGAGTTTGAATTTATTTACCCCATTTGTATACTGCCATTCTCGGCCCGGAGGCAACTCAAGGCAGTTCACAGTCCATTTGAAGCTTCTGAACAGTCACATAGAGTGCACTGCAATAGTCTATTCGGGATGTAATCAGATCATGAACTACCGTAGAATCATAGAATCAAAGAGTTGGAAGAGACCTCATGGACCATCCAGTCCAACCCCCTGCCAAGAAGCAGGAATATTGCATTCAAATCACCCCTGACAGATGGCCAACCAACCTCTGTTTAAAAGCTTCCAAAGAAGAAGCCTCCACCACACTCCAGGGCAGAGAGTTCCACTGCTAAAAGCTCTCACAGTCAGGAAGTTCTTTCTCATGTTCAAATGGCCAAGTCAGACTTCCCATGGTACAGGCGCAGCTGGCGCACAAGTTTTAACTGTGTGAATGCTCCTCTGGTCACCGCCAAGACCTGGGGTTCCAAGCTCAGTGATGAATCCAGGATCACTCCCAGGCTGTGAACCTGTGCCTTCAGGGGGAGTGTAACCCCATCCAGCACAGGCTGTAACCCTATGACCTGTTCAGCCTTGCGACTGACCATGAGTAGCTCTGTCTTGTCTGGATTCAGTTTCAATTTGTTCTCCCTCATCCAGACTGTCACAGCAGCCAAGCACCAGTTCAGGACTTGAACAGCTTCCTTAGTGGCAGGTGGAAAGGAGTGACAGAGTTGGACATCACCTGCATACAGGTGACATCGCACCCCGAAACACCGGATGACCTCCCCCAGTGGCTTCATGTAGATGTTAAACAACATGGTAGACAAAACTGAGTGCTGAGGAACCCCACAAGTCAATGGTTGTGGGACTGAACAGGTGTCTCCCAACAACACCTTCTGGGAACGGCCCTCCAGGAAGGACCGGAGCCACTGCAGAACAGTATCTCCAAGGCCCATTCCCGTGAGGTGTCCCAGCAGGATACCGTGGTCAACGGTATCGAAGGCCGCTGAGAGGTCCAGCAGAATCAACAGGGACACACTCCCCCTGTCTAGCTCCCGGCGTAGATCATCCACTAAGGCAACCAAGGCTGTCTCGGGTCCATGTCCTGGCCTAAAGCAAAACTCTGCCGGATCCAGATAGTCTGTGTCTTCCAAGAATACCTGAAGTTGTGAAGCCACCACACGTTCCAGGACTTTGCCCAAAATGCGGAGATCGGAAACTTGCCAATAGGATGGGCAGGGGTCTAGGATGCATGTGGTTGCTCTCACCTCTCCAAGTATCTTGTCCACATCATCAGTTGATTGAAATGAATCCATCAAAATCGGACAAGCAGGTGCTCGTGTTACATACTCAGAGACTGCCATTAACATGGTGTCCAGGCCAAAACGGATCAAAACGACTGTCCGCAAAGCATCAAGCAAGTGCTTCACAGCAAGCTGCCGAGCTGTTAGGGCTCCCGTCCAGAGAGGCAGGATTTAATAGGCCTCTAATAACTTATAACAGCTTTGCCGGACAGTTCCTTCCGGACGCAATATTGGCTGCCAGAAAGGATTTCAGTGCAGTTTTTATTGTTGTGGCATATACTCTTAGAAAGGCATCTAGCCGTGTTTGATTTGACTTGCTCGGATCTGAATACCACACGCCCTCTAGTTTCCTCTTCCTTCGCTTTGTTGCTGCCAGCTCCTCATTGAACCAAGGGAATGTTTAACTCAGCTACTTGAGAGGGACATTCCGAAGCAATCATGTCGATTGCCCTAGTCATCTCCCCATTCCAGAGTGACCAAGGCATCAACAGGATCACCTACCGAGGCGGTGGGAAACACCCCAAGAGCCATCAGAAATCCATCATGATCCATAAACCTCCTTGGGCAGACCATTTTAATGGGTCCTCCATGTGGAGGTTAGGGGGCGCAGTAAGCCTAAACCTGATCAGGTGATGGTCGGTCCATTTAGATACAAGGCTTTAGCTATCATGCCTCACTTTAAAATGTCCTTTAACCTTTCCCCAACTTTAGAGTCACAAGTGAAGTTGATTTGCAATTCCCACTATCCCTAGTATGCATAGCAGATAATCAAAAGTGATGGCTGATGATATTGTTCAATAATATCTGGGGGCTGAAAACTAGGGGAAAACTAAAGAGCACCGCTCATTGTGTAAAAACAATTATAGTTTTCCCTCTCTATTCAATGTTTCTCCATCCATGGATTCAGTGGCCCTTTGAAGGCAACCATAAGGTTGATGTGGCCCTCCATGAAAATGAGTTTGATACCCCTGCCTTAGGGTCTCTATAAGTCAGAAGCAACTTGAAAGTATACAACAAAACAATGCATAACTGTTAAACCTGAGAAAAGAGGATGTGTGTACATTTGCCATATTCACAGGATACATTCATGTATGCAAGAGTAAACACTTAACACGAATTCCTTTTTACACGAATTCACATGCAGTAAAAGGGTAACACTTTGTCATTTCCCTCGAGCGCTTCTACCCATAGTACCATATATCTTCGGTCCTGAGATGCTACCAGTTTTAAGATACACACATCTTTCAGTACCACCAACAAAAAAGAGCTTTATTTGGAGAGATAAAAAGCCCCCTTGGTTCTAAAATGCACCCCATTTTTAGAGATGTTTATATGGGGAAGGGATGTGTGGCTTAGATTCACAGAAATACAATATTATTTGAACTACACTAGGTCAGTGGAAGTTGTGTCTTCCACGATCCAGCCATCCCTAGCACCTCCTCAACATTATTTAGGCATCTCAGCCCATCACAATGATTCACACCTAGGGAACACTGGCAGGATGGAAGCTGTGCAAAAACCAACAAAATTCAAACGTCACTGTGTTTCATCTCCAAGAAAGAGGACAATTAGAGGAATGATACAAATTGAGGCTCCTTCTACATTGCCATATAATCCAGATTATCAAATCAGATAATCCACATTATCTGCGTTGAACTGGATTATCTGACTCTACACTGCCATATGATCCAATTCAAATGAGATAATCTGGTTTTATATGGCAGTGCAGAAGGGAGCTTTGGATTTTGAAGCATTTTGGCTTTCTGAAGCCATGGCTCATTGCTATGGAGTCCAGAAAGCCAAAATGCTCCAAAATCCAAAACCATGGATGGCTGAAATAGTGTTTTCTGGTAGTTCAATGCACACAAACTTTGTTCCATGCACAAACGTATTAACAATATTGTATAAAATTACTCCTTGCCTATGTGTATAAGGCATGTATATGAAACATAATTGTGATTTTATAGCTGTAAGTGGTAATGTCTATGTTTCAATTGCTTTTAATCTTGTTTAGATTTTTAACTGAATGTTTCTTTAGTGTTAAATTGCTTTAAGGCATTGAATTATTGCCTCTGCTGTAAGCCGTCTTGAGTCCCCTTTGGGGTCAAGAAAGGCAAGATATAAATATAGTAAATAAAAAAAATATTGAGTTTAGATTGGCTAGCTCTACACTGCAGAAGTAATGTAGTTTGACACCAGTTGAACAGCCATGGCTCGATGCCCTGGAATCCTGGGGTTTCTATTGGACTGGCTTTATTGTGACCCAAGCTGAGTCTATTTGAGAGTAAAAGTGGTGGCACAGCGGAGTAAACTGCTGAGCTGCTGAACTTGCTGATTGACAGGTTGGTGGTTCGAATCCAGGGAGTGCAGTGAGCTCCTGCTGTTAGCCCCAGCTTCCGCCAACCTAGCATACAAATGTGTGTAAATCATATATACAAATGTGTGTAAATCAACAGGTACTGCTTCTGCGGGAAGGTAACAGCGCTCCATGCAGTCATGATGGCCACATGATCTTGGAGGTGTCTACGGACCACGCTGGCTCTTTGGCTTAGAAATGGAGATGAGCACCAACTCCCAGAATTGGACACAATTAGACTTAATGTCAGGGGAAACGTTTGCCTTTACTGAATAGCTGTAATAATGATGATTTTTTTGTTATATCAAGAGCGACTTGAGAAACTGCAAGTCGCTTCTGGTATGAGAGAATTGGCCGCCTGCAAGGACGTTGCCCAGGGGACGCCCAGATGTTTTGATGTTTTATCATTCTTGTGGGAGGCTTCTCTCATGTCCCTGCATGAGGAGCTAGAGCTGATAGAGGGAGCTCATCCGTGCTCTCCCCGGGTTCGAACCTGCGCCCTTTCGGACTTCAGTCCTGCTGGCACAAGGGTTTAACCCACTGCGCCACCGCGGGCTCCAATGATGATGATGATGCATCATACATCATCATAAAGTAGTTTGGGTTGTTGTATGTTTTTCGGGCTGTGTGGCCATGTTCTAGAAGCATTCTCTCCTGACGTTTCGCCTGCACCTGTGGCAGGCATCCTCAAAGGTTGTGGGGTCTAAAAGTAGTTATAGCCTTCTCTGCCAAACTCCCAGGATTCCATAGCAGTTAAAGTGGTGCCAAACTGCATTAATTCTGCAATGTATCTGCACCGCAAGAGGTTTCATTCGGCATGTGCTAATATTCCAGGTATGCCCTGATTGGCCTGAGAATCCCAGGCGTGGAATTCCGGGAGAGGGCGCATCCACACGGTAGAACGGGTGCCCTTTGACTCCATTTGAAGTGCCAAGACTGAAGGCTATGGGCTCCTGGGAGTTGCAGTTTGCAACCTTTGGCAGAGAAGAGAGACCTTGCAAAACTACAGCTCCCGGGACCCCATCGCCTTTAGGCACGGCAGTGCAGGCGATGTCAAGCGGCATCCGTTCTCTAGTGCAGATGCAGCTTCTGCCTAGCCTGGTTAAGAGAGGCAGCAGCAGCAGCAGCAGGTGCCCTTTCCCGTCCCGCTCGAAGGGCTCGCGCGGTACCTGCTCAGCCGGCGCCGCCCCTCTGCCCTCGCGCCCCCGCTGCTGCCGCCGCCTCCTCCTCCGCCGCCTCCTCCTCCGCCGCCGCCCTCCGGAGCTTTGGCCCCCGCGCGCCGCTGCGGAGCCATGGCGCGAGCGATGCCTTCGGGCGGCCGCTGCGCGCGCCTGCAAAGGGAAGTCTTGAGCGGCCAATCAATGGGCGGCGGGGGCGGCGGCCAATCAAGTTGCGCCGAGCTGATTCCGGAGAGGGCAGGCGCGCTGAATCGAGCTCAGATTGGGAATGGAGGCGCGCTGAGGAGCCCAGCTGGGAGAGGCCAGCGGCGGCGGCGGCGGCGGGGAAAGAGCAGAGGGCCTGCCCTGGAAGCCAGCGCGGAGCCAAACCGCATTCGTGCTACAAGGTAGGAGGGTGATGCACCCTTGGGGAAGGCAGCTGGCTCTTTTGCAAGAGCCTGGATGTACACCTACGCCTAGCATCGATGCAGTTGGACCCCACCGTCGCGCAATGCTATAGCATCCTGGGAGTTGTAGTTTCACAAGGCCGTTGCCTTTCCAGGGTGCTTATGCCCTTTAGAATGAACCCAGTTTACGCCACTTTCACTGCCGTGCCTCTTTTTGTGGAACCCTGGGAGTTGTAGTTTCGCAAGGTCTTTATATATTTACTAGCCGTCCCCTGCCACGCGTTGCTGTGGCCCACATGGGGGTTCTGGGTGGAAGGTTAGGCCCAATTCTATCGGTGGGGTTCAGAATGCTCAGATTGTAGGTGAACTACAAATCCCAGCAACTACAACTCCCAAATGTTAAGATTCTATTTTCCTCAAACTCCACCAGTGTTCACATTTAGACTTATTGAGTATTCGTGTAGAGTTTGGTCCAGATCCATCATTGTTTGAGTCCACAGTGCTCTCTGGAAGTAGGTGAACTACAACTCCAAAACCAAAGGACACTTCTCACCAAACCCTTCCAGTATTTTCTGTTGGTCATGGGAGAACTGGGTCTCAAGTTTGGTTCAATTCCATAGTTGGTGGGGTTCAGAATGCTCTTTGATTGTAGGTGAACTATAAATCCCAGCAACTACAACTCCCAAACGACAAAATCAATTTTTTGAGTGAAGGACATACATTGGGTTCTTGGGTTTCTTGTGTTCAAATTTGATGTCAATTCATCCCGTGGTTTTTGAGTTCTGTTAATCCCACAAATGAACATTACATTTTTATTTATATAGATTTATTTATTTACGACATTTATATGCCACCCTTCTCACCCCAAAGGGGACTCAGAGCAGCTTACAAGATACACACACACAATATATATTAAATTATTAGCATAGTCCAATATCAGTATTATATATTACTATATTGTACTATACCATTATATTGTAATATTATTAGCAATATTACATATAATATAAAATATATAATTATAATACTGTATTATTATTGTTAATATTATATTGTATTACATTATAATATTATAAATATTATATGTATATACAATATATTATATTATATAATATTATTGGTAAAGCACAGGAGACAAGATGGAACTGTCTTCAACTGTAGCCCTTGCTCTTTTCACTCTGGCCTTCTCTGCCAAAGAGCCTCCCAAACTACAGCTCCCAGGATCCCATAGAATTGAGCCATGATGTTTAAAGGGGTGTCAAACTGCATTAATATTACAATAGTCAAACTTTGGCCCTCCAGGACTTCAATTCTCCTCATTCCTAATAGCCGGTAGTGGTTCTCAGCCTATGGGTCCCCAGGTGTTTTGGCCTACAACTCCCAGAAATCCCAGCCAGTTTACCAGCTGTTAGGATTTCTGGGAGTTGAAGGCAAAAAATCTGGGGACCCACAGGTTGAGAATCACTGCATAGGCTGTTAGGATTTGTGGGAGTTGAAGTCCAAAACACCTGGAGGGCCAAAGTTTGTCCAGGCCTGGTGTAGGTGCACCCAACCCAGCCACTTCAACTCAGCCAAATTATTTACTATTTAAACTATTTACTATTTAAATTATTTACTATTTAAACTATTTACCAGGCACAGAACTGAATTGAACAGTTTCAGAATACATTTATATACCACCCTTCTCAGTGTCGATGGGGCCCAGCTCTTATGCTATGGGAAAGGCTTTTTCTCTTTTCTCCATTCCTCACGAGAAACAAAATGAATTGGCTTTACTAATGGAAAAAATCCTCTCAAAGTACTCTCATATGAAATGCTTGGAATGCAAATTGTCTAAATTTTGGAGTATTTGCATATACACGATGAGGCTTCTTGGAGATGTACCCATGTCTAAACATGGAATGCATTTGTTTCATATATGTAGACTGAAGACACATGCATTATTTTTCTATAATTTTGTCCACGAAACCATGTAAACATTGAATCATCCAAAACCAAAGGTGTCACTACCTCAGCCACCCATGTGGACTGTGTTGGAGCATTTTGGATTTTAGATTTCCAGAAACCTGTACTTACATATTTGCAGATAATAAGATCTTTTGGTGGGGTTTTTATTTTGATTCTGCTGCATTATTGGCTTGTATGTTTGGGCACATACCATTTGTTTATGTGTTGGTTGCACTTTACAGCATTGGATATTTGCCCCTGTGTGCTGTTAACCGCCCTGAGACCCCATTGAGGAGATGGGGTGGGTTGCAAATAAAGTTGTTGTTGTTATTATTATTATTATTGTTATTATTATCACCATCATCATTGAACAACAAGCTTAATGTTTATAGAAATTTTCCGCATTAAAAATACCTACTGTTTAATGATGTGGGAAAGCCCCTTTTATTCCCAATCTTTACTGCTTCTTTCCAGATAACGGCACGTGGGTTTGCTGCTCCCAGGTACGCTGCAGGGAATGGCTTCTTCTCCCTTTGAATTGCGCCTGGTGCACTTGGACCTCAAAGGAGCGCCACCAAAGGTCTCATACCTGGCAGAGGTAAGTCATTGTTTGTCTGTGTGATCAGAAAGTTCATGTTGACTTGGTTTAGCTTCACAGCCTGTGGCAAGTTCTGTTGTTTCTACTGATTTGTATCGAGTGTATTTTGCACCTAATGCGGGATCTTCACTGCCGTATAATGCAACTTGGAACTGCATTACAGGCAGTACCCGAGATAAAAACATCCAACTTGCAAATGACTCCTAGTTAAGAATTGGGGTGAGAGAAATCTACCCCTAGGAAGGGAAATTCACTCCTGTAAGGTCATCATGGGGAAAAGGTATTTCCACTGAAGATTTATCACCAATCTTTTTCACAACAAGCCACATTTTTCAAAATCCATGTATCACAGGGACAGAAAGTGAGCTGAAATCTTCTGAACAGGGGCACAGAAAGCAAAACAAAGACCTCAGGCATGTTTTCCCTTCCCTATGCTTGTGCACGGATTCGGAGTAGTTGGTTCCCTTTGGCCAATCCGGCTTGTTAGGCTTGGCTGGATGGCCGAAATGGCAAGGGACCAGCTTCCATGTTTTCCCATCCATAACAGGACCACATGGCAGCTGATCAAGGCTCCTCTTCCCCTATGCAGCATCAGTGTTTCATTCAGTGTATTTTTTGGCTTGGCTTCTGGCTTGGTCTCTCTCTTGAATCTTTTTTATTTTCCTTTATTTTCTTGATTCATTTTACTTAGTGGGACTGACTGGGAGTTGGGAACGTGTGGGATGGGCGGGTGGGGTGCATGCGTGCATTTGGGGGCTTAGGAGAGTCACTCTTTTAGCTTCTTTTTCTCCTCCCCTCCTTCAGAAAATACTTCTAAAAGATAATAATATTTATTAATAAACAAAAAGAAAAGCCTCATTCTCAGAAAACTACTACTACCTAGTGACCTCTTCTCTAAAGTAGAAAGTTGAAACAGATTTAAGGAAGCATTAAATCTGAAGCAGAAATGTTACATTGTTCTATATGCTGTCTGCTAATTTCCAAAAATCCATAGCAGCCACACTTGTCAAGATAGTAACTATTTACATAAATCAGGGATTTATTTGGACTGGACAACACAATGAGACCATGTATTTCTAAAGCAGTGTCGCACGTTCTTGTGCCAACCTTATGAGCTGCTTGTGCATCTGTGGAGAATTGATTATGTGCAGATGCAGTCCTCTTGATTTGTTGCCCATAACTTCTCTGTAAAAGTAAATTCTTCTGCCCATAAATTGTATACCCAAAAGATCTATTCTGTGTTCTTCAGCGATTTTGATGGTATTCCAGAGCACAGTGCATATAAGGATATTTTCTCATTCTTTTGCTGTAAGAGGAATTTATGTTTCCACAGAACAGAACTGCAGAGGAAATTCTCAAAGCTAGTGGTAATTTTTCTATCACACTTGTTTCTATTCATATTTTAGTATGTGTTACACTGGAATTTAGTTTACACATTCATCAGTATTTATAAATGTCAGGAGAATTGAAGGTTTTCTTAGATATTCTGTCTGGTTTTCTAGCTCATGTTTATTACATTTGTACCTCTCTTTCCATAAAAGTGTCAGATAGCCTTAGGTTTTATGTCGCATGCTGTATTTCTTTCTGCTGTGAGAACTTGCACAACTTGCAAAATAGGAAAAAAAATAAAGAAAAAATGTGATAGCATACACAACTGAAAGTCAAACAAGCACTATAAATCATTCACAGTACTGCATGTAACTGCAGATTTCTCTCTGCCTCTACCTAGCTTTCTAGAATAATATATGAGGAGTAAGATATTCCAGATGCTATAGGCTACATTTCAGAGGAAAAAACCTGGGAAAACAACTTCTGATTATCCCTTACCTAAGAAAACCCGGTAAATTCCATGAGGTTGGCATGTCAATAAATAGCTTGAAGGCACATACACACACATATGCATGAAGATTTAAACCAAGAGGCATGTAAGATTCCTAGATAGGAGGTTTCACAAAGAGGATTAATTCCATGGACATTCTAGTTTGCAAGTAAAGCAAAACAATGTAACCTGGTGCCAGCTTATATTCTTATATCTAGGGTCGGAAAGGCTGTATCTGGATAGGCCTATTGTAAGGTGTATTAATGTCCACAAAAGCAGATGTTGCTATTCTACACTGGCCTGAGATGTCAGATATTTTCTGCAACCCACAGGTCTTCCCATTGTTTCATGCCCTGGGTGCAAATGGAATTCTCTTGGAATATGAAGATATGTTTCCTTATGATGGCGAACTGAAGCCACTCTGTGCAAATGATGCATACAGGTAAATCACCTAATAAGCTCGTCTGTTTGCATTAGTCTAACCTTCTCAGATATGCACCCATCTTGAATTTACCTCTAGTTGCGTTATCACATTATTTAAAACAGAGTTACCAATGCAGATCGTGTGCAGGCATACATAGCTGCCTAAAAGGTGGAGTGCATTTCCTACTATGAAGCAAGCTCTTTACATAGGAATATCTGGCCTTGATCCCAGTGCTGATTCTCCTTTTTATCTTTTGTGTATCCTGATCGTCACTACTCCATGCTTTAGCCCCGCACTTGGCATATATATCTACCATACCCAGCTTTGTTCTTTTTCTGAGTACAAGACAGTAAAAGGTTAATTACACTGGGTTGATTCATCCATAGTAGATGGTGTGTGATTTTATGTTTATGTCCAAAGCCATGGAAGCAGTTGTAAACAAAGAGGCCAGAGAAGGGAACTAAGAACAAAAAGAGAAATGGGCAAAGTAGGAACTGAAGTGGCAGAAGGAAGGTGCATGGCAGGGGAACAATGTTGAGACTGGCAAAACAGATCTGAAGATTGGGCCAATCAGGAAACATGTGCTTAAATCCTCTTTCAATTCTAATTAAAGTAGTATGATAGTTGCAATGCCAGATTGGTCTCACAGCAGAGTTCCTATTCCTGCTTAGCTATAAAAACATACTGAATGCCTTGGTTAAGCCACACTTTTTCATCCTGAGAAGGCGGCCATGGGAAACCTCTTTGACTAAAATCCCATGATAGTGTCAGAATCAATATGAAGGCACATTGCAATACAACAAATTTGATCCATTAAATCCATTCAATTTATCTACATATTGATTCAAAATTTAAGAATTATTGAAACTGACCAACAAAATGCTAGCACTCACATACAGACAAAATTTAGACTCTTTTCCAAGAGGATCACAGTCATACTAGTGGTAGTCTGTGCCCTTTGATATATGTTTGCACTTTGATATGTATTTACAATTACATACATAACTGAATAACTTTTTAGTTATTGTTTGGTAGAGTAGATAAGATAACAAGCAAATGAGAGGCATAACTCAGAAGAAATCCAAAAACTATGGAAAAGAACATGAGCCCATTAAGATGCCAGTGTATCTCGTCTTGTTCTTCATAGCGCTAAGCACTCCCTAAAGCCAGCATAGCTTTCTAAGCCTCCAGCAGAAAACTGCCCACCTTAAATTTTTATTTTTTATTTTAGCAATTTCTTTAATAATAATTAACAAAATATCAAGGGGGAGAACTGCACATTTTTGATATTTTGCCTCAGCCACAGAGGCCTGGAGTAGTATGATGTAAAGAAAAGGTTAAAAAGAAAATCTCTTGAGGGCACAGTTGTAAACTGTTTTCTAATGCCAGTGAGACTTTAATCCGATGCCTATGTCTATATGCTTATGATCTTAGTACCAGAGCATTAACATATGCATAATTTTGTCCATTTGTTCTGATAACTGTATGGATTTAGCCCTGACTGTGATAATCAACGTGGGCTCAGAAGATACTGTCTGATAAGAGACTAGTTCAGTTGATACTAGTGTGTAATTTCGACAAAAAGGGTGTGTTTAAAATTCTGATCCCAAGTTCTTGTAATTAAACATACCACTAATATCGCTGTTTTCCTTTTCCAGTACATCAGAGATTAAAGAAATTCTAAAGCTGGCAAACTTCCATGAGTTAGAGGTTATCCCTCTCATACAAACATTTGGACACATGGAGGTATGTGATGTTTCCTTACTTGAGATTTATTTTTTTCCTACACTGTGTTCACAGACATCATTGATATTTCTTTCTGTATGTAAAAACGTGGTTTCGCCATATACTTCATTACACAAAAGCAATACATTTTGATCCTCACAATAATTCAAATTTCTACTCACAGAAATGGCAAAAACAATGGTTGAGGAAGTGGTAAAAGTTTATAAAAATATACAGCTATCATAATAAATAACAAAGTTTTCATGGGTATCATGGCCACCTACTGGAAAGTTGCTTTGGTATTTCTGCTGACAAAACATTTTGTTTGCCCCCACAGCATCTAATATCAGCATACTTTTGTGAACTTCTTTTTAAAAAACCTTCTTTAAATGATGCATTTGCTTACTTTTCCTGTCTTCAATGTTTCGATTTTCTATTGCAGTATTCAGAATTTCCCTTCATGTGTATTTCTATGTTTGTTTAGGAATCGTGTAAGTCTTGTCCAAAATTAATTTTTACAAGATCTACCACATTGGTTTGGAAATTCTTGAATCTGTAATTTTTAAATAATTTGGAATTGAGCTTTACTGTCATGGTTTGGGAGTTTTGATACCTGTAATTCAAAAGTAACTTTTCCTAGCTTTGCCATGTCAGTTTGGAGATTCTAGAAGCTGCAATCCAAAGAAATCTTGTACAATTGCTTTTGCTATGTTTTTACTTTTGGAGCTGAATCCTACTGAAGCAATTATAAGTCTTATCAAAAATAAGCTGGAAAAAAATTCAGCTACTGAAAAAGTCAACAGTTTTTACATTTGATCGCTGGATTCTGTCTTCACAGCCTTGCAGATTCTTTTTGTTACCGTGTATACATGGATTTACTTCTTGCTTTTTCTGCAGTTTGTTCTGAAGCACAAAGAATTTTGTCACCTGCGGGAAGTAGCAATGTTCCCCAACACTGTGAATCCACACAAAGAGGAATCCCTGAGACTGGTTTGCACCATGATAGACCAGGTGGTAGCCCTGCATGGTGAGCTTCGATGGCTTCACATTGGCTGTGATGAGGTACGATGTGAGATCTGGGGATGACATTGCTACCACAAGAACGGGGAGGCAGCACTGTTTAAGAACTGTTATGTCCAGCAACTGCTACACTGTGACTATCTTCTTAAGGCAGTGGTGGGCAAAGAGTAAAAAATATTTATGCTCCCAGATGCTCTTTAGGGGGTGGGAAAGACCATTTTCCAAGGACCTCAAGGGTCAAAAACAGATAATTTGCTTCCAAATGTTCTCTAGAAGTGCAGTTCCAGCATATTCTATGTTCCTACTCGAAACAGTTTTAGTCTGGGAGCTGACCTTTTAAAAAAAACAAGTCACTTCTCCTAAATAGGCCCTGGAATCCACCCAAACCTTGGTGAAAATGCCCCCTAGATTACAAAACTCTGAGGGGGTGGAACCAGGGGCAGAGAGATGTGTAGCCCTCTCTCTTGGGTGGCTAATGCAGACCTTAGCTTGTTGTTTCAAGTTTTATTGTCTTCCTTGACCCTTCCTTGATCTTACTGAGAGGTTCAATTCTGCAATTACAAGATAAGCAGAATTGTGATAGAAGCTGAAAATACAAATTTCAACCTGTAATTTAAAAATATACCACTCAATATGATATGGTATTAAACCAACAATATGTTGATATTAAACTCTACCCTTTTGTTATGTGACTGTTTTTGTGCTAGTGTGATTAAACTATGGTGTTTCTTCCATGTATGCAATGCGTTTGTAGCAGGGAAGAAAACATGTGAACTTCTGTAAATCTCTCAGCTTTGGTTTTCTTGAATCGTTTAACAAAAATAGCTTGCTGGCGAGAAACAAGTGAATCCTTAGATATATGATCAGATATTTGTCAATCTATCCTTCCTGTCTTTATGAAGCAATGACATTAGGGCTTTTGTCACATTATACCTAACACGTGTACAAACTGCCTATGCCTGTTCCTCCCAAACTTATTCTTCGTTATATGATTCGTATAGTTGCATTTGTTTACCAAAAAAAAAAATGCTGTGCAGGTTCAGACCTTCCTAGCCTTCTGTCATCCACCCCTGCCCCCCAAGATCCAGTGACAATTTTTTAAAAAAATATTGTATTTTTATGATTGTGACAGTTATAGGCATTTGCGTTTCATTTGGAAAAATAGAAAAATAAAAAAGGAATGCACTGAACCCCCCCCCAAAAAAAACACCCCAAAACAACTCATTGATGGAAAGAGGTGTGCACTCAAAATCTCACAGTACATAGCCGCATTCATTCTTTCATGTATACAGATCTGTCACCCTGGTCCCTATGTAGAGAAACAGCCCCAAAGCATGATGTTGCCACCCCCATGCTTCACAGTAGGTATGGTGTTCTTTGGGTGCAACTCAGCATTCTTTCTCCTCCAAACACGACGGGTTGTGTTTCTGCCAAACAGTTCTACTTTGGTTTCATCTGCCCATATGACATTCTCCCAGTACTCCTCTGGATCATCCAAATGCTCTCTAACAAACTTCAGTCGGCTCCGGACATGTACTGGCTTAAGCAGGGGGACACGTCTGGCACTGTAGGATCTGAGTCCCTGGCGGCGCTGTTACTGATGGTAGCCTTTGTAATGTTGGTCCCAGCTCTCTGCAGGTCATTCACTAGGTTCCCCCGTGTGGTTCTGGGATTTTTGCTCACCACTCTTGTGATCATTTTGACCCCATGGGGTGAGATCTTGTGTGGAGCTCCAGATTGAGGGGTATTATCAGTGGTCTTGTATCTCTTCCATTTTCTAATTACTGCTCCCACAGTTTATTTCTTCACACCAAGCTGCTTGTCTATTGCAGAATCAGTCTTCCCAGTCTGATGCAGGGCAACAATTTTGTTTCTGGTCCTTCAACAGCTCTTTGGCCTTCACCATAGTGGAGTTTGGAGTGTAACTGCTTGAGGTTGTGGACAGGTGTCTTTTATACTGAGAACAAGTTCAAATAGGTGCCATTACTACAGGTAATGAGTGGAGAACAGAGGAGCCTCTTACATAAGAAGTTACAGGTCTGTGAGACCCAGAAATCTTGCTTGTGTATAGGTGACCACATACTTATTTTCCACCATAATTTGCAAATAAATTTGATAAAAATCAGACAATGTGATTTTCTGGATGTGTTTTCTCATGTTGTCTTTCATAGTTGAGGTCTACCTATGATGTCAATTACATACCTCTCTCATCTTTTTAAGTGGGAGAACTTGTACAATTGGTATATGTCTAAATATCCCCCCCCCCCCCCCGTATTCTCTGGAGAGCATATTTGTTACTAAGAAATGCTTGTTTTCACTTGCATCTGTCTTCCGTATTGTAATGTGTGCCCCAGCCCATGGTCTACACAAACCAAGAACAGGTAGATCCTTCTTTGTTTCCTTGCAGTTCCACAGTGAGTAACACATGATAAAACAAACTGAAACTAACTTAAACTTGTGGTGATTGTCATCTCTAGGTGTACTACCTTGGTGAAGGGGAAGACTCCAAGAAGTGGCTGAAGCAAGGGGAAAATACAATTGAAAAGCTGTGCCTGGCCCACATGAAAGCAGTGGCCAGCCATGTGATCTCAGCCCATCCCACAGTAAAACCAATTGTGTGGGATGACATGCTGAGGGGAATGAATGAAGAAACACTGAAGGGTAGGTTGCCAAAGGAATGGGATTCTGGCAGCAGCTTTATAACACTGGAATTCATTGCTGTCAGAACAGAAGCATTGTAAATGGAGGTAGCTTCAGAAATCTGTAAATGAAAGATAGATTTGTTTATCTATTTTATTCATTTCTGCCTCACCTTTAATGTATGTTTTTAATTTATTGATTTATACCAGACATGGGCAAACTTCGGCCCTCCAGGTGTTTTGGACTTCAACTCCCACAATTCCTAAACACCTAAATTTGCCCATGTCTGATTTATACCCATGCTTTTCCCCAGAATGAGATTCAAGGTGGCTTACAATAATTCTAAATAAAAATGGAGCTAAAATGTTAATTTGTAAAAGTTGAATAGACTTTAAATAGCATTATTGAAACATGATTTAAACAGTTAGAAAATGTTAAAATATATAAAATATAGCCTTAATAAAAAATTAAATGCAGCACTCAATTTGATGCACATAACTCTATAATAAAAATGAAGGGCCTATGTGAATAAAAACATATTCAACTGTCAGCAGAAACAGAGCCTCCAGCAGAAGGGTTTCCCAGTCTCAGAATAGGCATGGATGTTACACAAAATGCTACAAAAAAACTCTGTGACTAGTAGTTCTCAAAAAAACATGTTACTTTAGTGTCCTGAGCCATATGTCCAACTACAACTTTATTATGTTCTGAGCAGATTCAGCACATCACTGAACAGAATTAAGAAGTTAAAAACTACAGGTGAAAATAGTTTGAAAACTACCAAGCCAATTCATGATACTATTTGAACAAATGTGTGCATCTATGTTCATGAAATGTGAATAAATAGCATTTAAATGCTGTGCTGAATCTCAGAGGAAGTAAAGCGGAGATTTAGTACTACATCTTCCACTTCCAACCTTGGGCTCTTCTTTATTTTTTCCAGAAGGCATGTTGTTTTTGACATTTTTTCCTGAACATTTGTATATTACATGAAGAAATCCAATTGATGCCTATTTGAGAACAGATAACAACAAATATTTATAATCACATTTCTGCTTCCTTCCAGATTCTGGCTTAGCACAACTTACGGAACTGATGATCTGGGACTACTCTCCAGATCTTGAAGTGGACATTAAAGGTTTGTACTGTTGGGTGTGTAAAATAGAGAAAAATTCATTGTAGAAATCATGATTATCAAACTGGCACCACATAGGGCTGTGGGGGACAAAATGGAGCAAACCTAGCTAATCCTTCCTGAGGACCTTTGAAGGAGGACAGAATACACATATGATAAATATATCATTTGTATTGGCCTTCTTCACAAGCTATTTTCAGTGTTATATGACTAGATTAGTGCAAGACAATTTGTGATCCTCTGGAGCAGTGGTTCTCAAACTTTTTCAGCGTCGGAGCCCTTTTTGAGGCAAAAGTTTCTTATGGAGCCCCAAGGAATGTTTATATATTATATTATATATAAAGTACATATATCAGGCATGGGTAAACTTTTTAACACATTGTGTTTCAAAATTTGACAGACGGGCTAGATGGATGGTGACTGTTTGTAAATGAATTGAAAAAAAAATGAACAAATTCCTATGCACACTGCATATATCTTGTTTGTAGTGCTAAGAAAGAAAGGAAGGAAGAAAGCAGGCAAGCAAAGGAAAGAAAGATGAATACAGTGTTTAAAATGAAGAACAATTTTAACCGACATAAACTTAACAACATCTTAGTGGAAGACCTCAGGGACCATCCAGTCCAACCCCCTTCTGCCAGGCCTTTCTAATAATAGTAATAGTAATAGGAGCAACCCTGAGTGGTGGGAGGGAAATACGGTTTTGGAAGCAAGGAAGGCAAAGGGGGAAAAGCTTTTGGCGGCGAGGGAAGCGGGGAGGAGCAGGAAGAAGGAGGGAAAGCTGGCAGGGGGAGGAGGGAACCACAGAGCCCCAAGGGCCCACTGGAGCACACGTTGAGAACCACTGCACTATATAACTGCTTCTTAAACTGTGGGTCACAACACCAAATGGGGTCCCCTTAGCTCAGCGTTGGGTTCTCAAAAAGGTTTTGGCAACAGTGAAAAAAAATTGAATGCCACCCATTCACACAAATCTGTAGTGTTTGCAGTGGACTCTGCAGAAATCGCTTCATGCCACAAAAATGAAAATCAACCTGTTTGGCAAGACTTGCAGAAGCTGATTCATTATCAGTAAAAGTGTTGTTTTATATCTATTTCATACACCCATGTACCTGGGCTCACATAAAAATTTATTTGGCAGAAAGGGGATCGCAAGTGGAAAAAGTTTAAGAAGCTCTTCTCTAGAAAATGATTGGATTGTAACATTTATCACTCTGACTGTTGACATATAGACTGGAGCTAAACGGAGTTGGAGTTCAGTGAGTTTGGGAGGCCATGGGCTCCCCTTCCTGGCTTAGTAATGGAGTCAGATTGGAAAGCTTGAAGCTTGGATCCTTCATCTGTCTCCCTCACCTTTGGTGTTGGGAGTAGAAAACATCTGTCTATTTACTGAGATCACCCACATATCTGCTGCTCTGGGTTCTTAGGAAAAAGACAAGAAATGTGAGAAATAGCCTATTAATCGACAAAGTGATTAGTAAAAGAATTAGTTTCTTCCCTTCTGAACATTTGCTGGAGGTATTTTGACCATTATTCTTAACTGGTTCTGTTCTCATCTTTCTTGCATTCCAGTAAATCTTATAGAAAAATATCTGAAGAGTGACTTTCCAAAGCTCTGGTTTGCAAGCGCTTTTAAAGGAGCCACTGGTGTGAACCAATGCTTAACAATGATTGGACCCCACCTTAAAAACCACCAGCAGTGGCTGAAAGTGGCTGCGAGCATCCCTGCGGGCGCCATCCAAGGAATCACACTGACTGGCTGGCAAAGGTAACAAAATCTTCCCTTGGAGCTCGAGAGATTTTTGGCATTATGAATATGCTGAACATTGTTGTGCTTCTCCTCTTAGGAAAGATCTGAAGGCCAAAATTGTTCAGGTTCAGTTAAAACAGTGTGCATGTTTCTGGCCCATCACCGTATCTGCTTCCACGTCCTGATACTCCCTACCAAGAATGACTAGGCTGGTTTCATTTCTGTTGTCTTTCCGTTAGCAGGCAAGGGCATTTTTATTTGGACAGACTTTTGGCATTGCAGCCAATATGCTTTGGAAAGGGTTTTTACCTTGAAGGAGTTCTAGTTATATTATTGATATGTTTTTAAAACAATTTATGGTGTTTCTAAATGCATGTATACACTTTACATTTCAGTATTGTTAGCCCTCTTGAACTCATTTTAAAAAGTAGGGCGTGCATTTAACGGCTGTGTTATCTGCTATTTAACAGCACTGCGTTTTTTTTCTTCAGGTATGACCACTTGTCTGTTCTGTGTGAACTTCTGCCTGCAGGAATCCCATCCCTAGCTGTATGTCTCCAGACACTGAAGAATGGTATAACTCTCTTCTCAGTCAAATCTAAGCTGGATGTGGGTGTTTAGTAGCAGAATTTGCACATTCTTTCAAATTATCAATTCTGTTTGAATTTCTTCATCCTCTATCAGGACATGCATTTTTCTATGCAACCGAATCTGATAGGTAGCCACATTCCCTTGATTCAATCATTTATGAAACTAAGGATAGATAACAACATGGGAAATTGAAGTTATGACCCTTGAGCAGATATTGTCTGCAATGAAATGTGACAGGGTCACATCTGAGTCCAATGCTGTTTACTAGATGATCATGGTTCTTAAATCCAGTTAAGCATGGTTCGTATTAATGCTCATATATCAGCACTGTATATTGTTTGATTGCCTCTCCCATCATTCCTCATTACTTGCTGTGAGTGCTATCATTGTATCTGATGCAGAGCTTCAAAATATTAAGTTTTGAAGAATAATAATATATTTGAAGTTTTGAAGAATAATGATATATTTGAAGTTTTGAAGAATAATCATATATCAAAAGCAACGTAGCAGGTGGAAACAAAGCTACTCTATTAGAAAAATAAGTTTCTAATGACTTTTTAAAGTTGCCTTTAAAGATTGCTTTAGAGGTATATTACAATTTTTTCTCAATTCTGAAGAATTTATAATGCAAAATACCGGTATTAAAATCATGTTAGATTTTTCTATATTGTAATTGAGAATACAGTTATAAGGTATATGAACAAAACCACAAACCAAGTTAAAAACTTGGCAGTATACTGAATTTCCTATGACCAGAAGCATAAAAACAAATTAATTTTAAATGATGGATAAGAATACATTATTTTTAAAAACTGCTTTCCAAGTTCTAATTTGCTGGACTACAAGTTCTCTCATCCTTACCATATAAAATGGAAATATTGTTATAATCCTTGTTCGGTTATTTGAGCTCAATCCCAGATAGCTAAATTTCTATATATCTGGCTTGATGAAGCCATAAGTGGGAAAAATGTAAACTGTAAGTAATTACAGGCATCTCTCAGTTAACAAAAAAATGGGTTCCTGGGCATTATTTCTTTAATAGAAAATTTGGTACCAGGTGGAAAAATAGTATGGAAGGAATATGAATAGGTTTCTATACTACAGAAGAAAAGAACACGTCAACAAGTATCAAGTGTTTTAATAATGAGATATAATTTTTTTAAAGATATAATTGCTTTTGTTTCCAAAGATAGCTATTCAGAAAAGGTAAAAGAAGATGTTGAAAAACTCCTGGGGATCTCCAGTTTGGAAATAGACACTTTCATGAGGTAAAAGCTCCACGCTCTGGTTTGCAATGGCTTTTTTGTAAATGAATCTATGACTAAAAGAAGCATGCTTTAGGAAGGAGCCAAAGTATAGAAGGAGAATTGATTCTCTGTTGGCCAGTTGCAATGTCAGAAGTTAAAGTCAAACAGTGATCAAATAAGGCTTGAATTTGAAAGTTATTCAATTAAAATAACTACTGATTTTGACATCTTTTTGGCATAAAAGATAAAGGCAGAGATTCTCAACTAGTATTTGCTTGGAAACCTTTGGTGTCATGAGAGGTCACTAGGTGTTTCTTAATAAATCATGACTGAGAAAAAAATAAGCATATTTTTGAACTGTGAATATATAAATTTCCATATTTATACCCCGCCTTTCTCAACCCCTGTAGGGGACTCATGGCGGCTTACAGCGATTTGATGCCTTGCAAACATACATAGTAAAATAAATATATACATTAAAAAGAATCATAAAAAACATACCAAACCTAAAACCACTTATTTAAAATCAGATTATCCAAAATCATATAATGTTTTTGATGGGGATTTTTGATGACGGTGACTCTGGGAGGTATCTCATTCATAATGTTGTTATCACAATGAATCAAGAGCAAATGACAGAAATAACAGCTAACATGATCACTGGCTATTATTATAATTGTACTGCCTCCTCAATTAGCTTTTCCAAGCTCTCATTCTTTTCTAGTACTTTACATACAGTGAGTCCCTGAGTTGCAAACATCCGACTTACAAATGACTCATAAGAATGGGGCTAAGACAACAGGGAGTTAGAGAAATCTTCCCCTAAGAAGGGAACTTCTCTCCTGAAAGAATTATCATGGAGAAAAAGTGTCTCCACTGAAGCTTTCCCGCCAATCCTTGTTTCCACAAGTAGCCAATTTTTTCAAAATCCATTTGGCTGGAGTTACACTGGAAAAATGTACCTGTTCCCACTTACATACAAATTCAGCTTAAGAAAATTCAACTTTACTGACATTGTTATTGTTTACTGATATTGTTATTGTCTGAATCTGGCATTAATTTATTGCCATAGTTTGTAAGGCACCCTGAGTCCCTCTTCGGGGGTGAGAAGGGTGGGCTATAAGTACAGTCAGTAAGTAAATAAATAAAAATCCCACAAAACCTATCTTGTTCATATGCTTTCTGGCATTTTTGTTCAGACCTAAAGAGCAGGGTCAGAAATTTTAATGCATAATACAAGAAAGCAAATTCATAATATCAGAATTTATTCAGAATACTCACAAGGATTTTACTTTTGAACAGTGACATCTCAGGGACTTTCCCCGGAAGTGAAATTCTCTCACTTGTGACCCAAATTGCATTCTACCTCAAATCCTCAGTGGATGAACTTTTGGAAAACAACAGGTAAGACACCGAGAAAAGATGGTACTCTAGTACTGTTGGTCTAGAAGTTTTTTGGTTTGTTTTTTTTTTTTTTGTGTTTGTCGTGTCAGGAGCGACTTGAGAAACTGCAAGTCGCTCCTGGTGTGAGAGAATTGGCCGTCTGCAAGGACGTTGCCCAGGGGACGCCCGGATGATTTGATGTTTTTATCATCCTTGTGGGAGGCTTCTCTCATGTCCCCGCATGAGGAGCTGGAGCTGATAGAGGGAGCTCATCCGCCTCTCCCCGGATTCGAACCTGTGACCTGTCGATCTTCATTCCTGCCGGCACAGAGCTTTAACCCACTGCGCCACCGGGGGCTCCGGTCTAGAAGTGAACACCTATGTAAATTATTGCCTTTTGAGAGTGTATTAACAAACCCAAAATTAACACCCATGTTTTGATCTCATCCAGCCACTGAAGTTGCAGTCCTATTCACACTTTTTTGGAGTAAGCTCCACTCAACTCAAAAGAGCTTATTTCAGAGTAAAAAAAAAAAAGAGATAGGATTGCACTTCAGTATAATTTATTTTCCCACCATACATTATGAGGTGGGACTCATTTTTAAACCATCAGAGTACTGTGTAGTTAAATGTTAGCATGGAGTAACTACTCCATCCTGAGTAAATGCCTTGTCAATTTGAAAGCTATGTAATGTTTCTAATATATGATACTTAGGTTTCATTTACATTCATATGTGCTGTAGGTATGTCACAGGCTGGTTTAGTCCTTACCACAGAAAGAGAAAGAAGATCCATCCTATAATGATTCATCATTTTCAGCCAGATGCATTAAGGTAATTTGGGGTCCCTGATCTCTTGTCAATATTTTCTCCACAGAGTTTTCTTCAGCAGATATTCACAAATCTTTTTATGGACTCTCCAAACTAAAAATCCCAAAAGTTTTCAATGAACTTTCCAACCTGCTGTTGAAGGGCATCCTTTTTCCAGAAGGAGTGGCACATTAATTCACTTGGGGTGGGAACCTACACATTCTTGCATAATTTGAGAAAGTTGACCTAATAAAGCAAAAACTACTTATAGTCGTCTCGAGTCCCCAGAGGGGAGATGGGACGGGATAAAAATAAAGTTATTAAAATTATTATTATTTAGCTCATATGGCAAATATATTAACTTCTAATCACTATTTTTGCTCAGGCTTCTGACCAAATGGACTGCTGTGACACAAGAGCTCTGTACAGCCATGGAAAAGGTCTTCTATGCATCTGCAATTGAAGAATGGATGGAGGAGAACGTCCAGCCCAGCCTGCAAAAACTTCAGGCCACAGTAGATGACCTGGACAAAGCAATAGAAGCACTTTCATAGCTTTCTTATGGTTCTATGGCCCAAAGTGGTATAGCCCACATCAGGGAGCTCAGTAGACCTTGGTACAAGTGAGAGAGTTCTGCTGATGTCAGATCTGCTGTTCAAAGGATCAAAACTGAAAGCATTCAGCAGCTTGAAATTCAGGTGGCCTTTCAGGGAGATAAAATACAGGTATTTCCCCTTCCTTGGAGGGAGAAAAAAAGACACCCAGCCCATTGCATTGCATGTGGCTGAGTAGGGTCCACTGGAGAAATGAAAGCAGACATAAAGCTGTCCAGGCTGTTCTTAAGGCTCTCAATTAAAAATTTGTGCAGCATCTTATGCCACAGACACTTTATGCTTTTAAATAAACCTAATATTTTGCACAATTTGGTTATTCGTATGGTACAAATATTTCCTGTGGGAACAGTAGGTAGATGTGTTTCTCCCTTAAAGCCAGAACCATTGTGGCCCCATGAGAATGGATGGTGGATGATGCAGGAATAGAAAATGTGAAGTGCTACATTAAGTAGGGTACACCATTTGCTACCACAAAATATAGAGATGGCTGCCAAACAGGAGGATACTAGTTAAATTATAAAATACAAGGCCACCCATGACTACTACTAGTCACGACGACTGAATTGGCTTTGTAGAGTAGAAACAACTGTGAGGCTGCTGTTGTATTCATGTCTTGCTTTTGGCCTTCCACAGACATCTGGAATCATGGAAGTTGTAATCAATGCCATGGGATCATGAGAGTTTTACTTTTATAAGGTCTTTACCTTCTCTGCCAAAGAGAGCTGATGCATTGCCAAATTACAAATGTCAAGATTCAGTAGGAAAGCATAGCAATTAAAATTGTGTCAGGCTGCATTAATTCTACAATGTGGATGCACCATGGGAAGACACTGTGAGAAAAGATAGTGGTTGACTAGATTGGCTTTTGATCTACTCCAGCAGATTCTAGATACACTGACTTTACATTAACTGGCAAGATCACTTGTGATTAAAAGTTCACCTTTTTTAATATACCTAGATATATATGAGAACCAAAATGTTCTTTAAAGGAAACTGATTTCTCTCAACTAACTGATCAGCTAAAACGATGATTCTCTAGAGCAGTGTTTCTCAAACTCTGCTCCTCCAGCTGTTTTGAACTTCAGCTCTCACAATTCTTAACAGCTGGTAAACTGGATGGGATTTTTGGGAGTTGTAGGCCAAAGCACCCAGGGACCCACAGGTTAAGAACCACTGACCTAGATGAACAGCAGTGGAGGAAGGCCATTAGCCCTGTGAATACCGTGTTCATACTGGGTTGTGGCAGTGCTAACATGAACCTATCACAGAGTTTTCTTGGCAATATTTGTTTGGGAGGAGTTGCCATTGCCTTTGCCTGAAAGAGTGTGACATGTCCATGGCGGAGCTAGGATTTGAACTCTGGTATCCCTGACTCCTATTCCAACATCCAAACTACTACATCATGCTCAAGTCTTTACCCAGTGTAAAAGAATAGGAATACTACTGCCAGTCTGGAGCAGGCACCTTCTCACCAGAGTTAGAAGAGAAAAAATAATACATGCACTTTTTCATTACTGTGGATCACCTCATTCTTAATCCTTCACAACAGATAGTTTTTCACTTTGTCATACACTTTAACTTGAACATGAATTCAAATCTTCAACTACATTCAAGAGAAACAATCCCAGCCAATGCAACCAAAGTTATATACATTGCACTTTAAGTCCTCCCAGACATAAAGTTCCGTTGAAAAGTATTGCTTATTCCTGATGAATGATGTATAGACTGGAGTCTTAACAATTTATGAATTTGTGACAAATTAAAATAACCCTATTCTTTCTGGAATATCATGTGTATTAACTGTAATTCCATAATTATTTGCTAAAGAATTTTTAAAAGCTTTGCATGACATATCTCCAATAAATGATCCTTTGGAGTTCAAACAGATAACATGTATTTACTATGTTCCGTATTAAACAAGAAACTAACTACAGGGTGATCTTTTTAGCTCCCCCCCCCCTCCCAATTTGTTATTGTTGATGTTTTCGAGCCAGATATATATATTATTCAAATGAAAACATAAAAGAGGGGAAATTCCAGTACAAGAATTTAATACTGAGCAACAGATGGTGCTTAAACAGATAAAAATGCCCCTTTATAAAACACAATGTATATTCAAAACCATAAAACCACAAACAATAGGAGGGCTCTGAGGTATTTTTCCTCCTGACGAGAATTTAAAGTTAGCTAGACTTAATCAAAGAAAATATCTTCCATGGACAGGACAGCAAAAGTGAAAACTAGGGACACTTAAAGCTCTTGTATTGTGAGATGTGTGAATGTGTGTGAATCGGACCACACACATTTCATACACCTCACAATACAAGAGCTGGTTCATTTCATATGGCATACAATGTGAGAAACAAACATGGTTGTACAATAGTACACTGGTCAACTCGTGTTTGAAATATATATGAATTGAGACAAATAGTGAATATGTTGCAATCCGTGCGAAAGAAAAGGAATGGATCATCTAAGTAAGAGATGAATGTGTGTGGGCGAGAGAGACAGACTGTTTCAGTTCTGAAAACAAGATAGATTTTAAGACCATTTCTAGATTAACATTGGATTTGAGTTAATATCTAGATTAAGATGAGATGACTGCAGGGGCTAAATAAAAGAATTCCCACATTATCGGCTTTTTAAAAATACATAATTAAAACATCAAGATAACACTGGAATTTCCTTTGGAACAAAGGACCAAAAAGTTAACATTAAATAACTATAATTATGCAGTGGTAACAGAAACCAAAATGCCACAATATAGATAATTCTAGTCCGATGACAAGACTTGTAAAAACACATCAGTAAGTGAGGCAACACAATTATGCATTTAAGACAATCTCCTAAACCAGGAAGGGGTAAAGTGCAGTCCCCCAAATCCATCTTTGAAGCCTTGTGCCCATTTCTGTGAATGCAGAGGCCAATTTTTTCCATGTATTTTAAAAATTATACTCTGAATTTTCAGGGTATGTAGGGCAATTTTGCCATGCTTTTGGAGAGAAATGGACTGCTTTAGGCTCAAGAAAAAAATGCCAACAAGTATAAAGACTTGAAACACAGAAGTATGTCCTAAATGAAATAAGTTAGATCAGATTTCAAGTCCTTGTTTGTTTTGAATACCATTGATTTTTTAAAAGAAAAATAACATTTTTAACGTGAATGTACTGCGAAACTATCGTGAAATGAGATAATCTCCTATTCCTCCTCCTGTTTATGATGGTGTATGTATAAGTATGTGCCTGTGAACTCAAACCTCGCCATAGTTTAGCTTGGAGATGCGTTAACCTTTCTGACCCACATGATTGCGTTCAATGGGATGGGAAGTATGTACACATCCAAGTTCCAATGTAATTTTTGCTCTATTTGCACTGTTTTGTCCCATTTGACTTTATGTCATCCTAATTAAGTGATTACTTTCCTTGTCTTCACTTTCTATTTTTCTTGCCATTTGAAGCAGCAGTGAGAGGATTATGAGCCCCTATTTTCAACAAGTGCCAGGACATCTTCTGGAAAGTTTTTCAGACTCATGGGAATGGTTCCTCGGCTCCTAGTGCATCTTCACATGAACATCTGTAGATAGTGGTGGATGGGTGTGTAGGAAGGGGAAGTGAAATCAGACAGCAGGGAATAATCAACAGCAGGTGAAGGGGTATAAACATTGCATACAGCCCTTGGAATTTTTATCTTGAGTTTAAATGGTCATTTGAACTGGGCCAAGAACAGCACTGATTGCTTTGGTTCCTCTCAATAAATTCCTATTAAAGATCCACAGAGTGGGAAGGCTGGAAGACATAAACAGTAGTTTTTTTCCTAGTCTTTCTTTCCCAACTGATATTATTTCAGATGGAGAAAAGTGGATAAATATGTAAGTTAAGACTCAATCTGGAACTTAATCTCAATCTGGAACATCTGGAACTTAAGATGTTCAGTTCTGTACCATTCAAAGAGTTCCTTCTTATTGTGCCTCATGGTTTGTTGCTATTTCTCCTTGGGCTCCTCTTCATCAGTAACATCGCTTTCACTGCTGTCTTCAAGATTTTGGTAGGCTGGCATCTTGTTCGGTTCAAGAAAGTTAGTAATAAGCTTGGCCACAGCATCTACATCACTGTTAAAAAGGGAGGGGGAAAAGTTAATGATACAATTCTCTTTCAGTCAATGCTATCTGCTGCCTATGGGGAAAAAATAACTTGCTAGAGTCTGGCATTTTGAGAAGTCTTTGTAAAAATGCATGATTTTTTATTATATAAATAAAAAATGAGTAGCTGAGTATATATGAAACAGTAATACTGCAGATCTCAGCCTGAAATAAATTTTTATTCTGGAATAATTACAATCTGCACCACTGCACGTATCCTACAAGTCCAATAAGAAAGTGGCAGAACAAAAGCCAATTTCAGAAACTTGGATTTTGAAACAACACACACACTAATTTCAAAGTATTCTACAATTGACTATTTCCCAAACAGAATAAATATCAAATGTTCACCATCAGTAGTCTGGCATATACTATAATCATGAAACTGTTACCTATATTCTAACATACATACAAGTAAAATACATGTTTGTTGCTTTGTGCCATATTCCCATCCTGATCCTTTTAAGAAGATGAAGTTGTCTACCTTAGTTACAAATAGTCATCATACAATTAAAGTGTGCAAAGTATATCTGTAAATAGCACAGGAGTAGCTAGATTCTTGGAAACTGTATAATTACATTCAATTTACATGATGCTCCCTTCTACAGCCTGAATAGTAATAGAAGAGAACAATAATACTATACCTTCTGCAGCCCATCACTGCATTCTGCGTCAGAGGATGCGAAAATCCAGTCCCAAATCGCAACACAACTAGGTAGCCTTTGCCAAAGTAACGTACTTTCTCTTCTTCCACATTCACAGCCCGAATTTCATCCAGTGGAACCACCACTATTTGGCAAAGGAACAAGATATTGATCTGTTACCACCATGGCACCACGCAATGCTATAGATGGAGAGTCCTTCATCCTCCAAGCAGTCTATTCCACTGTTGAACAGCTATGCTGATTGCACTTATAGTCCCATGTCCTGAAATAGTCCAAACTTCCTTTCTTCTGTTTCCAATCAATCCCCATTAATTTAAGAGTCAATTAAAAAAAATAACTGAGGTAGTAGAGAGAGGTTAGCTTTCTAAACCTTTCACCAAGAGGCAATCTCACAAAATTCTCTGCCCCACCCCTCCTCTCTTCAGTTGCATTCATTTCATGTTTGCAACCTGTTCTGTAGATACTACAGCAATTGCAAGGCAGAATCATGTTGAAAGAACGCTTCTCGGGAAAAAAATTAAGCCCAGGAGTTTTTATAACAGCTGCAACAGGCTTTTGGAAATAGGCAAAACGCAAGGGTGTTTTAATGAGGGTATTGTGTACATGCCTTCAAGTCATCTGTTTTTGAACCATTAATTTCATAAAGTTTTCTTCCATAAAGAATACTCTGAAGTGTTTTTTTATTGTTTTAATTGTACTTTTAATGTTTTTATTATTGTTTTCATCTATATGATTTCAAGTGTTTCAACTGTTGTTTCATTCGACAGTTGATATTTTAAAGTTTTAACTGCATTGTTGCAACTATCTCTCCGTTTGTGGGAAAAGGAGGGCATAAGTAAATAATAATAATAATAATAATAATAATAATAATAATTAACAATACTAGAAATATATGCCATAATCATGCATTTCATCTCTGTAATTAGCTTTGTCAAGACAATTCCTAGCTCTGAAGTGTAGAATGCCAGCATTAAAATTTGTTCTCTGGAATCCAAAGAGAAATGTGTTTTTAGAACTTTGTATCATTACTTTCAGAAGAACAGGAAGAACATTCAAATGGATCAAGAGTCATGTAGTTCAACCTTTAGAACTTATATAGGGATTGCTGATAAATTGCTGCTTTGGTATCAGATGAAAATGTGATGAAAATGCACCTGTGATGAAAATGCACCATAATAGTTTGTTTCTATAACTGCCCTCACAATTAAAGGTTGATGCTCAGTCAGTGTTCCTGTAAACCAAAACCCCATTACCCTCTTGTGCCCTGCTTTAAAGTAATGTACAACAGCTGTGTTTTTGAAAGCAGGAAACAGACACTAAAATTGTGCAAGCTCTGGGATTCTTTGTGATCCAACTGTAGAATTTATATACACATGCACATTAACAGGTATAAAATGCATACACCATGTTAACTTCCCTTCTGTTCAATGCAGGCATGCTGTTCATTCACTGACACATGGCTTTACCTTGTTCATGACCAGCCTTTGACAGGGTCAACAGCTTTTTGTAAAGGTTGAAAGTCTTCAGGAAAATCTTTCCAGCACCCTTGTCAAATATAGCTTCCTACAATAAAAAAAATAAACACATTTTTCACAGAAGCATTTAGGCCCTTTTGCTGTCTTCTCTGACATATAACAATAAAAAATACAAAGGAAGGTCTCTCATTGGCTTTTCTTTCTGATGTCTAAGAACTTGCATAGTATTATGTAGGAAGTCCTTCCACGTGGAAGGAAAAATATTCCATAGATTGCTAACCTACATGTAATTGTTTTGTGTGTGTGTGTATTATTTGTTTACTTCATTTATATCCTATCCTTCTTAACCCAAAGGGGACTAAAGATGGCTTACAAATCCAGCAAAAATTAAATGCCACAGAGGTAAACAATAAAACACATCTCATCAAAATATAAAACAATCTAAACATATATACAATTAAAACACATATCAATCAAACAGATTAAAAACCATATACATTGCTGAGTCATGATCTCATATATTCATACTGTTTTTAAATATATGAACAACAATCTCATTTTTATTCACATTTTTTCCTTTCCCCAAAACTAGAAAGGAAAAATAATTCTCCATGACCTAATTTTTTTTAAATATGGAAAAGAATAGCTTTTCAGTTCATCACAGTCATTCCACTATGAGATCAGCCTATGGATGTGTTGTGAAATTCAAAATCACTATACAGGAAAGGCTCAAACAACTAATTGGTCTTGTTCTCTAGTGCGCAACAGACTTCAGACTTGTAAGGTGGGTTTTCTTTTTCTAGAACCTAGATATAAAAGAGAGTTCTGGGCTAGCTTGACTTGCTGTGGGGGGAAATTGTATTGAATTTAAGTGATTTAAGTCACTTTTTCCATCAGCAATATCAAGAATGACCAAATGGCAATTGTGTTGGTTTTTATATTTATATCTGGAAGGACTTGTGAGATAGGTTCTTATACTTAAAAGAAATCCTGCCCAGAGCATGGGCTGAGGTCTCCTGTTCCTTGATTTTTAGTCTCTCTGCCTGAAACAATGGTTTCTGATGGGTGTCGTTAGCTACTTCAACATCTAAGCAGAGGTCTTTCCCAGCCATGTAAGTGAATTAGAAAAAAAACAAAGACTAAACTTGAAATCATACACTTATAGATTCCACCACTAGAAATAGTGTGCATGTGCCTTTATCACTTATTTATGGTGATCCCTTTAATTTCTTAAGCCTTCCTTAGGCAAAAAATACTCAGAAGTGATGTTGCTAGTTTTTCAGACGGTAATGCAAAGAATGTTGTAGTGTAATGTCACCATAGATTTGTTTATTTTGACACATAATTTTTGTTTTCATCTCTCATTTACATATATGTTGTTAGGATTTTTTCTTTCTTTCTCACCACAATTTCTCAGATCAACTAAGCTAAGGCACCTAAATCTTGTGCAAAAAAAAGTATTGCTTACCTCCCACTCTTCCAGATTTTGCACAGCTACAAAGCAACAGCCAGCAAGATAGAAGAGTTTCCACCCCAAAGTATCTGGATAATACATAATATATCACATTTTAAAATTTGACACTAATCTCAACCAGCACTACATCCTCTATTTATTTACTGTATTTTTGTCATAAGATCTCAGGGCAGCAAAAAGTCAAAATAATAACACAATTTAACAATTCCAGGTTAAAATAAATAATTTAAACAAGATGCATTCATAGTAAACCATTAAAAAGTTAAATAGTTTTAAAGGCAAAACTGTGCAGATGCTTAAAAGTAAATTAGGCCCCAACCACTTAACTAAGAACACATGTCTTGACCAGTCACCAAAAAGAAACCATCATTGGTCTCAGGCAGAAACACAAGAGGAGGGAATTCCACAAATTGGATGGTACTGAGAATCTTCATTAGGCTTAATACATCAGAACCCAAATTTATTTTCTTGGTGATACCAGAATATAAAACACACAGGGTTCTAATCTTGGTAAAGGCAATTTTTTGTTTTTGTGTGTTTCAAGGTCTGCGGAATTTTATGCAGTTTCCAGGCAAAGACTGCCTGGAAATGGTACCAATTTTTTCAAATGGACTGTTGAAGAGCAAAAAAGGCAACGGCAATAAGAATGCACGACAAATTTCAAGTGAAGTTAATGAATGTCACCTTCACTATAATAAGCAGCAGCCAGGCCTACAGATGAGATCCCTAGAAAGTGAAAGAAAAGGGACAAATTTAAAACATAATTTAATCTACTTAAAACATTTCGATCCTAAGAGGTTCCCATTAATAGCCTTATAGACGTTGACACTTGCATTCATATTATTTTCAGACTGGACAACCTTTATAAACAACTGTAACTGTACTAATTTCTAACAATTATTCACTTGACCTCTACAAGAATAGTCTATATTAAACAATGAGAAAAAATATTACATGAAATCTAAATAAAATGCCAATTATCCAAGTGACAAATCAGGCCAGTTCTAATATTACTTTTCCAAGCAAATCTATTTAAAAACAACTTGTAGAAATAATGCACAAGTCCTCCCAATTTTTCATCGTTGCATGAAATGCACACAGCTTCTTCAAAGTTTTTTCGCCAGTTCCTTGTATCAGACCTAATAGTATGTATGAAACTCTCAGCCATTTAATCACCATTTTCCTACACATGTCCTAGATTCTTGAACCTAAAAGGTTTTAATATTGCGGTACAGCTAAAGATATAGTTCAATGCCAACAGAACAGTAGATACTGTACATAAATTCTTGCACCATGGCATTATTTTGCTGGTTCATAAAAGTTTCAGAATTAACTGCCACAGGGCTGAAGGAACATGTGGTATAAACATATTACTGAATCCAAGTTTGAGATATCAATACAACATGAATTAGAAACCTAGAGATAATGTCTGAATTAATATTCCAATCAGTTCATCAAAGCTAATCTCATCTATGCAGGCTCCTGTTCAGCAGGTTGGTCTGTGCTCCATTCACTGCAATCAAATGGCTTTTCATGATTTTAATAAAAGTCCAACAAAGAGGAGTCCAAATAAGAGGAGTCCAAACAAAAGTCCAAATAAGAGGGATTTTCCCCCTACAGTTCATATTTCATTTCAGTTGTTTTACTCTATTATTGTATATTGGTATATTTATTTATATCCTGTTTTTCCCAAAACTGACCCTCAAAGCAGCTCACAGTTTTTTAAAAAAACAGCACAATTAGCAACATATAAAAAGTGAACAGTAAAATAAAATTAAAATATTTTGCAGTATGAAAACAAACTTTTGAAAAAAAAACACTTAAAAAACCTATTCAGAACTGATGCAACATTAGACAAAAAGATGAATAGCTTACCTACAAGGAGAGACCAAGATCTGATACTGGGCGACCTCTTCAAATGAAGAACGGATTTTGAATGGTTTTCAACGATCATATACATTTTTAGGAATAAGGAGGAGTGATGATCTATAAAGCTTAGGAGCAATCACAAAGATTACCTAAATAATGACATAGAAAAAAACCATTACTGTGTGTTTTTTTAAATTTCTTTAGGAAATTTCTTCATGTTAAAAGAATAGCAGAGTCCTGTAAGGATTTATGTGCTGTTTATTATCAAATGCAGAAATCCTAAAGTCAAATGCATACTTCAACACTGAGAGAACTCAATGCCATGTATTTCAAATGTTAAGAGCCTGCACTTGCAGTATCTGAATAACCACCTATATAACACGTTTTCCCCCCTGGGTTATAAATGTCATTTCCTAATTGGCTCTATCATAAAAACATGGAGAAAAATTATTAAACTGCAAAACTCTGCTTTATGGGACATGTTACAGCGTATAGTTTTTAATGAATATCTCACCGCATCTCAACTAATTCAACATCTGAGCTGCTGTGAGTTTTGTGGCATCTACAAAAATGAAGTTTCTGGAGTATAACTACTTTCAAAGTAAGTACCACACAATTAAACAGGAAATAACACTTTTGAACCAGGAACATTTCTTTTTTCAATTTTTGTTACATAGTCACTAATTTGTCAAGTTGACTTTCACATCTGATCAAAATCAGTGATGCATGTTTCTGAGGTGGCAAGATCGCAATCCAGTCAGCCCGTCCATTTAACAACCTAAAGATTTGTGATGTTGACCACATATACCATTCCAACAAAGAATATGATAGGACATAGGGTGGATAGAGCTGGATGGTGGGGAGGATATGAACTTTAAACAACTTATACAGTATCTACTGCCTTAACAGTTCGGGCCCAGATTATTTGCAGAACGGCATCTCCATATACAAACCGGCTCGAGCATTGTAATCTGCAGAGGAGGCCCTGCTCTCGGTCCTACCCCCGTCTCAAGCAAGGCTGGTGGGAACAAGAGACGGGGCCTTCTCCGTGGTCACTCCCTGCTTCTGGAACTCCCTCCCAAAGGAACTAAAACCCTCTCTCCTCACTTTCAAAAAGTTGCTAAAATACTCACCTATACACTATGTCTCAACACACCCTTGCCTAGATATGTTAAATTACATCCCCCACCCTCTAACAATAAGATAACAACCTTGTGTTGCATGCATTTTCTGGTTCTTGAAAATCTTTCTACAAATATGTCAATATTTATTTTACAGGTAGTTCCCAAGTTACAGACTAGATTTTAATGGTTTACTCTTAAGTTGAATTTGTATGTACATCAGAACAAGTCCATTTTAAAAGTGTAACTCCAGCCAAAGATCTTTTAGTTTTGGATAACACAGGGAAGTATTAACACCTCTGTGGTGTTTGTTTTGCTGTCTGTGATCCTGTTCAGAAGATTTCACCCCACTTTCTGTCCCTGTCATAGTTAGATTTTGAAAAAAATTGGCTTGAGATGGAAACAAAGATTGGTGGGAAAGCTTAAGTGGAGACACCTTTTCCCCTTGATAACTTTTTCAGGAATGAATTTCCCTTCCAAGGGGTAGATTTCTCTCATTTCCTGTTATCGCAGCCCCAGTCTTAACTATGTGTTGTTTGTAAGATGTCTGTAACTCAGGTCTGTCTCTATTATATTATGCATATTTTTTACAACTGAAAGGAACACAAGGGAAATTGAGATTAATTGATTGAGCTGTCGCTGATCTCCCACAACGCTGGAGATAACCTGAGGCCCCTTCTACACTGCCATCTAATCCAGATTATCAAAGCAAATAATCTGCATTATCTGCTTTGAACTGGATTATGGGAGTCTACACTGCCAAATAATCCAGTTCAAAGCAGATCATCTAGACCAGTGGTTCTCAACCTGTGGGTCCCCAGATATTTTGGCCTTCAGCTCTGAGAAATCCTAGCAGCTGGTTTATTTATCATGTCAGGAGCGAACCAAAACAGTTGTATTACATTAAAAATAAACAAATAAAACACAAAGCTTGCAGACTTGGTATTCTATTAAATGTCCTTTGACCAGTAGCTGGCCACTTGGAGTGCCTCTGGTGTTGCTGCAAGAAGGTCCTCCGTTATGCATGTGGCAGGGCTCAGGTTGCATTGCAGTAAGTGGTCTGTGGTTTGCTCTTCTCCACACTTGCATGTTGTGGATTCCACCCTGTAGCCCCATTTCTTAAGATTGGCTCTGCATCTCGTGGTGCCAGAGCGCAGTCTGTTCAATGCCTTCCAAGTCGCCCAGTTTTCTGTGTGCCCAGGGGAGATTCTCTCATTTGGTATCACTAACAGCTGGTAAACTGGCTGGGATTCTGGGAGTTATGGGCCAAAACATCTGGGGACTCACAGGTTGAGAACCACTGATCAAGACTCAATATGGCAGTGTAGAAGGGACCTGAGTGCACTTGCTGTGAATTTCAGAAGGGATACAGAGAACGACCCTTAATTGTGGCCCATCCATTGATGGAAGGGCACCCACCAGAAGAACAGATGGAACCTCCCTTCGCAGACCATAAAAGGGAAGGGAGGCTTGTTGGATGAGCAGCCGTCATTTCAGATTGCATCAGAGGCATCTCACAGGAAACTCCTTCATGCAAGTCAAAGCCGTGTCTACTATCTCAACATTATCTAGGCTTTCAGATGCAGCCACACAGGGAAGAGCCAGCATTTTCTGCAAGTGAAATATGTGCCCTATAAATGTGATCTGTTGAAGGGTTTAGGTGGGACATCCATTTGTCATATTGTGCTTTGACTATTTCCTGTGCTTGGGTCCTTTCCCTGCCCAGCCTTCTTAGGGTGCATCAGAAATAACGCAGCTTGACACCACTCTGAGTGCCAATGGCTGGATGCGAAGGAATCCCGGGAGTTGTAGTTTTACAAGGCCTTTTACAAAGGACCAAACGACACCGCCTGGGATTCCTTAGCACTGAGTCCAAGTAGTGCCAAGCTGCACCCATTCTGCAGTCTCTCTCCATGCCCTCGCGGGGTGACTTCCCCATTCCTCATCCCCAGCGCCGCCAGCCTCCTCCTTGGCCCTGGCTCCCACCCCTCCCGGCCCGGCCCTGCCCTGGATGCTGGGCTGGCTCCGCTCTCGCCCACAGGCCTGTCTCCATCCCGCCTTCGCCTCACCTTTCCAAGGAGTTCTCTGGAGCGGCAAACCCGAGTCTTCCACAACCATAGAGCGGAGCCAGAGCGCCCCACACGCGCTCTGCCAAGGCGGGACTTCCCCTTCTGGTTTCTCAGGCCAAAGCGGGCCCCGTTCTTGCTTCCTCTTTGGCCCCATCCTCAACAGAGCCAGCTCGTTAATAAACAGAAAAGTAAACAGAAAGCGGTTATTTTAACTGGGTTGCTACCCCTGTGCCGGCAGGACTCAAGAGAGACAGGTCGCAGGTTCGAATCCGGGGAGAGGCGGATGAGCTCCCTCTATCAGCTCCAGCTCCTCATGCGGGGACATGAGAGAAGCCTCCCACAAGGATGATTAAAAAAAAAAACATCAAATCATCCGGGCGTCCCCTGGGCAACGTCCTTGCAGACGGCCAATTCTCTCACACCAGACGCGACTTGCAGTTTCTCAAGTCGCTCCTTACACGACAAAAAAACAAACAAAAAAACTGGGTTGCTGTGAGTTTTCCAGGCTGTATGGCCGTGTTCCAGAAGTATTCTCTCCTGTCGTTTCGCCTACATCTGTGGCAGGTATCCTCAGAGGTTGGGAGGTCTGTTGGAAACTAAGTAAATGCGGTTTATTTATCTCTGGAATGTCCAGGGTGGGAGAAAGAGCTCTTGTCTGCTTGAGGCAAGTGCGAATGTTGCAATTGGCCACCTTGATTAGCATTGAATGGCCTTGCAGCTTCAAGGCTTGGTTGCGTCCTGCCTGGGGGAATCCTTTGTTGGAAGGTGTTAGCTGGCCCTGATAGTTTCCTGTCATGAATTCCCCCTGGTTCTTTTGTTTTTGTTTTTTTAGTTTTCCTCTGTTTACTGTCCTGATTCTAGAGGTTGTTTTTTTTAAAAAAAAATACTGGTAGCCAGATTTTGTTCATTTTCATGGTTTCTTCCTTTCCATTGAATTTGTCCACATGGTTGTGGACTTTAGTGGCTTCTCTGTGTAGTCTGACATGGTGGTTGTGAGAGTGGTCCAACATTTCTGTGGTCTCAATATGCTGTGATAAGAATCAATTGAACTGAGCTGACAGGACTGGCTGAAACTGGATTCAAGGGAAGATGTCAATTTGATGGTTACTTTCTTTGAAAATTAGTGAGAAACTACTTTATAGAACAAGCACAGTTCAATGCTATGTCAGCTGTCTCCTGACCAAATAATGTTCCAGCTAAAATACGTTATTTTTCTTCAGTGATGTGAAAAAGAAGATGGATGGGAAATTTTTGATTGGGTGGTTTTTTTGATTGGGTGGAGCAATAAATGAATTTGACAGGACTGACAACCCAGTCCTTTGCAGGTTTATTCAGGTGCAAGCTGATGTTGTAGAATTAATGCAGTTTGACACCATGTTAAGTGCCCATGATTCAATGTTATGGAATACTGGAAATTGTAGTTTTACAAGATTTTTAGCCTTCCCTGCCAGTTTCCCTGTAGCACTTCCTCAAATTACAGCTTCCAGGATTCCATAGCATTGAGCTGTGGCAGTTAAAGTGGTGCCAAACTGCATTAATTCTACAGTGCAAATGCACCGTATAATAAGTATACCAGTACAGCATGGAACCTGTATATGTGAAGCCCTTCATAGTCATAGAATCAGGACTATAGACTAATCAACATAAGGATAACTACGTTGATTATGTTTTTGCACTGCAAGCAGTGCCAGAGTTACCATTGTGCTTAGGTGTGCTTAAGGACGGGCTCGTTGGATTTTGCTTATCTGGTACAATTCTAAATTTTAAGGCATTATGTTTCTGAGTGATTCCAGACTTAATGATAGTATAGGGGCTGTAGTCTGAAAATGTATCATAGGAGTTGTAGTTCTAAAAGAAAAGAGCAGATGCAGCAGTTTTTAGAAAAACAGCTCCCTCCCAAATTCCTTGTATGTGAAACTACAAGATAAAGGCCAGTGTTTGGCCGCTGCTCAAGCAAGTCAGGGTCAGAGCTAGAGATATGAAGTTCCAGTAAGTTTCTATCTTAGCTGTTTGCGTGCACAGAGTAGGGAGCCAGTTAGAATACAGTAAACAAAGAATAAGCCAATAAAAAAGACAAATGTGAACACCAATAAAAATTGTGTTGTTTAATCCACTGTAAAATGATAAAAGATTGTGGCCCCATTTTGGTGGTGCGACAGTTCTTTATGCTTCAAGCCACCTGTCCACCATTTGGCTCAACTCATCCTTGACTCAACTCTCCCGTGTTGCCCATCCCTGCGCTGCCCCCATGAGAACAGAAGAAAAGGAATCTCTGAGAGCATGCAGAATTCCCCCTTCATTACAGTTGATAGTCTGTGGGAGTGTGTCACAAAGCTAGTAATGCTGGCCTCATACCTTAACTAGCAAGAGCCTCATATGTCCTAAATCTCGCACTGACTGCAAATCGTGTAAACCTCAGTATTGACTCTGCTGGCTGGGGCTGATGGGAGTAATTGCTGTATGCCTTCAAGTCATTTCAACCTATCTTATGATTTTCTTGGATTTGCTTAGAAGAGGTTTGTCTTTGCCTTCCTTTGTGATTCAGAGAGTGTGACTTGCCCAAAGCTTCCCAGTCGCTTCCCATGGCGAAGCGGGGATTATGGTCTCCAGAGTCTGACACTTAAGCTACTGCAACGCACTCGCTCAAAGGGAGCTGTTGGCAAGATACGTACAATGCTCTGAAAGGTTTCACCTATCCATCTCTGCAGTACATCAATGGATCTGGAAGCACTGTAAAGTAACTACAAGGGATTGCCATTTCATGTTGGACTATCACTTGATAGTACACAAACAAAATTGGAACTCTCCTAGGAGAAACAAGAACAATTTGTGTCTTCAAAAGGGTGCTTTATGGAGAAAAAAAATAAACAGGATTGGCTTCTTTTCCCACCTATCCAGAATCTCACTGTTGGTCAATAATTTGCAATGCAGAATGTAGTACATGTACTTTCAAAGCGGTTTAACACTAAGGAGATTGTAAATTACACTTGTCACCAGAAGGCATGTACGAATGCACAGAGAAAGCTGATCAAGCCTATCAAGTTCTTTTGAATTTCTGCTTTATATGAGACATTAAACACGTACGCAATAACATTGCCAGGTGAGGATAAGGAAAGAATGTGACTGTGGCCCAAAGCCTTTTGTTGATTTAGGATTGTTTGTTCTTGATTTGTAAAAGGAGGACGTATTTCAAAGCATTGCAACCAAATGAGTATCCAGCTTTTTCTATTGCGTATTCTTTGCCCTGTGGACATTACCCTACTGTAATCTCAATACCATAAACTTCTTTAGACCTAAAAATACAATTGGACCAACCAAAAATGATGTTTTTGTGACCATAGAACCATTATGCCATTTTAGAAGAAACTGTGCATTTCAACTAAACATGAGTGATGTGGTGCAAGCAATGCTTCTTCATAGTAATTAAGGTGGGAGTGTTCATTATCACTGCTGTGGAGTTGGATGTGTTACAATTAACTGTCTTTTGAGGTGATAAAGCTTTACCATTTGTGCATTCATGTCTTTTCTCTTGTGCTGAAAAGAGTGAGCATAACCCCCCGCCCCCCACAGGTACCAGAATTTATAGATTCTCAAGTCTCATTATATACAATGGTATAGTAGAATGTTATCCCTTGTACAAAATGATGAACAACGCAAACAAATGACATAGAAAGCCTGAGAATATGATGTGAGGCTACATTGGGATGTGCCTGCCTACACATCAGTGCAGTACTCTGCACATTACAGAAGGCCAACTGTATAAGCACAACCATAAAACTTGAGACTCCTCTCTAAGTAGGTATACTTGTGAAATTGTAGCACAGGCTGGTGTTAATATATGACATAATCCAACAGCCTACACACCATAACAAAACATGACAGAGTTAGTCATACAACTAAGTCATGAGTATGTGATCAACCAAACATGCCATAAAGCAAACCTTAACAAGGAAGAAGTGAACACAGGAGTCCAAAGTACAGCTCTCTGGTGTTGCCTCTTGAGCAAAGGTTGCATTTAACAACACACACCTGTAAAATTAAAATGAGTAATTTAGCAAAGATGACTTAAAAGGAGAAGCCAAAAGGAGGACCAATTCACCAACTGATCTAATGTGTGTAAGGTGTATTAATCCCTAGTACCTTGTAAAATGAGATGACTGGTAGAGAATCTGAGACTTTTTTGTGCTTTAGGAGTCTTTCATGTATAGTTCATGTGTGTCAATATTTGTTAACACACTGGGAAGCTTTCACTTGTGCAAACCTCTGCAATTTGCAATTTACTGGATCACAGTTTTGATGGCAGCAGCTGCGGATTATGACACTTGCAGTTAACCCCCCCCCCCCTCCCCCGGAAAGTGTCAAGTTCAAGTAGGACTAAATGTCAAGTTTTGGCAATACCGTGGAGCCTTTTACACTAGTGCCTCAGCACTTATTCTTGTATATTTTCTCTGGCTTTTCAAAATAACTGGGAATAGCTTGCTGAAAAGTCTGGTTATAATACAATATTTTAAAGAATCCTTTCTCAGAGAGAAAACAAAGGACACATTCCATGTTCTGGGATTCAATACTTTCAGTTTACCTCCTAATCAACCTTTAATCGTGTAGTAAGGAACAGTTTGTTTCAGACAAAAGCCTTTTGTTAGGATAAGTTTTCATATAAACATGGAAAATTAAGTCATGGAGGTAAAATGAAAAAATCCAAAGCATCTCAGTATGTCTGTGGGGCATAAAATACCCATTAACACCTGGTGACTCATCTTCCGGATTAATACTTACTGACTATGAAACTTCACATTTCAAATTTTGAATTCCAGTAGTTCTGGAACAGTTGACTGAAAATTAAGCTTAGCTTCAATCAAATGGAAAACAATTACGTTCTTATTTTTGTCAATAAACAAAAGTAAAGGTAATATTTTCTAGTCTATTTGCATATTAAATTTTTCTTTCATCAAATATCAATGAAACCGGAACCAGTGTACTTTTAGGATGCAGTTATACTGTAGAATCAATGCGGTTTAACACTTTAACTGCCTTCTCTGCCAAAGACTTCTGGGCCTCCTCAAACTACAATTCCAAAATTCCAAAGCATTGAGCCATGACAGTTAAAGTAGTGTCAAATTGCACTTATTCTACAACGTAGATGCAGCCCCAGTACAGGTCTGTGATGATAACCTGACAAGCCAAGGTACGTTTACATTTTAAAAATTAAAGCAATTTGACACCACTTTAACTGTCATGGTTAAATACTATTGAATCACATGAGTTGTAGTTTTACAGGGTATGTAGCCTCGTCTGCTGAAGATTGCTGGTGCTTGGCAAACTACAGCTCCCATAGGATTGCTCCTTGTCAGTTAAATTACTGTCAAGCTGCATTAATTCTACAGTGTAGATGCCCCCCGTGTTCCTTGAAGTGGCATGGCAAAAAGTGCTCCTTCATATACACTTGCCTAAATTAAAGTGCCTAACAACCAAGGCTAGCCAAGTTATTCTGGCACCTGACACACATAAAAAACTAAGCATTTTTCCCACCTCCTGAAAGAAGAAAAAATGCAATTACTATCAATTTGTTATTCCTTTGTTATGGCACACTAAATCAACTGTCTGAAATAGCTGACTCATTATCTTGACACATTGGCAAAATGAAATTAAATGGCAAAAGGGTGGATTTCTCTCTTTCTTCCTACTAGATTGCAAGCTTTCTCTTTATTTGTAGAATGAACAAGGATGAAAATGTGACCCTGCTGTCTTTTTGGCCCTCTCTCTCCTGGCTACCTGGGCTGGCCTTTTCTTGGCCACATAATAAAATAAAAGAATGAAAATATTCTCCTGGTAGTCATCAAAAGCAGCAATTCACTTTTAAAATACCATGGCTTGCTGTTTAGGTGCATTACAGTGCATTTTCTTTTTAAAATTTCTTCAAAAACAGTAATGGATTTCTGGAAAATTCCAGTTTGGAGTTTGTTTGGGTTTTTTTTTTTTGTTTTAATTTTTGACATTTTGGGAAAGCTATATGGGCTGCAGAGTGTAGCAGGACAGAAAATCAACTTACAGCAGCTGCCCACTCTCAAATTAGTGCTTTGCGTGTAGAGTTCGATCCTTTTTTCTTTCTTTCTTTCTTTCTTTCTTTCTTTCTTTCTTTCTTTCTTTCTTTTTTTGATGCTGTTGTTTTCAGGTTCCTGTTTGCACATGGTAACTACATCTAAGTTATTTATAAACTTCTCTGGAAACTTTCCTGAAAGGTCAGAATACAAAGTAGACAAATGGAGAAATCAATAAATACTGATTTCAAATGTGTGTCTGGAATGCCAATGGATCCGTGATTATATGGAAAAATACCTTCAGAAAGGAGCCTTTCTAAAGATCTTGAGAGAGGCAGAGGTGTTTGGCTACACCTATGCTGGCTAGGAATGATGGAAACTGTAATCCAACATATTTTTGTGTGTGGGGGGGGGGGGGTGTGATATTTCAATTATGATATACACAATTTTAGAAAAGATCCCAGACCACCATCCAGTATTTTGTCCTGGGAAGAGCAGTAAAGGGAAAAACAACGACAGAAGCCTAAAATCTAGTAGTTGGCCATTTCCATGTTAGCTGGGATTCATTCATTTACTCTTTAAAGGATCTACCAAAGATACTAAAACCCATTCCTCTCCACAGAAGTTGATCTGTTTAAAAGTTTGGACTAAATTTCAGAGTGGAATCACTGTTCCTCTGAATTGCAAGACATGGCTGTCACTATTATGATAAAATGCCAAGCCACATTTTGATGCTAAGGTGAAGCTACACATACTTACCCTTGCCTGCCCCATTCAATGATTTCTAAGAATTCAGTAAGGTTTTTGGTATCTGGGCAGAAAATTATCAAATCAGCTTCCCCGCTTTTTGGCAATAAAAAGAAACAAATCAGTTGAATTATAGGTTGTGCATCCCTTATCCAGAATTCTGAAATCTGAAATTTTAAACTGTTCACATGAGGGGCTGAGCCACCTTTGTTTTCTGATGGTTCAATGTCAATAATTACACAATTATTATTAACATGTTGTATGACATTAACTTCTAGTATATATACAATAAGGTGTAGATGAATGAATGTTGTGCTTAGATTCCATCTCCAAGATATCTCATGATGGAAATACAGGTATTCCACTATCAGAAAAAACAAAAACAAAATTCCGAAGACTTCTGGTCCCAATCAGTTCAGATAAGACATACTTTTATTTCTTGCCTTTTTTATGACAGCCGGAATCAGACTGAGGTGGCCACCCCATGTTTCCTGAGGCCCAAAACCCCATTAAACCCTTTTTTTCTAACTCTGGGACTAACAGGAACTAGGCACCATTTTTCTGCTGTCTGGTGAGACCCCAAATCAGCTATCTGAGGCAGCCTCCTCAGTGTCCATAGGTGCATATCTGTATGAGAAATACTCTCACTCTCAGTCATTCCCCTTCTCCCTCCTTCTCTTCTCTTTCTTTCTGTTTTTTTCTCTCCCTTTCCCTGCCTATCTCTCCCATCCCTCGCCCTCATTCTCCCTTTGTTCTCCCCTTTCCTCCCTCTCTCCCTCCTTCTCCCCTTTCTCTCTCACCATCTTTCTTCCTCCCTCTCTTTCCTTCTTTTTCTTCCCCCTCTCCTTTTCTCCCTCATTCCCTCTTTCTCTCCTCTCTCTCCAACCCTGCCTCTCTTTTTTCTCCTTTTCCTTCCTCTCTCCATCTCTCTCTCCTTGTCCTTCATTCTATCTTTCCCTTCCTCCTTCCCTTCTTTCTTTCCTATCTCTTTTTCCTTCTCTTCCTTCTTCACCCTCTTTCTCTCACCCTCTTTCTCTCCATCACTCTACCTCTCCTCCTTTCTTCTTCTTTCCCTTCCTCTCTCTATCCCTCTCCTTATCCTTCATTCTCTCATTCCTTCTTCCTTCCCCTCCTTCCTTCTCTTTTATCCCTTCCTCCTTCCCCCCCCCCACCTCTTTCTTCTTTCTCTCCCCTCTCCTTTTCTCCTCTCTCCTTCTCTGTATCCTTTCCCCCCCCCACCTCTTTGCTTCCTTCCTTCCTTCTCTTTTCTCTCTCTCTCTCCTTCCCTCTCTCACAATCTCTTTCTCCTTCTTTCTCTCCCCTCTCCTTTTCTCCTCTCTCCTTCTCTGTATCCTCTCCTCTCCACTCCTTGCTTCCCTCCTTCCTTCTCTTTTCTCTCTTTCTCTCTCCTTCCCTCTCTCACCATCTCTTTCTCCTTCTTTCTCTCCCCTCTCCTTATCCCCCTCTCTCCTCCTTCATTTTCTTTCCCTTCCTCCTTCCCCTTCCTCTCTATCCTCTCTCCTCCCCTCCTTCCTTCTCCTTTCTCTCTCCCTCCCTCCTTCCCCTCCCTCTCCCACCATCTCTTTCTCTCCCCTCTCCTTTTCTCTCTCTTGCCTTCTCTCTCTCCATCTCTCCCCATCTCCTGCTTTTCCTTCCTCTCCTTATCCCCCCTCTCTCCTTGTCCTTCCTTCCCTTCCTCTTTCCTATCTCTCTTCCCCTCCTTCCTTCCCTTTACTCTCACCATCTTCTTCCTCTCCCCCTCTCCTTCTTTTCCTTCCTCTCCCCATCCTTCTCTTTCCTTCCTTCTCTCTTTATCCTTCTCTTTCCCTTCTTCTCCTTCCTGCCTGTCTTCCTCTCCATTCCCCAGTCTTTCCCAGCCTCCCTGCCTCTTTCCTTCTCTGCGCCTCTCTTTTCCTGCCGCTTGGGGGCGCTGTTTCCTTCCCTTCCCTTCCGCGCTGGGGCTGGAGCGGGACTACGTGACGGAGACCAGGTCCACAATGAACGCCGGCAGGCGGCGGGGGAGGAGGGAGGACACACAAAGCGAGCCCCAAAAATAGGAGGGGGGAGGGGGAAAGAAAGAAAGGGCGATCCAGGTCCCTTTCCAGGCGCAGGCTCGGCCTCCCCCCTGCCTGCCTGCCTGCCTGCCTCCCAGGGATGCCGTGCGGGACTTAAGGGATTTGACGCAGCCAGGTACTGTGTTTGCTCCTTTCTCTTCCCCTTCCTCTTCCTTAGCGTGCCCCCTGTCTCTCTCTCTCTCTCTCTCTGTGTGTGTGTATGCTTGCTCCTGCCTGTCTGCCTGCCTCCTTAGTAGACGCTGCTTTGCCTAGGGTGCTTGATGTTGGGTGTTGTTGTCCTTTCCCTCTCTGCGCCTGCCAAAGGGAGGAGGAACTCGGGATGGCTGTCCTAATGGGCACTTAGGCGCGGAGTTTTGCCAGGATGATAATCACCACCACGGCGATGCAGGAAAGAGGCAGACGAGGTGGGCTTGAACCCTTTCCAAAGGCCCACAGCTCCAGACAGGCCCCTCCAGTTGCCACACAGGCAGAGCCTCCTTTTGGGTAATCCACCAGATCAAGCGCTGTCTCGTGTTGTAGAAAGGACTGCTATTAAATGCTTAAGGCAGAGGAGGAGGAGGAGACCCCACAGGGCGCCGCAGGAGAATTGGCTCTGCCTAGAAAGAGAGGGAGAGAAAGCAAAGGGGGGTCAAAAGCAAACGCTTGGGCTGCTGGAGACACATTGCAGGCTTGCCATGTTGTTCATAGATACTTAAATAAGCCTCCTTTTTCACGAATTGTCTTCCTTGAGGAAACTGCCATATTTCTAAATGCATGGGATTTGTTATATTTGCTAAGGGTTTGTTATTATTTTGGTTATGTGCCTTCAAGTCCTTTCCAACCCAAAGGCTCCCTATCAAAATTGGTTTGCCCTTGCATCCCCAGGGGCTGAGAGGGTGTGACTTTCCCAAAGTGACTCAATGTCAGGACTTGAACCTTGCTCCCCAGAGTTGGAGTAGCCCAAAGTTCACACCATGCCTACAGGGATATTGTGGGTGGCAATTTAAGGGCATGTTTAATTTGGAATTGCAATTTTTTAATCTCACATTATCTGTTTTGGACTGGAATATATGGCAGTGTGGACTCGGATAACACAATTCAAGGCAGATACTGTGGGATTTTCTGCCTTGATATTCTGGGATATAGGGCTGTGTGGTAGGGCCCTGGGTTATATGGCAGTGTGAACTCAGATAAGCCAGTTCAAAGCAGATATTGTGAGATTTTCTGCCTTGATATTCAGGGATATAGGGCTGTGTGGAAGGGCCCTGGGTTGCATGGCAGTGTGGACTCAGATATCCCAATTCAAAGCAGATATTGCGGGATTATCTGACTTGATATTCTGGGTTATATGGCTGTGTGGAGGGGCCCTGAGTTTAATATGTTTTGTTTTTCATTTATTGCCTAGAAGCAGTGTTTCTCAAACTGTGCTCCTCTAGATGCTTTGGACTTCAGCTCCCACAATTACTAACAACTGGGATTTCTGGGAGCTGAAGTCCAAAATATCTGGAGGAGCACAGTTTGGGAAACATGGGGTCCCAGAGATTTGTTTCCATTCAACATTTATTTATTTACGATATTTACAGCCCGCCTTTCTCAGCCATACTGCGAGTAAAGGCGGGTTACAGATTGGCACAATTTGATGTCAGGCATTCATAAAAGTGCCATTAAAAACAATCAACATTACAATAAAAAACATAAATAAAAACCGTTAAAGCATATAATCATTGGTGTCATCCTGTTAAAAAGGTTATCCAGTAAGATCATCTGGCCATTCCATGTTCATCATTCATCGTTCCATGTTATCTATTCCTCTGCATTCTCAAAAGCTTTCTCAAACAGCCAGGTCTTTACTTTTTTTCTGGAAAGTCAGGAGGGAGGGGGCCGATCTAATATCCCTGGGGGAGGAGTTCCATAGCTGGGAATAAACAATAGCTTAACCTCTCTGCTATATTATGCAGATGGTAGTTATGTATTTCTGTGGATGGCCCTTTGGTTTGGTTGTTTATTCGTTCAGTGGGCGGCCCTCATTAAATAATGATCAACAGAATGAAACGGTGGCACCTGGCACTAACTACCGGTCGGTCAGTAATCTTACATGAAACTCTGATCTTAGCCATGCCCTTTGCAGCACATACATTTTGACATTAAGGGCACTTGGGTCCACTCTGTGGAGCTGTGATGTGGAACAAAAGAGATCTTAGAATCCCGACTACGTATTGCCTGGTGGCACAACGTTCTCATAAAGGGAGAAGGTTCTAAGGGAAGACAGGAACCAGAGGCATCCTTGAGGCACTTGGAGCACATGGTAATGTTTAATGACAGACTTTTGAGAAACTGGCAGATGTGTTCAGCAGATAGGATTCTCATGCCTTGCTTCTTTAGGTTTTGAAAACTAGTTATGTTCCTGTTGGAAAGGCTTGGCTACATTCTTCCTTGGCTTTCAGTATAGGAGCCACGGTAGCGCAATGGGTTTAGCCCTTGTGCCAGCTGAACTGCTGACTTGAAGGTTGGTGGTTCGAATATGTGAGATGAGGTGAGCTCCCGTCTGTCAGCCCCAGCTTCTCATGCGGGGTCATGAGAGAAGCCTCCCACAGGATGGTAACACATTTGGTCATCCCCTGGGCAACATCTCTACAGACAGCCAATCTTCTCACAGCAGAAGCAACAAACATGCAATGTGTGTGGAATGTGTGTGCTTGGATGGCAGTTGATAATCATCATCATCATCATATTTATTTACACCCCGCCAGCATCTCCCCCAACGGGGACTCGGGGCGGCTTACATGAGGCCAAGCCCAAACAGCAAATAATGCCGTCTTCCTTGGCCACTGTAGTCCATGCTCTAGTCACATCCCGTATAGACTACTGCAACGCTCTCTACGTGGGGTTGCCTCTGAAGACTGCTCGGAAGCTTCAAATGGTCCAACGATTGGCAGTCAGGATGCTAACAGGAGTGGCACTCAGGGAGCATACAACTCCTCTGTTGCGCCAGCTCCACTGGCTGCCAGTTTGCTCAAGTGCTGGCTTTAGCCTTTAAAGCCCTAAACGGTTCTGGCCCGACGTACCTGTCCAAACGCATCTCCTCCTATGAACCAGTTAGGACATTAAGATCGTCTGGGGAGGCCCTGCTCTCGGTCCCGCCGACTTCACAAGCCCACCTGGCGGGGACGAGAGACAGGGCCTTTTCAGTGGTGGCCGCTCGGCTGTGGAACACCCTTCCTACAGATATTAGATCGCCCCCCTACTTATTGGCATTCCGGAGAAAAGTGAAGACCTGGCTGTTTGAACAGGCATTCGACTAGGCAGTGTTATTGATTATTGATTGATTATTGGAACATGGAACAATGGATAACGAGACTGGATTCTGATTCTATTGATGAGACCTGATGGATTGTTGTATTGATGTATTGATGTTGATGTTTAATTAATTGCTATGTTATTGCTTTTAAATGCTCAATGATTTTGTACTGTGTATACTGAAACTATTGTTGTTAACCGCTCTGAGTCGCCTAAGGACTGAGAAGAGCGGTATACAAATGAAGTAAATAAATAAATAAATAAATAGATCAATAGTTTAAATAGCAAACCTTTTGCTGTACTCTCATGACTCTCAGAAGTTGCCACCAGGGACAGGTGCCTCACCCCACTTAATAGTATCTACAGCTCTTGAATGGCTCAACAGACACAGTCCAGGATATGTCTATGCTCCTGACCCAATAATTGTCCATATAATGTATACATTCAAGGTCATCAAGGTCATCTTAGGCTCGTGCGCCAGCTGCGCCCGTATCTTGGGAAGTCTGACTTGGCCACGGTGGGACACGCTCTGGTCACATCCCGCCTTGACTACTGCAACGCTCTCTACGTGGGGCTGCCCTTGAAGACGGCCCGGAAGCTTCAGCTAGTCCAGCGCGCGGCAGCCATGTTACTAACGGGAGCGGGACGCAGGGAGCATACAACGCCCTTGTTGTCCCAGCTCCACTGGCTGCCGATCTGCTACCGGGCCCAATTCAAGGTGCTGGTGTTATCCTACAAAGCCCTAAATGGTTCCGGCCCAAAATACCTTTCGGACCGCATCTCGGCCTATGAGCCCACGAGGACCTTGAGATCGTCTGGGGAGGCCCTTCTCTCGATCCCGCCTGCCTCACAGGCACGTCTGGCGGGGACGAGAGAAGGGCCTTCTCGGTGGTGGCCCCCCGGCTGTGGAACACCCTCCCTGTTGACATCAGACAGGCGCCCTCCCTTATGGCTTTCCGTAAGAGCCTAAAGACCTGGCTATTTGAGAAGGCATTTAACTAAATGCTATTAGCTGGTAATGACAATTGGAACGGAATATGGACTATGAGATTGGTTATGATTCTATGTCGTGACGATGCGGATTAGTTAGTGTAAGTTAGATTAGTGTGTAATATGATATGTTGATTTCTTGTTGTACTTTTGTAAACTGTTTTTATATGTTGTACACCGCCGCGAGTCGCCCTAGGGCTGAGAGCGGCGGTCAACAAATGCAGCAAATAAATAAATAAATAAATAAATAAATAAATAAATAGTGTCAATGAATTGCTACAAGTACTGGCAGTCCCTGAGTTACAAACATCCAACTTAAAAATGACTCATAGTTAAAAACAGGGTTGAGACAACAGAAAGTGAGAGAAATCTACTCCAAAGGGAAATTCTCTCCTGAAAGAGTTATCATAGGAAAAAGGTGTCTCAGCTGAAGCTTTATCCCCAAAACTTGTTTCCACAGCAAGCCATTTTTTTCAAAATCCAATTATCACAGGGACAGAAAACGAGGTGGAATCTTCTGAACAGGGGCACAGACAGCAAAATAAACACCATGGGAGTCTTAACCCTTTCCTATCATATCCAAAGCTAAAAATATATCTATTTTTGGTTTTTAAAATGTACCTCTACATACAAATTTAGCTTAAGAACAAACCTACAGAATCTATCTTGTTTATAACTTGGGGACTTCCTGTATATATATTTTTGGTAAGTCATTCCCATGCTTGTTAGTTTTTCATTGCTGATTTGCTTCACTTTTCAAAAATAATAAAGAAATGGCATAATTTTTAAAAAAATCATCTTTTTAAATACGTATAGTTTTTCCCATTTAGGCCTTTGGTATCTGCTAGGGTTTGATTCCAGGTTGCCTCGTGGATACCAAAATCCATGGAATAGTAAAATGGTCTCCCTTATATAAAATGACAAAATCCAGATTTGCATTATGTAGGTTGCTTTTTAAAAAATAATCTATGAATATAGATTGCATGGCTATAGGGGACCAATTGTATACTTATTACATCCGAGTTGTCAAAAAAACAGCAAATAAGTGGTGCTTTCAAGATCAACTCACCTGTCATCTCCAGTCTGATCCATGATTTGTAGTATAAAAATTCGTCTCTTTTATCTTTCTGTTTCCTTTTTTAAAATTGTTCAACTTAAAGAGACACGCTGAGCTATAAAATCAAATACTGATCATGGTCTCGAAAGAAGCGATGTGTTTTGTTTATCAATAAGGTTCAATTGTGTCATGTCAGAAGTAAGTTTAGGGTACAGTTAAAATGTATTTAAAAGCACAAACAATGTTTTCTAAAAAGAACTTGGCAATATGCTAGATGTCCTTGCAGCATAGGGTTCAATGAAAGCGTGTTTCATTGGAGCTAATGATTGCTAGGAAACTAAACATTTGCCGTGTGGCAGTGTTTCCGTGTTAGATGAATTCATCACAGGCGTTTGTTGCTGTTCAGTTCCCTCTGCAGTTTGAAGATTAAAAACTTCCCTCTTTCAGGAAGCAGTAAAAGAGGTGGAACTGGCAGTTTTGCTGACAAATCGTCCCTCCTTCCAAGTTCCCCATTGGCCACGGAAGGTCCGCTTATAGGAAGGCTGAGAGGCACTTGTAGCAATCAACGACAATCACCCCTGCTTATGGTTTTTATTGTTTCAGGCAGGTGAAGAGAAGGAGTTGCTTTGGCTTCTCCAACAAGAATACAACAAGAAGAGAAGACTCTGCACCAGATACAACAAAAACCACTTGAGCAGCATTAATATAACACCAAAGAAAATAAACATAAGACCTACAAATGAAGTGTGACAATTGCACCAAAAAGGTGAGTGATGTTTACTGATCTGTAGAATCCCCTATAGAATTGGGCTACACAATACAAACTTGTGTTTTCCTGTCTTCGATTGGATGTGGCAAGCTGTACTTCCAAGTAAACATATAGCAGTAACGTGATAACAATAACAAATGTCTGATTGGTATCATCCCAAACTATCTCCATTTCCATTTCTAGCCTCTGTTGTGGACTTTACTAATTTTGCTTGGATGTTTTGGGCTGTGACTGTAAACAGTTTTTTACAGTTTAGCAGCTTATAATGTTATTACAGAAACAATCTGTTTTGAAAGTATGCATATTAATGTAAAGTTTGAGTAGGCATTTGCCAGAATTTTGCAGATTGCCTTTTTAAAAGTCCTTTCAATTAGCTTGCTGTTGGTCAGGACATTTATTGATTTGGTTTTCTCCCAAGAAAGGTACTCAAAGCAGCAGACTCCAAAATGTACACTCTGACATTGCATTTAGTAGTTGTATCTGTCTTGTGGACTCAGAGGAACTATGTTTATTTCCCATAGAAGCTTATTATTACACAGGAATAGTAACACAAAATGTGTTACTTATTTTTTGTTATTTGTGGTAAGAAGCATAGAGGATGAAAAACACAAAAACCAATGTATCCAGCCTGGAAAGAAGCCTAGTTTTTATGGGCATTAGTGATACCACAAAAAGAACAAGTGTACAGATTCTTCTTTCTTTGCATTACCTTTTTATTACACCAGAAACAAACAGATGGAGAAATCATCTTTAGATATTGGCATTCCCTGAAAATCAGTATTATATTACATCAGAAAAGGCAGTCTCCCAACAGTTTGGCATTTTTTGAAACGTAATGTGTATTAAATTAAATTAAACAAGGACTAGCAGTAAAGCAAGCTCAATAGACCCATTAAGACAACGTTCCCTCCCCCTTTGTTTTCTTTTATAATTTTCATTTTACTCTGTGTATTATTAGTTTCTCTCCCGAGTGACTATTTAGATATTAATCAGTTTTGTGGGCATAAAGGAAACATGTATAAATATTCAGAAAAGCATTAAAATAATGTATCAAATGAAATGGCCCAAAAATGAAACCAGTTTTCACAGAAGAAGCCATGTTAGCTTGCTCCTACAAAAACAGGAGAGTGGTGCCCTGGAAGTAACAGATTTATTGCAATATAAGGTTTTGAGGATATTTTTTTCTTCAGTAGATGTACGACTTCAGGTTGGCAGTTCACCTACTTCAGTGGGTGGAGGCTATCAGCGGTGTAGTCAGAAGGAACTGAAGTGTGGAAAGTCCAGACAGGTGATAAGTGGCCATTAACAAATCAGCAGTTGTGTGGTATCAAAAACATCCATTTATGTATATACTGGCTTCCAAATGCAGGATGAAAAGAAAACCCATCTGTCGGGGGTGCTTTGAATGCGATATTCCTGCTTCTTGGCAGGGGGTTGGACAGAATGGCCCATGAGGTTTCTTCCAACTCTATGACTTTATGAAAACCTTGATCCCTATTCGGGATGCAGGAGACAGAATTGGATCTGTTACATCATTTCATCCAGAGGCTGCAGACGTTGATTATAGGTCTCATAAACCAATCCTATGTTGGCACAGAATTAGACATGCCAAAACGAGAACAGGCATCCCGCACTTATCCAAAGGCTAAGGGACCAGAGCACTGGCAAAAAGTGGAAATGGTTGAACTGTGGGACTTTCTTTTTTAAGCTTGCAAATGCATTTTGTCCACCAAAAACCATAAATAAAGCACTATATAGCATTTGTGAATGTATACAAAAGTTAAGTAACACACAATGGCAGTAAAATAAACAAAAATATGGTTAAATATTTTGAAATTTGCGTATATATGGGCAAACACTGGTGTCACTTTGGCTCTGCTGGCTTTTAAACTCATAAATTTTAATGAATTTATACCTTTTATCTTGGTATGTTTTGTTCCTTTTTTGTTTCTAAAATTAGGTGTGTAATTGTAATTTTATTTTATCATTTAATTTTATAATGTCTTTATTCTTCTTGATGAAGATGTCAGTTTGGTATGTGGAACTTGAGTGATTTGGGTGATTTTGTTTTTTTCTAGTACTTTAAGACATTGAATGTTTTCTGATATTTATTGTAAACCGACCTGAATCCCTACGGGGAGATATGGCGGGATATAAATGAAGTTTTATTATATATATAAAAACAATTCTTATGTTTTATTAAAAAATGATGACCTGGAAATTCCTTTGACAGAACAAATAGGATGATTAAATATTTTACATATAATCTTAATAAAGCATTATAATCAGGATGTAATCATATTAAATTGAAGATGAATTTCAAGCAAGATTAATTGAATGTAACCCTCATAGTTGTACACAATTTAGTTCCTACCACATACTGGTGATAGACTTAACTGAGCTAACTCTGTAGGCTGAGTAGTATACATTGTCAAAGAAATATGTGTGCTGATATCCAGAGATAGGAAAGAAAATTCTAGTCCCCAGAACATATATATATATATATATATATATAATCATAGCGGTAGAAGAGACCACAAGGGTCATCCAGTCTAACCCCATTCTGCCATGCAGGAACACACAATCAAAACGCTATTGACAGATGGCCATCCTTTTGTGCTGGAAGCTCCTTCCTTGGAGGCTTTTAAACAGAGGCTGAGTAGCCATCTGTCCAGGTTACTTTGATTGTCCTTTTCCTGCATGACAGAGGGTTGATGACTCATGTGGTCTCTTCCAACTATTATTCTATGATTCTATGATCCAGCTTCTGCTTAAAACCCTTCAGAAAAGGACACTCCACCACACTCTGAGGCAGCAGCATACCACAAAAAGATTCATCTTATCCCATGCTATGATGTTTTCACCTGTGATTTGTTAACTAACCAGTTACGACCTATATGTTTCAGGAATGTAATAAAAAACAGAAAAATGGGGACCGACAAAATGCACCAGTTGATGTACTCAGTTCGAATGAGGAAAATGCAGAGGTAATAACCTTTGAGTTAATCTCTGAATCATATTGTTTCCAACCCAGTTAAGGAACTGTCCTTCTGTAAAAGGTACATCTTCTCTAGCACAGTGGTTTTATTATGGTGGACTACACATAATAAGGCTGTTACAGCAGGCTAGACGTATGCCATGCCTCTCCATCTTTTGTGGCAACTCACACATAGAGGACGTTGAAAAAAACATGTTTTGGCTAAAATAGGTGACTGTTTGGGGTTTTTATGAAGTACCTAATACCCTTTTGATCATAGTTTCACCGTCAATCAAAGGACTCTTGCAACATTTGGAAACAAGTATGCTCAACAGATACTTCTTTGTGCATCACATTTTTGTTGACTTTTTTTTTTTACTTTCAGCCAAGCGAATTCCATAAATTGGCTAATGCTAAAATATTCCTGAGTGACTGCCTAGCTTGTGACAATTGTGTAACATCAGATGAGGCTGCCAGAGTTTTCCAGCAGAATCAGAAGGAGTTCTTCCATGTATTGAATCTTAATAAGGTAAATGGGTGACATTTATATGCATTTGTATATAAATGTATAATATCGACACGTCAAACTGGAACTTTGTGACACAATTGACTACTTGTTCCATAAAGTCTGTCACCTTACTACTTTTGCTCTGGTTATCCGTTCTCCTTGGTTCCACTGTTTTAATTCTTTTTTTTCTTGTTCCTCTGGGATTTTGAAAACAACGTTTTCGAAATTGTTCTCATTTCAATTGTACCTCCCAAGATTGCTTTCTTTAACAGTTCTCCTTGGAAACTTTCTTTCTTTATATCTAAAAGACTTCAACCATGCTGCTTCCTATATACCTATCTATTTATCTATTTATATTTATTTATTTTGTTCAGGTGTGTGTTTGAGTACCAAGAGAGGAGACCTTATACTACTAATTGAAAGTCAGTGGGATGTGATACTTATAACTATTTCATTAAATGATTTCCATGTCCACTGTCAGGAAATAAATGTCTCCACAGGATGGGTAACATCATCCCAGTGAGCTCAAGGGCCACGTTGTTGCTGTTCCGGGGTAGAAGCCTAGAGCAGGGGTGGGAATCATACTTTCCTACAGATGTTAGACTGAAGCTCCCAGCAGTCCTCATCATCATTCACTATGCCTACTTGGAGTTGTTTAGACAAGCATGTGAATAGCTGCATGACTTTCACCCCTAAATGAGCGGAGGATTTGAGTTAGCTCACCCCCACCTTCTATTATCCTTTCCCTCAATGGCCACAGACCTGGAAACTGAAAGAGAAAATACATCAATACAGCACTTCCTTGAACTGTACCGAACTGTACTGTGACAGCCATTTTACATGTTAAGGCAATGAGGAAGACATGGCCTACTCCAGATTTGGAGGCCTTTTCAGCAAGATGTCCCCTAAGATGATTCCTCCTAATTTCATAGGACTCTAGCAATGAGCATAGTGGGCAGTAGTAGAAGTAGGTAATGTTTTGGTTGTCTCATATTGCCCCAGAGATATGGGAAGTATGGAAAACCCACCAGTGCCAACACCAGATAAGCCCACATATGGGGGTCCAGATGTGAGCATCAGCACTGGTTAGCTATGATGGACCAATGAAATCTGGCCGTGCAGATTCTACACCAAAGGAGAGAGAAAGAAAGCAGACTTATAGCCACTATAATGTTATGTTATGCTAATGTGGCATTGAATTATTGCCAATTTGGAAGCCGCTCTGAGTCCCCTTCGGGGTTGAGATAGAGTGGGGTAAAAATACAATAAATAAATAAATAATTCAGTACTTTGCCTGAAGAAATCACCCACTATATTATGATCTTTTCCCAAGGGGGGCGGGTCTTCCCCACCTCCCTTTTCTGTCATAATAAACAGCTGAGACCAGGACTTTTCTTTGCATATCTAGCTATCTATCTCACCCCTGGCTTGTGAGAAATGTGGGGAGAGATAAGAAATAAATTCCCACTCTCTGAAACCTTACTAAAGGAGTTGGAGTAATATTTGTGTTGGGAAAAATACACAAGAAAGTTGTGTGATGCCTATGTTCCCTTAACTGTTTCATTAATGTAGTTCTATGTTTTATTGTGTATTGTTTTCCAGAAATGTGATACCTCAAAACACAAAGTGTTGGCAGTGTCTATATGTCCTCAGTCCTTGCCTTATTTTGCTGCTAAATTCAACCTCTGTGTAACAGAAGCAGCCAAGAGACTTTGTGGTTTCCTCAAATGTCTGGGTAGGTTATCATTATTATTATTGTTGTTGTTGTTGTGTGAGAAAAAAGAGAACACAGCATTTTTAATCCTTTTTTCAACATTTTACATTTTGCTTCCCTGGTAAACTTTTGTAGCGTATGTCAGGTCATAAGACATGGTTCCAAAACTGCCAAGCAAGCAAATTATTTGTGGGCGTGTTCACAATTGTTATAAATGGTGTTATAAGAGAGCACTTAAGAAAGTATTGAAAGTAATAATGGAGAACACTCCAATTTTTCTGGAGATTTATTTAAAAATATCAAAGCCACACATTTAAGGAGAACATTGGGAAGGATGGTAAAAAAGCCTCATGCAGATCTAGGCCATGTCCACATGGACCAAATAAAATGGACTCAGATTTCATCTTCTGTAAGAAGTCCACATGATGTACAGCTGGTTTGACAGCAAATACTTCCAGCTATTAATCTGACACAAGGGGGATCCACAACTTACACGAGAGCTTCCAGGAAGCTTCAGAGTGACTATGTCCAGCCTGATGCAGTATTCACAGGTCAAAGAGACAACATGGTTTCACAGGGTAGAAGCAGTTCCCTGGCAGGACTTTGCTGGGAACATTAGTTCTGGGATTACATGGCTGGCACCCCTTTATAACCTCAGAAGTAACATCACCAGCAAGGCTTTCTCAGGAAGCTGCTTTTGGCCGCCAAGTGTGCTATCAGCCAGGCCAGCCACTTGGGTTCAAAACGGGCTCCAAGGCATGCCTTTGCTGTATCTGGGGCAGCTCCAGAGTACAGTATACTTGATTTTTTTGGTAGGTGTAGTTGCAGCCCTAGTTAGCTATGGGTGCAAGCTGAAGAGATGCTTGCATGCAGCCATATTCATTTACTTACTTACTTACTTACTTACTTACTTCATTTATATACCGCTTTTATCAACCCAGGGGGGACTCAAAGAAGTTTCCAACATATTCACGGAAAAATTTAATGCCTCATAAAAATATGAAAACCTAACATAAAGCAACAATAACATAAAACTATCAATTAAATTATAAACATAACAACTTTTAAACATATAATATAAACATATATGTTAAAACATTTAATATAAACATTAAAATCACATGATCCAAGGCCGTTCCAATATCAAATGACAGTTGAACATCACCTCTGTTCATTTCTTGTATTGCTTATTGCCCAAATGGTTGGTTCCACAGCCATATTTTTGCTTTTTTCCCCTGAAGGGCAAGAGAGAGGGTGCTGATCTAATTGCATTGGGGAGGGAGTTCCATAGATGAGGGGCCACCACTGAGAAGGCCCTGTCTCTAGTCCCCACCAACCTTACTTGTGAAGAAGGTAGGACCAAGAGCAGGGCCTCCCTGGACAAGCTTAACCTCCGAGTTGGGTCATAGAGGAAGATATGTTCAGACAGTTAAACTGGGCCAGAACCATTTAGGGCTTCATAGGCTAAAGCCAGCACTTTGAATTGTGCCTGGTAGCAGACTGGCAGCCAGTGGACCTGGCGTTGGATTGTGTGCTCCCTGTACCTCGCTCCGGTGAGCAATCTGGCTGCTGCCCATTGGACCATTTGGAGCTTCCGAACAGTCTTCAAAGGCAGCCCACATAGAACACGTTGCAGTAGTCTATTCGGGATGTAACTAGATCATGGACTTCCATGGCTAAGTCTACTGTAGCCAAGCCATAGGTAAGACTAAAAGCTTTTCCTCAAGTTTCACACAGTGTGAGAGGATTCTCTTTCATTTAAATGAAACTGAGCTGTTCATCCAGAGGATTAGCTAAACAAGCTTCAAAGCATCTCTCACAGAATGGGTACATTGCTCTGTTGTCCATGCTGTGGATGACTAGAATTGCTGTCAGTGCTTCCCTGCACACACGCACAGCCTCACTCATCATAGAGCTTCCAGAACTCAGAAATAGGTTTTCTCCCAACTCATTCAGCCGCCCCCTTTGTACAGATGTTTTTGGTAATTAGGAGATGAGCCATTGTTGGTTATGGCTAAATCATGTGCAGAGGATCCCAGGTACAATCTGTGGCTTTCTTATGAAAAAGATTACACTAAAGTTGGAAGGCTGCTTGTGACGGAAGTGGACAGTGCTGGATTAGATAGACAGGCCAGCTGACCTGCTGTAAGACAGATTCCTAACATTCCTATAGACCCATAAAATGCAATGTGCCCCTCAGATATTTTATGTTTCTGGATTTCCGTGAAACAAACCCAAAAAATCTAGTTAATGTATGCTGCAAAATGAAGTGATGGGATACTTGTGTGTAGATAGGGTGCACATTTTTAAGCACCATTCTAAATCTGTTTGCAAATAAAACAAGTGCATCTGATAGAAAAGTTTTCACTCAATCAATTTCATTGGGCATTACTGCTAAAGAAGCTTTCAAAAATACGATGTTCCCACTTGTAGCCTGAAGTAAGATATTCCTTTCTGCTACTTTAACTACCAATTCATTCTATTATATCTATATAGCCCCCAGCTAAACTGACCATTTACGGCAGTTTCAAACCAGTTTTGAAGCAAGTGATTTTGCTGTGGAGATGTTTGAGGACCAGATGTTGATTGCACAAACCACAGAGCACTAATGCACACGAAGGGCTTTCTTTCACATGATTTTGTGTGAGTTTGTTGTCTGAACCTAAATTCAAACTGCATTAAATGATCAATGCGGATGTGGTCACTGACAGGGAAAAGCAGTAGATTTTAAGCCTTCTAGATAAAATCTGATTCAGGCATGATCAAGCATCTGTGTATGGTTATCTCTGGCTCTGTTTATTTGATACAAGGAATCCCTTTCCTGTCAAAACCGACAGGAGATTTAATCAAACAATGTGAGATTGTTTGATTAAATTTTCTGTATGTGTTGACTGTTGAGGAAATATAACTTTTGATTTGGACATCTGTGTCTTTGAAATGAGTACTACATCTTTAGTTATACATTGTTTGAAAAGACTAAGGAGTCCAAACAATGCGTGAGAGCAACAGCACTGATCTGGGTGTATTTTAGTGTCCCGCTTTGTTTCTCTAGGTGTGCATTATGTGTTTGACACCACTATAGCTGCTGATTTTAGTATTTTGGAGAGCCAGAAGGAATTTGTGCAACGCTATCGCCATCAAAATCAAGAAGAACATGCCTTACCAATGTTTGCTTCAGCTTGTCCAGGTAAGGAATCCATTCCTAGAAATAGTATATTTTTCCCACCAGTTATTTCTGAGATGGATGCTGAAGCATGAGGAAGACAGGGAGTTTTGGAAGCTGCAAGATCTATTTTTTCTTAGTCTGTTGCTCATTTTAGATATGTTCTGAAATATTAGGTTATCCTTTAAAAGCATGGCAACTAGGAAAATTCCATGCTTTTCTGTTAGGCTAGTACTACCATAGTTTCACCAGAAGGCTAGTATTAGTTTCACTTCCTTGATACCCATAAATGGAAACTCAGCTGAAAAGTTTGCTGCAAAGGCAAACTCGCATACCAGAATCCTTCAGTGAGCATTGTAGACTCCACTAGATGACTTTTTGATAACCTTTTGCAACTCTTAGTAACTCCAGTAATTTGAGTATACAGGAACCTGGAAAAAAAAAGTCACATTTTTTCCTGGAATTTTGAAGAGCTTCAATTGCATTTTCAGTCCTTACCCATTGTCCTCATAGTGTATATATGCCTTCAAGTCATTTATTAATTTATGTTGATTTATGGCAACCCCATTAATTCCATTGGATTTCATTTCCCCTCCTTAGCTGGCAGGTTAAGAACTGCGGAGAAGGGTTGTCACTGCAGTTTTTCAACAGTCCCAATTAACTTTCATGTACTTATATTCAACATGTGTCGTGACAGCATTTCATCCAATCTTATTATTTGCCCCTTTATTGTCATCTCAAAGGGCCTGGGAGTTTGTGTGGGAGCAGATAAAAACCTTCTTGGCCCTGCAAAACATGCACACAGCTTCTTTGCATAACTAAACAAAAGATGAACGCAGGCTGAAAGGCTGGAATTAATTGACTTAACTCTGTTTCTTCTCTAGAAGAATAGATAGTTGAAGGTCAATGAATCTACCAAGTGACTCACTTTGTAAACAGATGCTTGGCTTTGCCCATTAAACTTCACCAAGGAGTGCATGATTATAACACTAAGCCAAGGAGGGAAGGGATGGGGATGGGGGAAACCCAACCAATACAGCATTGAGATGAGTCAAACCTGCTGCAATGACAAAGCCTGATCATGTCCTTATGGGTGTTCTTAAAATGCTGAGCTCCCACCATGATGGGGAAAGTCATACCAGATTTTTAAAAGATGTCATACTTAATGCTTTAGTTAAGCAAGAATAAATAGGTAAAGTTAAAAGATATAGAAATGTAAGCATTTGCAACGTTAAGACCATTATAGAGAGCCCAACTCACCCATTCTATTCTACTAGTCTTGCTAAATTAATTGAGTTTCTGTTAATCTGGACAGCCCAATATGATGTGGCCAATGTTGCAAAAAAAACAAACAAACCAAAAAACAGCATGGTGCCATGGGTTTGAATGTTGCATTAAGCATTTGGAGACCAGGGTTTGAACCCTTGCTCAGTTGTGGAAACCCATTGTCTGATTTTGAAACCTCTTGGGTCATGTTTGCCACCTTAGAGAAAAGCTGTGTCAAGCCTACTTTGACTAAATCTTGCCGAGAGTCCTAATATAGAATCTTAACAGACTGAGGTCCATTTGAATAGATTTACATAACAATAACAAATTTAAAATCTTGGACCACTGTCTTAATTCAATCAGAAAGGGAATTCCACTTTTTGTTTCTTGAATACCTTCTGCTTCTACTCTCATAATCCTTAGCCCTTCATGTCTTGTTTCTGTCCCCCGACTCCAGGCTGGATCCAGTATGCTGAAAGAGTCCTCTCCAGCCTCGTAACTCCACACATTTGCACTGCAAAGTCACCACAGCAGATCATGGGTTCCCTCATAAAGGGTTACTTTGCCAGGCAGCAGGTAACTGTTTCTGTTCCTTCTTTAGAATAGTTGTGGTTGGAAGAGAAAATGTGTTTTTCACAGAGTGATTTTGCTCCAGATTTGTTGGATGTTGGTTTCATGGATTGTTTTAGCAAACTAGCAATGTGGAGAAACTTTTTCAGTTCAGAAGGGGCTACTATTTGTCTTGACTAGTGAGCTACAAATGTATACGCTCATTTTCTTTTTCTTCGTCATACTTTAGCACTATTCATCTACTTTTTAAAAAAAAATAGAGAAAAGATACAACTAACAGGAAGCATAAGGAAAACATCAATAGGTGCTCAATAAAAAACCTGTTATCATTATCATCAGCGATCACTTGGTTCCACATATGATTTGTCTTCCAAGTGTAGCATCTTGGCAGTGGGTCCATAGTAGAGACCTATTCTTGATCCGCATGGTCTTCCACGGTGAGGACATTGATTTCCAGATGGAAGGCAGTCCCAATCAGGGTTGACTTGACGCACCTTCCTCTTGACACATTTCTCCCTTTCACCCTCCATTCGTGCCTCTTCAAATTCCACAGCACTATTGGTCACAGCTGACCTCCAGTTAGAATGCTCAAGGGCCAGAGCTTCCCAGTTCTTGGTGTCTATTCCACAGTTTTTAAGGTTGGCTTGAAATGTTGAAACTTATTTGTATACCTTGTATCTTAGGGAATCAGAGATCACATAAACTATACAGCAGTCAGAGTTGCTTTGTGATAATTTCAGAAGGGACTAGTAATGCCATTCACTTAGCTCTTTCTCTGCATGAAGTTGGAGACATTTGTCCGTATTGCACTGTCTCACCTTGGTTCAAAAAGATTTATTTCCCAGATTTTTACATAACACATTTCTACATAATACTGTTGGCCCTCCACATTTGTGAGCCTGATTATTTGCAGATTTGATTACTATGCTCTCTATAGAAATCTCTAAATTCTCCATGATAAATGTATGGTCAATTTCTGCCAGAAATTGACAATAGAGTTGTACTGGAAGACTTCTAGGTTCCTGGAGAGAACATCCTCTAGGAATCTCTAGGTCCTCCAGTGCAATTCTGTGGTCATCTGTGGTGGATGTTGAACACTGAGTCCCTCTCGAGGATCCATTGATTCCCAGAAGGTGTAATTGTAGGTAAAAAATTAATAGCTTTACCGCTCACTTTTTTCCCCATTTTTTGGGGGGGCGGGGTCGTGCACTCCTTTTTGGAGGGGATCGTGGTGGTCTTTCTTTGCAATACATCTAGTTCCCATGGATGTAAACATATATATTCATTTACATGTTACCTTGCAAAGGAGCCAGTGCTATAGAAAACATCCCTGAAAAAATAAAGCAAATATTCAAGGAAGGAGTAATAGAGCCAAGAGTGTAATAACATCAAGATTGTTGCATTTTGTCCTTAACTTTTCTTGCAATGTGTTGATTGCATGTTTCCCCTCTCCATCAGAATCTTTCCCCTGATAAAATCTTCCACATAATTGTGGCGCCTTGCTATGACAAGAAGCTGGAAGCTTTACGAGAGGATGTTTATGCCCCTTTGTATCATTCACAAGATATTGATTGTGTTTTAACCTCTGGTAAGTACCTTCTTGAATCATCTTCCTTCTCGATTTATGTTTGCTTTTACACAGAATGATGGGGAAACAAACAGTCATGTAATAAAAAGGTATCCTCATAGCTACAATGTAGTGTTTATAGAGAGAGGTAGAGGTAGTGAGGAGCAGGATAAAGTGTCTTGTGTGTTTTCCTGTTGACAAAGTATTGTGACATCAACTTTTCCCAGAATTGTAGGTCTGTTGGATCTGTTTGAGTATCTGTCAGGCTCTAACTACAAAACAGAGTGGAAGATCCTTTGGTATCTGTGTTCTCAAAAAGTAACTCTGCCAACCTCTGCCTCTGGAGTATTCTGCCCAAATGTTGTGTCTATGAAAGATTATCGTTGTACTGTCAAGCAACTCAAAGTTTAATGCGTTTAATGCCAGCTTTGGTATTTGTGGAGAAAAGTGTTTTACTTTATGGGTTAGGAGTGAAGAAGGAAGGCTACTGCATATTCTCTCTTTCTTGGATTGTTGGGTAGGACTAAAGTAAAAGCCCTACTGTATTCTCCCAGGTCGCTCACAAAACTAGGATAAGCCCTGAAACTGAGCAGGAAGTCAGGCATATAACAAGCCAAAACTTTGGCCAAAGGATTCTCCAAGCCCTAGCACAATTTTTCGTCCAACCAACAAACAGCATTACATATAAACTCTGGAGGATACAGTAGGACTGGTATTTCAGTTCTGGCCAACAGGATGTTTGTTTTTATTTGGATGTTGTTGCTGCTGATGTTGCTTTGCTGGTCTGCTTTTTCTGCTTGTCCTGCACGTTTCAGCCAGAAGAAATTGCCCTGGGATTTCAAGCGTGTGAGAAGTCAGGCCCACCTGTAGGCAGAGAAGCATACCATTTTCCTCATAGTCCCAAGAACATGTGCATTGACTTTGTTAGCACAGTGAAGACTGTGACTGCTGTGCAAACAGGAAGAGTCATAAAAGATATTCAAGAAAGAAATAGACAAGAGAGTTGCAGGAAAGGTCAGGAAGACCAAACTCTTAATGCTTTGAAGGATATCTCTTTCCCAAGTTATGCAAATTGTACAAATATAGTACTAAGGCAGTTTGCATCTGCTTATCTCAAACATTCACTCAGAAATTAGGGCTGAAATACAAACAAAGGGTGCAATCAGTCTCTGTACAGCTGTCAGTCTGTCCACACCCCCATCCCCACCCCTAGATAATCCATTTGCATCCTGGGACAGCTGGTGACATGATTGGCCCTATCTGCAACTGGCAGTGGATGACTAAAAGATGAGGACGTGTTCCTACTCTTGCCTTTAAGCACTGGAGGCATTGGTGCAGGCACCTCTTAGTCAGCAAGGGCATGAATAGTTTGCTGACTGGATAATAGTGCCAGGGTTGGCACAGGCTGCTGAAGTCAGCAAAAGGAGCAACTACCCAGTTGGCTGTTGCATGCCTGCTCCGTGCTGATTTATTTATTTATTTAGGCACATTTAGCCTCAGTACTGAGAGAGAGCCTCAGGAACCTTCCCCACCAGTAGTTGCCAGGCAGAAACACTTTCTTTTGCTAGCAAACCACCATACTGCCCCCTGTTGGTTATTCCTAAGCCATCTAGGACCATTCTTGTTTTGTTTATATACAGTACAATTCTACAATTGCAGAACCATACCTGTGATTTCATTTGTCCACACCAGACAAAATATGCCCTCTCTACACATTTTAGGTTCTCCAGTGCAACTGTGTGATATTCTTGGGCTAGAAGTCCATCATCTCAATAGGGCTAGTTATTATCCACAGTGTTGCACAATCACACATAGCCTCAGAACATGTCCCTGGGACTGTCCTGCAATATGCCTTTCAACTATGAATTCTTGACCAAATGCGCTCGGCAGGCCACACCAACGGCTTGTGCAAGCCGAATGCAGCCCATGGACCTCATGTTGTGCAAACCTGGTCTAAGTAAGCCTCCGCCATTTCCATCTGACATGGTTAATCATGAAAGCAGCACAATGTAGTGGTTTGAATTTTGGAATATGCTTATAGAGACTAGGGTTTCTCTCAGAGTAAGGCAAAAACAAATGACCCTGAACAAATTTGCAAAGAAAAACCATGATAGAATCGCCTTAGGGTCTCCAGAAGTTGGAAATGACTTGGAAGGCACACAATAACAACAATGGAGGGCCAGAAGTTCCCCAACACTGTTTCATGGATTTACTATATGATGAGTGGAATGGAAATACTTTCTACCCTATGCCATAACAACAGAGCATTTCACAAAAATGAGTCAGGACAAATGAAACTTCTTTACATAGTACACATCCTAAGCTTGTATTCTCCAACAGAGATTACCTGCATGCTCAGTGATGGAGCATTGCTACAAGTTTTGGAGTGCTAGGGGATAGTTGACTTCTACCTTCATACTTTCCTAGTGGGTTTCCTAAAACATAGAATTGACCATTTTGAGGACCAAGCTAGTAGGACAGGAAGTAGTCTTTTAGTTATTCTTGTTAAAGTATGGCTGAGAAATTGTAACAACCTGTGTAGGCCAATAAACTCCTATTCCCATCATTCCATACTGTGAAGCAGGTTGACATAGATGGATGGGAACCGATTCCCTGGCCTTCCAGTAGGGCTTTTCTCTTGTCTTTAAGTAATGCAGGAGAGATCTAGAATGCTGGGGGCTATTATATGGAGAGCAGTCTGTTACTGTTGCAGAACAAGATACTATGTTTTCCTCAAGATGTTACCCAAGTTTAACTGTTGGCATCACCAACTAGCATTGCTAGTGATGATAGAGGATGGGAGGTGTAGACTAGGAGCAACTGTTGCAGGGTTCAAGTTTGCCATTGCTGTATTAGTGCCTTGCCCTCATTTCTTCTGGTCTCTCCATGTACTGAGGAGCAGTCTATTTTTCCCCAAACAGGTGAAGTCTTCCAAGTCATGGAGCAGACAAAAGTATCCTTGAAAGAAGCAGCTGAAGTGCCCTTTGATACTTTGTAAGTACCTACTGTGAAACACTTTCATTTTGGCCATTTGATTTAAAAAAGAAAAAGGAAAAAGAGAGAGGTGTGAAACACAGGATATAATGATTATGACCTAGTATATTTCTACAATATTTACTTTTGCAAACCTAGTAGAAAGGCATAGAGCAGTGGCTCTCAACCTTTGGGTCCCCAGTTGTTTTGGTCAACAACTCCCAGAAATCCTAGCCCGTTTACCAGGATTTCTGGGAGTTGAAGGCCCAAACATCTGGGGACCCACAGGTTAAGGACCACTGGCATAGACGGCTGCCTCTTAGAACGCCTGTCAGTTAGTTCATTCCCAGGTGCAAGAGGAGAAGACTGCACTGTCTCTGCTGCCGGGAGAACAAAAGCAGCTCCAGGCACTTGGGCAGGCAAAGTTTCATCCCCAGCTAGAGTACATTGGTCCCAGGAAATGCCCATTATGCCGATGGCTGTTTTGGGCCTGTATATTCTGGCCGGGATGTGGTTTTGAAATAGAAGTATGGCTTAACAGTCATAGCAACACATTGCACTTAGAATGGAATGTTCCATAAAGTCCTCATTCTGAGACATTGCAAGACTATTCAAAGCATCGCTACGGTAACTAAGCTTTTTTCTGGATACATACCATTTTTCTAGTTTGTTGCTATAATTTAATCCCTGTAGTGAAACAGAAGGCCTTGATTCTGATAGGAGCTTTTAAATGAATACATGCCTCTGTCAAGCAATTTGATTATATAACATAGAGCCCATCTACACTGACCATGTAATGCAGTTTGAAACCAACTTGAGGCTGCAGTGGCAACAAAACGCACACTGGCAATGAGCTCTACAGTGTGCATCTAAAGCTATACAACACATTTTTAAAATCCCAGAAAAATCGAAATTCAGCTCCAGCGTGTGCTGCAACAGATCCCAGTGTATCCCAGATCCAAGACAAAATCAGCTAAACAAAATGTGGACCACATCACGGTCCCTCACCTCTGCTGAAGCACATTATAGGCTCCAGAACAGGAGAAAGGCATGCCTGAGTAACAAGGGGCTAATCGACTTGCTGTCACTTTACCTTTTTTTCACATGGAAATGGGAAGGGGAGTCTACAATTCCAGGCACTTATATCTGATTACCTGTCTATATTTGGACAGCAGAGCAGGTATCTGAAAAGCATTTGCTACTGTAAGGGGATAAGATTTTAACACCAATGCCACTTCACTGTTTTAGCCTATGTCAGCCTTCCCCAAGCAGGTGACTTCCTGATGTCTTGGACCACAGTTTCCATCATCTCCAGGAAGCATAGCCAGTGAGGACTGATCCCATTGGACTAGCCCCATTGGAGCAGTCAACAGTTTAGGGAAGACTGGTGTATCTTCTGTTTCACGATGCACATCCCTGGGCAGATAGTGGTGCTGAAAATATGAATAGGTCTCAGTGGACTATGCAGTGAAACTAAACTTCTCTCATCATCAGTACATCACCCTCTTGTTATAAATATGTGTATAATTGTTGGCTTTTTATTCTATTCATTTAACATAGTTAAGTAATATATAGTTTACTGTTGGCTGAGAACTTGCCAGAGTGTAAGTGTTTACCAGCTAAGCTCTGTAGAGTATTCTTCATTTTCACAAGGTCATCCTTCTCTTCACATCCTTGTTGATTGCTTTATTCCATAAGATTTGGTGGGATAAATGAGAGTGATTTAATGCGGCATGATGGAAGAAGGTCAGATGGTTACCTGGAGCACATATTTAAACACGCTGCCAAGGAACTGTTTGATACTGAAGTGAAGGAACTCACGTACAAAGTATTGAAGTAAGTTGTGTATCTAAGTTAAATTAATTCATGAAACAAGTATTGTGGATCAGTTAAATTACAGGTTTCTAGGTTAAATTACAATGAATGTAAGCAAGGAACCATGGCCAGTCATGGGACATACTCCATCTGTATCCACATGGAATGCGTAGTTAAAACCGTTACTTCCAGGTCAAATCCCAAAAGTCAGACAACACACCCTGACACCACTTCATGGGCAACTGTATTTTTCAACCTTGAGCCGAATCATTTAGGCATGTGGCTGTTTCATCAGCATTATCCTAGAGGTTCCAGGGTCAGTAGGAAGCAATGTATAAAAACAATGCTCAGCTAAAGCACAGCTTCTAATAAATCCTTGCTCATTCCTGTTCTCTAAATTCCTAGAAGGCCTTGTGACCTCCAAAAGTTTCTTGAGCTGTAATGTACTTTGAGCAGAAGAATTTCAAAACTGGGAACCCAATCAATTATGCCACTTTTATTGCAATTGTTTTTCAAACAGTGTCCATGAAGTGTATCATTTCAGTGAACACTGGAGATAAAGGTAGTTTCTTACTGTGAAAAGACATGGCAGCCTTTATTACAGGCTACTCAAAGCTCCTATTTTGCTAGAAAGATTGACCATTTCACTATTTTAAAAATGTATACATTTCTTGTCTGAGAGGATGCAGAACTTTATACTATCAGTTTATAGTTTAACCATCATAAGGCAGATGATGAGGTTTTATTGGACCACAATTTGGATAGATTTGGATGGTGTTTTAACCTGGCAAACTGTTTTAATGTATATTGATATTTATTTTTAGGCATTTGATTGTATTTTATTATGTGTTTTACTGTTTCGGCATTGAATTGATGCCTGTTGGTAGCTGTCCTGAGTCCCTCCTTGGAGGTCAAAAAAGGACAGGATATAAATATTCCAAATAAATAAATAAAGGCAACCCTTTATCTATTACAGTATTCAAAAGGAGCAATTGTGATCATATCCAGTAGCCATTCCACCAGTCCAAAGACAAACACCATTAAGAACTTGTGCCAATGTTTTCTCCCCACACCCCTTTTCATTCCATTTTTCTTTTCCTTCCATTGTAATGAGAACCTTTCCTGACATAAAGAGGATATAAATGCCATGAAAAATATATATTCACTTGTGTGGTGAATAGAGCTAATGAAAAGCATTACTTAGCATTATGTAGAGGAGATATCTGACCTCCCAATAGTTTCAGCTGTCTACATCTTTGTTGCCTGTCACCTTTTCTCTTGTAAAAAACACCCAACATAGTATTTTCCAGTCGTCCTAAAAATAATGCAACAGACACAGGCAGTCACACTCTGTTTTGCTTTCTGTCTTTTCAGAAACAAAGATTTTCAGGAGGTCACACTAGAAAAGGATGGTGAGACGGTGTTGCGCTTTGCTGCAGCTTATGGCTTTCGAAATATCCAAAACATGGTCCTGAAGTTGAAAAAGGGAAAGTGTTCCTACCATTTTGTAGAAGTTTTAGCCTGCCCTGGAGGTAACAACTGAACATGAAATCTGTTCCCCCCCCCCTCCTTATACATATGCATACAGCAGGCCAGCCTGCTTCAGTTCTGTGCCATCCAGATGTGTTGAGCTATCAATAGCGATGATCAGAGATATAGTCCAACACACTTGGAGGGTACCAACAGTTTGTTTTAAGCAGGCATAATGATTCTGATTCCCACCTTTATTGGTTTTGATATGTGATTGAGGTTTTGTTTATTTGTTTGTTTTTAAACCCCCTAAAACCGAAGTCTGAAAATGCTTGGGTAAGCATTTGTGGTTCAACAGTGCAATGAAATAAGCCTGGTATTAGCATCAGTCAGGCCTCCAAGGGAAGGGGTTTCTACAGCTTGTGGAGCAAGTCTCCTTGGGGAGAAAGGCGAAGTATAAATAAAGTAAATCAGTAAATACAGCCAAGAAAGTCTAGCAGAGGAACACAGAGAAGGACCTCCTTGATAATCATATTTGATATATCAAACTACTAAGATTTTTTGTGCAGTGCTGTTAAAGAAAAGACTGCTATACTTCAGCACTATATTTCTATATGAAATATACTGGTTTTTGCTTTTTTTCCAGTATTGTTGATTATACTAAATTGGTAACATTTGCTAAGGTGTTACAGCACTAAAATTATAGTACAAGGATTCTGTAGTTTTTTGACCTGCAGCTCCAGGAAACTCTACCAAGCACAGCACTTGCCAGTACACATTTTGGTGCCTCAAATGTTAGCTCCTTTTCTGATTATATTTGATTTACTGATTCCACAAATGGCACAAGTTTCCCTGTATCGGCACTATGTTTTCTAATACAGAACATATGGCATTTAACAACCATGATAACCATAACTAAGAAACTAGAGTGGAAGCAGTCTGTCCAATGCAGTTTTCCCAAAGCAGCACCCCAAATAACCTCAGGAACAGGCCTAATAATCAATACACCAAGGATTTTTTTTTGTTGGGTTGTACAGTCTAAAAGACATCTGTGACGGAGAGCACAAATTGGCCACCTATCCTGTAGGGCAGGCATCCTCAAACTGTGGCCCTCCAGCTGTTTGTGCCTTCAACTCCCAGAATTCCTGACAATTGAACAAGCTTGTGAGGGCTTCTGGGAGTTGGAGGCCCAAACAGCTGGAGGGCTGCAGTTTGAGGAGGCCTGCTATAGGGAATTGAACTGACTTACTGATAAGAACCAATCCATATAAACCCAATTGATGTGGTAAGCTTCTGAATTTAATCTGGGACAGAATGTATTTTAGATTGCACATATTGGATTTTAAGCATCGAAACCCCATTTGAATGCAACAAATTTGTGTGGAACATTCAGAGATGTATTCCAGAGCACGTATACCAGACACAGTGGAAAGGAAGGCATACTTTTGCTCTATACCACACAAATCAGCAGCCAGTACTCTGGCCCAGTGTGTTTCTCTGCTTAAGCAAACCATTTTTCTCTTTTTGTCCTTGACCATCCACAACTAGGGTGCTTAAATGGAAAAGGTCAGGCTCAGACTGAAGATGGAAAACCAGACAAGGCTCTTCTCAAGCAAATGGAGGAAGTGTATGCTGCAGTTCCTGTCCAACTTCCAGAAACCAATGGTCATGTGCAGAAACTTTACCAGGAATGGTTGGAAGGAATGGACTCTGTGAAAGTCCAGCAGTCGCTGCATACAAAGTATAGCTCAGAAAAACCAGTTGCTAACAGCTTGGATATCAAGTGGTGACCACTCAACCACTAGACTTGCACTAGGTTTGTTGTACATGCAGCACTGGCAACTATTCTATGCAAGAGACTGGGGCATCGACACAATGTGTGAAAAAAACTGGAACTGTCTTTCTTCTCCATTTGAACTGTGTAAAGTCAGATTGTTTTATTGTATATTTGGACCATATCTATTTAAGCAGAGCCCAACAGTGTATGTATCTGAGGGGCACCGAGCTTCTAGACTTCCAAGATGAAGCATCATAACAAGATCAGAGCATGCTGGAATGTGCTTTGATCTCAGTCACATAAGTAGATAAGTTGGTTTGCCAAGAATCCAGTGTCATGGATTTCACTGGTCTTAAAAAGGAATTTTGCTAAATTGACAGTTCATCCAAGACTTTGTATAATTGCCAAACAATATAAGATACCAAAATAAGATAAAGCAAACTTCAGTAATATAAGTAAGTTCCTACCATAGCACACCACTACCACTTTATTGCATTAAGAGGATACTCTCAGATTGAATTGAGCAACAAGAAAAACTAGGAACTCTGCCACCTGCTGGTAGTGAATTTTTATTGACTTTAATATCATTTGTTTTCCTCTTTTGGGAAAGTAGGGAAAGTGTCCTGTTCTCTCCTTCCATTTTTAGCCTGTTGGTCTTTCCCAGGGAATACTGAGATCCTAACCTTTCAGTGAGATTAAGACATATTGTTGGACATTCTCAGCCAAGTTCAAGACAGATACTTTCCACATCTTCAGTATCTTGGTTTTCAGGCAATCCGAGTAAAGTAAATAATCAGAACGATGGAAAGATAACATAACTGCAGATGCAAAATGGGATTATTGGGCAAAAGTTTCAGGAATGGGCAAGTTGAAGGTAATGAAGCTGGAGATAAAAGTTATCAGATACAGAGGCCACTGGCCTGAAACCAGAATACCCAAAACTGCAGAAATGAAACAGAAGTTAATGTGTGTATGAGTGTGTGTGCATGTGCCTTCAAGCCACCTCTCAATTTGTAGTGACCCCCACAAACTTCATGGGCTTTTCTTAGGCAAGGAATCCTCAAGATGTAGTTTGCCATTTCCTTCCTCTGAACTATAAACTGGTTTCTCATCCAAGTGCAAAACAGGGCCACTCTTGATTAGCTTCCAAGATCAGACAAGATCTGTTGTCTTTAAGTTTTTTGGGCTCCAGAAAGTAATAGTGTTATTGTGTGCCTTCAGGTTGTTTCTGTCTTTTGGCTACCCTGAGGTTAACTTACTATGGTTTGTTTGTCCTGTTTTATTTTTTACAAGATTTCAACATGAGGAGCTTTGCCTTTGTCTTTCTCTGGGGCCAAGAGAGAGTGTGACTTGCCTAATGTTGTTCAGTTCCATGACCCAGTGAGGATTTGATCCTGTTCTCGAGAGTTATACACTCAAACCACTACACCATGCTCTCTCCGAAGTTAATGTTCCCTACTGTTAATATACTTCACAGTACTCTTACCTGCTTAATGGCGAAGTCCTGTGTGATTTTTTTAAGGTTATGTCTACTTCTGTTGGCTTTAAATCCACACATGTATTTTAAGTCCTTGGAGAGTTTATTGTACTTGAATCTTGTCAGCACATTCCTGAACTCAGTGGCATTTAGTGAGCAGATATGCCTAGGACTGCATGATAAGTTACAAAAAGTAAAGCACTAAGCTAACATACAAGCTCCCATTTGTGACATTAGTACATGGATAAAAGTACAGTGTATGCTCACTGAAATGAGTGGAAATTGTAGACCAGCAGTATATGATGGACTGTACCCTCTTAATGTGATTTTAAGCAGTTTTTTTGCATTGGGTTGCAGAGTTGGAAAATATTCCCAAAGATTCTCTTCACTTGTTTTTAATTTGTCCAGTCTTGTCCCTTAAAAATATTTTGGAGCAGCACTTTAGCCTCTCCCCTAGCTTCTCTTTTGTGTGCTTTTCTGCCCTTAGCAAAAAATATGAGTAATCTTTGTTGTGATTTTACCATGGCATTCACACATTCTTCCAGCATTTGTAAGTGTCTGCCATATTAAAAAAAGGATCTTAAGGCTGTCGTATTTACACTGTAAGATTTGAAACCTCATTATTGGTGCTTCATTTCATTTCAAGTGTCTTCAGTTCTTAGGCAGATTCTCATGGCAATAGAAGCAATTTCCATATGCAGTGAAGCTTTTTGCTCAGAAACAATTTAGTACAAGGTGATATAGGAAACAAAATTACATTTGACATGACATTTGACATGGGGACATTTGAGTAGCATGTCTTTAAGCAGTATAGCCAAGGTATATTTAAAGGTTCACAAAATTCAGGTTAGGCGTATAACACTTCTTTAACATAAACTTTGGTCCCAAAGTTAGAAATAATATGGAAAGAATAGGGATAGGATCCTACACTCTAAAAAAGAAGAGTAGTTCAAGAAGGTTTACCAAAACAGTATGCACATATAAAATTAAACATGATACGAAACGTTTGGATAAGTAAACAAAAATATTTTGTACCTTCTAAAGACTAGTTGAAAGCATCTTCTAAAATGCATCCAGATTTCTTCCCCTTTCAGCAGTCTCAGCTTTTATTTGAATTTCCACTTTAGTGCCCAAATGTAATGATGTTGTATTTTCAAGTCACTTCTGACTTACGGAGACCCTAGGCCAGGCATGGGCAAACTTTGGTCCTCCAGGTGTTTTGGAATTCAACTCCCACAATTCTTAAAAGCTGGTAGACTGTTAGGAATTGTGGGAGTTGAAGTTCAAAACACCTTGAAGACCGAAGTTTGCCCATACCTTCCCTAGACCAAGGGGTTTTTGGCACGATTTTTTCAGATGAGATTTGCCTTTGCCTTCTTTGAGGCTGAGAGCATGGGTCTTGCCCAAGGTGACCCATGGCTGAGTCTCCAGAGTTGTAGTTCAATGTTCAAGCTGCTACATCATGCTTTTTAAACATACTTTGTGGGGTGGGGATAGTCTTGAAGCTAATTGCCCTTTTCTGTCTATTTTGGTTTTCACATAAGGCCAGTAAGGGATGCTAGAGGAAGCTGCTGTCATTTTGCCTGCTGTAGGCAAACACGCACAACTAGAGAAAGATCAGCTGAGGAGTATCTTGCTCATCCAAGCTTTACTGTTATCTTTACTGTAGATGCAACTGTTCCAAACCAGCAATTGAAGGTCTGTGTTTCTCCAGTTCTTCATCCCTCTCCCAATGCAAACAGAGGGGTGAGCAGAAAAAGACTTTGTAAAAAGGGCTTCTTTGTCAGAGGCTTTGTTAACTGAGGTATTCCTGTATATATTTTGCTTTGCTGTCTTAGTAAAAGAAAAGAGAGAAAAAGATCATTTAAGACAGGTACACAAACAATACATCCTAGTGCCAGGAAAAGCACTCATAGTAGCTGTGGTAGTCCTGGACTTGCATGTGTATAAAATCAAAAGGGTGTCTCTGCGTGGCACTTTGTTTCAATACTCCTGGTTCTTAACCATTTTTGTAACATCTCACATTGGTGCCTTCTGACCCTCAGTAGGATAAGGCAGCCCTCTCTAACCTGCTTTAGCCTTCTGTTGACCATGCGGGCTGGAGATCATGGGAGTTGTATATCAACATACTTAGAAAACCCTAACCTTACCACAGTGTGTTGAAATGTGTTGGCTCAATTATATTCATGTTTGTCCTGAGTGTGTCCTGAAGGGGAAGGAGATATACTGGGTTTTTGTAGGAGTGTTTTCCATATTTCCACCTGTACAAAAGTTGCAAGAGACACTTCCATATGAACGTACCCAGAGAGGTCTACATTCCTATGGTAAAAGAAAAGGGATGTGCAATCCCTGATAACTTTGGTATGATGGTAATCTGATTTTTTCTGTATTCATGATTCAGATGTGTGTCCCTCATATAAAGGGAGAAATGGAGGACACCTTGTCTTAAATGCTGTATCTTATTTTGCAGCCAATTTTGTATATAGGAATTCACTATATGTGGAAGAGTATCTGTATATATATAGGTCCTTGGTACAAATCTGGAATTTAGCTTTGCGAACTTAGCCTTCAAAGCATTTCACCAGGACAAGTCCCAAGAGATTGTACTGCCTGCCATTTGCTGTATCAAAATGAAAGCTTCCATTGTATCAAAAAGCTGCATCTGTGTTCTCAAGTGACCAAGGTTAAAACCTGATGTTATTGTACTGTACCAAGAACAGGGGAGCGAGAAGCAAAGTCACAAAATTGTGCAGTTCTCTTTCCAAGAGATATAAAACTGGACAAGCTGAACAAAAATTCAACTCATTGGAACCATTACATTTAGAGTGGCTGGCCCTGGATTTTGTGCAGATATGCATAACTTGGAATTATCTGTAGATCAGACAAGAAGGAGTATCATGCCTTCAGGAAATTCTGGCTTGGAACTCTAATTAAACAGCTCCTGTGTTTGCCCCTCTGGTGAAGCTATTTAAATGAAAAATAAACTAAGCCACTGCTTTGCGCATTCCATAATCTCATAAAATTCAAAAGGGCTTTCTGCATCCCTTTCCCTTATAGAGTATTCAGGAACCCGCAGAACATGCTAACACATTGGAGCAACATATTACAGATTCAAAATATTCCTTGTTCTTCATAAATTAATAGTATCTTCAGTTAGGATCCAGCTCTCATGAAAAGTCTAGACTAGGTGGCATCTCAAAACACCTGAAATCCATACTACAGACCTGCTCTTGATAGCATGAAAATTCATTCAAACAGGGCAAAACTGCACACGCACACAATTTTACAATTTTTCTATACATGGACTCGTAAGATATAAGGCATGTTAACTATATTAGATCTGTTACATATATCAAGACAAGGTTTCACAGAGCGACACAGCAATGCATTCCCACTTACACAGAAATAATGAATTTCTGCTTACACAATTGGCAAATGAATTGTTCATTTAAAAGACAAATTGTCTTGAATTTACTTATGTAACACCAAGATGCATCAAGGTAAAATGAGACTGAACCAAAATCACTAGAATGTAGTTCCTTTTGTGATTGCACACACAGCACTTGATATTGAGATGGTGCGAGTAAAAGCCAATAAGAGTGTGATCCATTAACGACAACTGTGAATTGTTATAAACATTTGTGCAGAACATGGACATTAAACTGTCCACTAGGTTCTTTTCCCCCAGGAAATCCATTGTCTTGCGCTTGGTGTAAATTCTTTGCATCTTGTTACTGGGATCAGCAAAGCTTAGGAGGTGGAGCAGAAAATGTGTCTGGGGAAATCTAGCTTTCAATGTTTTTGTTTTTTTCATCTGAATGATGTATGAAATGCTTCATTTTTTAATAGACTGGAATGCGAAAAAGTCTATGTGTATGTACAGATGTACATGTGCTTTAAAGATTTTTTTCCTCCTTTTTTAGGAGTTTGAAAAGATTAAAACAGATGAGAAGTCTTCCTGCACAGTCATAAAATCTGCTGGCGTAGTTTATATTCTAATGTCTTATACTTTACCTCAACCCAGACATGTTTTTAAGACACACATTCACGGGAGAGCCCAAAGTAGACTAGCTACCACTTTTCTAGTTCCTCTTACTGGTTGTGGGCCTGTTTCTATTACCACTTCTCTTACATGAGCAGGGATGAGGAGCTGAGGTGTTACCTACTCCCTGGCATAGCCAAGTTACCATTAGGTAAGTCACTTGAGTAAAACTAGGGCAGCTCTCTCTCTCACACACACACACGCACCACTTTTTGCAAGTGGTTGCCCAACTGCAATGGATGTATACAGCATGACGCCCATATCCGTAGGCCCAGTATCCATGGTTTCGCTTCTCCAGGTCCAATATAATATGTCCTCTAGACATTTTCTGCATCCTCCAGTATGACTGTATGGTATTCTTGGGCCAGTAGTCCTTCATTACAATGTGATTGACTATTACACATGGTTTTGTCTAGCCATACAAAATTTGGGGACAAATCCTCCATAGATACAGAGGCAATACTGCATTGTAAGTGCTCCCTGGTGGCACAGGGATTAAACTGCTGAGCTGCTGAACGTGCTGACCGGAAAGGTTGACAGTTTGAATCAGGGAAGCAGGGTGAGCATACCGCTTCTGTGGGAAGGTAACGGTGCTCCATGCAGTCATGCTGGCCACATGCCCTTGGAGGTGTCTATGGACAACGCCGGCTCATCACCTCAGAAATGGAGATGAGCACCACCTCCCAGAGTCAGACACGACTAGACTTAATGTCAGGTGAAACCTTTACCTTTACTTACTGCATTTTAATGGTCTGGGAACGAAGTTGCCACTTGTCACACTGCAATTAAGCCCACTTGATAGCACAGTAGACCATCTGAGACTTGTATAGCTGCAGGTCCTGATATGGGGAGGTGGAGGAGGCAAAGCAAGGGGGATTCCTTTGGAAAATTGATGTTTTAGTTGGATCTATTTACATTATTGTAAGCTGCCTTGAATCCCATCCTAGAAGAAAGGGGGGGGGGGGGATACAGACATATTACATACATAAAGCATATCAAGGCTGCTCTCACAAGAAACCTAAATGACTGCATTGGAACTAATGCATTTGGGATATATAGCATATAAAAACAGATTCCTTGGAAAAGACAACTGCTCAGTAAAACAATACCCTCTGAAAAGTGGGTCAACTGATGAAGCCATGCCCCAGAGTTTGCAAGAACAACTGAACTGGGTGCAGTGCCTAAAGACCTTGGCCTGCACGTCAAAACAATCGGCACTGACCAAATTAGCAGCTGTTAGCTGCAAAAGGCCACCCTACTTGGATCTGTATGCATTATTCGCCAATACATCACAGTCCTAGACACTTGGGAAGTGTCCAATGTGTGATCCAATACAAAAGCCAGCATAGTGATCTTGTTTGCTGTGTACTAATCTTGTTGTGTATCTAATAATAATAACAATAACTATAATAATAATGAATTCATCACCTGCCTCTCCTTGTAGTTCGAAGTGGGATACAGCATCATTTAAACAAGAAAATCACTATCCAATATTCTTCCAAAATACGATTTTAAAACCCTGTACAATAATACTGTTTATAGTCATGCTCTTCTTGACATCTCACTTCAGTTCATTTTTTCCTCTTTTCACTCTTCCTAGGAGTTGTAGTTTTGCAAGGTCTTCAATCTTCTCTGCCAAAAAGTGCTGGTGCCCCAGCTACCTATAAGGAGTCCACAACAATTAAAGTTGTATCAAATTGCACTCATTTTCCAATGTTGATGCACCCCCATGTGTCAAATCAGAGACATTGCATTTAATAAAAAGGGAGAAAGGAATTGTGACCTTGTTGGCAGCTACTTTAGCCCTGCAGCTGAAATGGATTTCCTATAAACTCCTTAAAACAAGCAGCGTACTTCGACAGTTCTAAATGAAAAAAGTTCAAATTTATATAGACTATTTTATGTTTTCCAAAACAACCCTTGTGAGTGAACACAATAATTTCAGGTTCTACCGAGATTTGAACTCGGATCGCTGGATTCAAAGTCCAGAGTGCTAACCATTACACCATAGAACCAGGTGGCGGCTCAGCAGCCAGAAAAGTCCCCTATTAGCACGTCCTCCACGTGATTCTTTCCCAGGCTGAATCCCTTTCCTGGCTTCTGTTTACGTGCGAATTTTAAAGAGACACGTTCCGTTTTTTAAAGAAAGGCGCTTTGTCGGTGCCACAGGCCTCAGATGAAGCTACTAGCTGAGTCCGAGAAAGATAATTGGCAGAGGCACACATCCTCTGAAATCCGAATCGTGTTACAATTATTCCCATAATTGACAACAAAAATATTATATTAATATTACCTGGTAAAATATTTCCACCTTTAGGTTCCACCGAGATTTGAACTCGGATCGCTGGATTCAGAGTCCAGAGTGCTAACCATTACACCATGGAACCGGTATGTAGCAGGGCCTGTTTGTTTCCTACTTATTCATGACGTAAGCTATTCCTTTCCCTCGTCTTTCTCAGAGAAGATCAATTTAAAGCGAACTGCTCCAAAATTGCAATAGCAAACAACCCTTCGCAGAGAAACACTAAAAGCCTTTGCCTTATACAAAAGCAAAAAGTTATTGAATTGTAACACTTTTGTAGAAATACAAACGCCCCCCGCTGTAGGGCGAGGGATACACAGGGTGCATCTGCACTGTAGAATTAATGCAGTTTGACACCACTTACAATACAGGGGATCAAGGCTATGAAATCCTGGGAATTGTAGTTTTACAAACTTTTTGGCCTTCTTTGCCACAAAATGCTGGAATATCACTAAACTACAGCTTCCAGGGTTGCATAGAATTGAGCCAGGGCAGTTAAAGTGGTGTCAGACTGCATTTATTCTGCAGTGTAGATCAGGCATGGGCAAACTTGGCCCTCCAGGTGTTTTAGACTCCAACTCCCACAATTCCTGACAGCCTCAGGCCCTTTCCTTTCCCCCCTCAGTTGCTTAAGTGGAAAGGAAAGAAAGGAAGGGGCCTGAGGCTGTGAGGGATTGTGGGAGTTGGAGTCCAAAGCAGCCGGAGGGCCCAAGCTTGCCCATGTTTGCATTAGGTGGTTCAAAAAGCAAATTAACAGAAGCATTTTAGCCTCAGGGGTATATTGCTACAGTACAGGGAAGCTGGGCTTACAAGGATGTGTTTGTGGTTATAACCAACTAGTTATATTTTAGTTATAGTGGTCATAAATAACTATTACAATAAAAAAGACAGCCAGTGCTCCACATTTGTTGGGCTGAAGGGCACAGGATCTCTGCGAAAGTGACAAAAAACATGAAGCAATTGCTATTTCTTAACCCAAGAAAACACTTTTCTGGAAATGTCTACCTCCTCCAGCATGGCTCTACGGTCAACATCCTCTGGAAACTGAGCACAGAGCTTGAAAGTGCATTACATGGTCAGTTGTAGACTCAGACAATGCAGTTCAATGCAATTTTATTTATTTATTTATTTATTTAACGTCAAAAGCATTGCACAGATAAAACAAGTATAAAACTAATTAAAGAGAAGGAGCATATGCGGATAAATAATAATAATAATAATAATAATAATAATAATAATAATAATAATAAAACTTTATTTATACCCCGCCACCATCTCCCCAAGGGGACTCGGAGCGGCTTACATGACGCCAAGCCCAACAACACATCAATAAAAACAACAAGCAATAAGCAAACAAAACAAAACAATTAATATAACTCAACATATGGACAATAAACAACTCCAGATCAAAACCAGACAACAGTGACTGGATTGTCTATGACTTTAAGCAATTCTTCCTCTGTACATGAGGCAGGTCATTGTGGGCAAGCATACAGATGCAGAGTTGTTTGTTCTGCTCCACAGTCACACAAGGTGGAGGATTCTTCCAGGTAGTGCCATTTTGCCAGGGTTTGACCCCATTGGGCAGGACTTGCCTTGGTTGTGCATGTATTGAATACCTGGTGCAGGATGTGATGAACTGGGCACAATGCAGTAAGAAAAACTGTGCTTCTTACATTTTCCATTTGAACATGCTGTCCATCCTCACTATACTAAAGGCAACTCCAATTTATTTATTTCATGTCCAAAGAACTGCATAAATAAGTATAAAACTGATTAAAAATAGAGGGAGCACAAACAGCTAAATAATTTTGACCAGAAACGGGCAACAGCGACTTCATTGTCTGTAGCATTAAACAATTCTTCCTCTGTGCATGAAGCAGGGCATTGTGGACAAGCATAGAGATGCGGAGTTGTTCGTTCTGCTCCACAGTCACACAAGGTGGAGCATTCTTCTAGGTAGTGGCATTTTGCCAGGTTGTCTTTTGATCTGCCAACTCCATTTCTGAGTCTGTCAGGGACTTCCGCGTTGCCCATTCTTTGTTTACCCCTGGAGGAAGACCCTCATGGGGGGGGGGGGCATCCAGTTGGGATTTCCTGGTTTAGCTGCCCATAGGGATACTGTTTGTTGTTGGGGAGAAGTTAAGAGGGATGGCAGTTATCATGAAACTTTTCCTTGATTTGAGTCTACTGGGAGGAGGCTGATAGCCATGCAGTGGATGGCTTTCACAGTGTTCAGCCTGATTTCCCTCACAGTTAGCAGCAACTTCTCATTGCACATCAGGGGAGCAGTGCCAGCTAGCTTGTGGAGTCTATCAACAAGTGTAGGCTTAAGACATCCTATGATTATTCTGTGTGTTACATTCAGTGCTATGTTCACCTCCTTCGTGTGAACAAAGTTATGCCAAACAGGGCAGGCATACTCAGCAGTTGAGTAAGACATGGCCAGAGTTGATGTTCTTATTAATTTTGGGTCTGCACCTCATGCGCTGCCAGTAAGTTTCCGCAAGATGTTACTGCGCACAGCTACTTTGTGCTTGGTGTTCATACAGTGTTTATTACATGTGAGCATTCGATCTAAGGTGACACGAAGATATTTAGGATGCAGTTAAACTGCATTTATGAGTCTATGTTGACCACATAATGCAGTTTTAAATCACATTATATGGCACTGTAGATGGGGCCCAAGGTATGCCTTTGAAATGGAGTAATTGGAAGTAAGGAACACCAGATTTTCTGAATCTTGACTGGTTGACAACATTGAGTCCGATCCAATCAGGTTAAACTGGTTCAATGACATGGCCTAGAGACAAAAGTCTTTTGCATAGGATTGGTCAGCAAAAGGCTTCTCAACATACTGAGCCACATACATTTTGCCAAACTAACATTTACAAGCATCAGATGTGTGGCTAGTAGATATCAAAGATGGGAATGCTGTGGCTAAATAATGGCTATTAAACTTTGTTCCTTTGCATGTAAATGACATTATTTTTACTATGTTGGTTTAAAACCAGTGCTTTTTGTGTGTGTGTGTCAGAAGCAACTTGAGAAACTGCAAGTTGCTTCTGGGGTGAGAGAATTGCCTGTCTGCGAGGACATTGCCCAGGAAACACCGGATGTTTGATGTTTTACCATCTTGTGGGAGGCTTCCTTGCGTGGCAAGCTGGAGCTGACAGAGGGAACTCATCCGTGCTCTCCCCAGATTCAAACCTGCAACCTCTTGATCTTCAGTCCTTCCAGCACAAGGGTTCAACCCACTGCACCACCGGGGGCTCCAGCCAGTGCTTAAATTTACCTTACATTACTGCACCCAAAATTTGTCTGGAATACAGATTTTAAAATCCCATCTGATATTTTGTTTCACCTCATGTGTTCCCATTCTGAACTTTGGAAAGATCGTTCCAATGGAAAGAAATGAGGCCACATACTCCTGGTGTTGTACAGAATTACATCTACAGAGCACATTGAAATGCAAATATACGGATCCCTCTTTGGCTATTCATAGAAAATAGACAGGCAATGAACATGTTTGAAACTAGTGTTTTATTTATCTCACTTCAGGGCAGGGTTGCTGGATCAGAAATCTAGAAAAATGGGCGACGCAATCTACATATTCTTTCATGTTTTTCATAATTGTGCATACAGGTGTCTTCATCATTTTGCATAATTGCAGCCGTGAATGTGACTGTGTTCTTAGAGCTGGAAGTTTCTCTTTCTGAAGGATGAAATATTTAAGCTAATGAACCCAGAGGAAGTGAATGAAGAGGCAGTGGAGTTGGGGAAGGTTTTGAAGGATGCCAGAGCAAAAGTGGGAGAAGCATCGAGTCCCTTCAATGGCTGCACAGAAGAGAAAATCTGAAAAGCCGATGTGTAATAAAGAAGTTGAATATTGAACAACATCTCTGAAATTCCATTTTCTCCACGGCTATTAAAAGCACAAGGCACATCTCCAGGTTTCACTCTGGCAATCCTAGTCCTCTCCCCCACTTTGGAGAGGGAAGTGGTAACAAGTAGCATCTACTATTTGGGTACCAACATTCAGGCATTCTTTAGCAAATCCAAGCTTAGCAGTCATTGTTTTTTATTTCAGCTTTCCCTCTTCCCCTTCTCCCTCCCCCCTTGCATGAGCATCCATAAACGTTCAAAAAAGATACATTCACTTCTATCTCTTTCGCACTATATGCTTGTGCAGAGACATCTCAGACTCCTGCTGTAAATCACCGATACATGGTGGGAGTCCTTTCCCTGTGTCAGGAGTGGATAACATCAGAAGGATCATGTTTAGGACCCTCTATGGGAGGAATGGAGGGGAAAATAGCTTTGCTTTTCAAAGTTTGGGGGCTGTTCCATACCTCCCAAGTCTCCTGATTTGACAAGAATAGTGCCAGTGAATCCTATCTTGTCCCAGCTTTTCAGCTGCTTATGTGTCTCCTCCCTTCTTACTTCCCCCTTTTGTGCTTTTACTTCAATTGCTGCAAACTGAGTTCAAAGTGCAAAAGCAGTTTGCAATCAATTTATTCCACAGAGACAAAATGAGGGGGCAACATTTCACGCTTTTAGTCAGACATTTTGCAAAAGCAAAGTCCAGCAGCATGTCTTAGCTGCATGTTCTTCCTCATTAATAGCTTTTGCCAGCTGATGTTGCTTGACTATATTTATTCCTGTGAAATGCTCTAGGGACCTTGTCATAATGGCCCATGGATTCACCTTGCATTGGGGTGAATCCATGGGCTCCTGGTGGGGGTGAGGGCATGGAAAAGCCGCCAATCCATACCTCACAATGCCCGTTTTACCTTGCTCTTCATCCCATGGGGTGAAGCATTGCCACCTGGCTTACCCCCACTGAAGGAAAGGCAATATGGGAAGGCTCCAATGGGTACTGCTTCATGTACCTTTTTGGTATGGGGCCCAGCCAGAAGTTCCTTTACGTCATGTGAAGGGCTCTGTGCCGTAAAAGGAGGTGAAGCAGCATACGATGGACAAATCAGCCCGTCTGATGAGGTTGTTGGATAATCCACAAACTCCAGCCTATAGACCGATGCAATGATTTCCTGGTCCACTCAACATATTGTAACACTAATCAACTTCCCAGCCACTAGTAAGCTCTTACACCCTACTTATTGCATTATTTTCTGTTCACAAGTCAGTATCATACAACATTCCAAAAACTCCCCTCTCATTCATACCTTTACCTATTTATCTTCACTTTAGGTAATATGCTTTCTCCCATCTTTCTTCCTAAGCATCCTTTCATTTAAAGTGAGCTCGTCACCCCATCCTCATATCTACAGGTCTTGCATTTCCATTTATATTAACTCACAACCTGCCCTTTCATTGGTATAAATATCTGTCCATGGACTTGGTATCCATAGGTATCATGCTTCAAAGTTTTTTTCTTTCAGTTAGTTTCAAAGGCACTGTAGGATTCCAGTAATACACTCTGACACACAATGCCTTTGAATACCATCCATACCAAGGAACAGTGTGTCAATCCTTTTTCTCAATAACTTGAGCCATTGGTGGTTGGATGACCCAATCTGTGTCCTAATCTTCCATGGTCTACATATTAGTAATGCTTTGACGGCCATGGCTCAATGCTATGGAATCATGGAATAGTAGTTTTACAATGTCTTTAACTTTTTTTTGCGAAAGAGTGCTGATGCTCATCAAACTACAAATCAGAAGGTTCCATAACATTGAGCCCTGGTAGTTAAAGTGGTGTCAAACTACATTAATTCTACAGTGCAAATGCACCCTTAGTGCCTACTGGGTGATACTTGTTATTATTGTTTTCATCATAGAATCCTGTTGTGATGTGTGAGAGTCCCCACCATCTAATTGTGTCCAACTGTATAATTAATACAGCTTGATACCACTTTATCTGCTGTGATGAGCATCAGCACTATTTTGGCAGAGAAGGCTAAAGAGGACAACTGATGTATTGCCTTCCTGAACCACCAACCCCATATTTTTTGCTAAAATCAAGACTGTTATAAAAACTTTGAGTTTTAAAGGGTTGGGGAGGAAGAAGAGATACCTAAACCACCAAAATATAAAATATTGACACACCAGCTCTCTTTCACTCCATTCAAGAATGTGCCCTCTATTCCCGTTTTGAGTCCAGCAGCACTTTGTAATCAGATTAACACCATACATTAATTCAACTACATCTCTTCTATAATCTTTAACAATTTCTTCATTTCCTATTGTGCTTCAACCAACCCATTAGGTTTCTGAGGGGCCTAATTGCCATAAGGCACCAGAACCTGTCTCATCTTGGAAGCTAAGCATGGTGAACCCTGGTTAACACTTGGATGTAAGACCACCAACAAATACCTAATGCTGTTGGCTATATTCAAAAGAAGGAACGGGCAAAACCTGCTCAGAGTATTCCCTGCCAAAGAAAACCCCACACAACTATTCGGATCAGCATAAGTCAATAGGTGACTTTGAAGACACTTTCACACATTTAGGTCTCTTTCCATAATTACTCCAAATACAACAGCCAACATACTGAGCAAACCCTTTTAAAATAAATGCACTTTCTATTAACTCTTTTCTAACTGTAATTTCTAAGAGACCAAACACCACCACAGATATTTCTGATGGTTGGTAAGACACTCTGTTGTCACCCAGGAGTGTACTAACTTTCCCAACTCCACTGCCTCCAGATCTTCAGAAATCTTTTGCCATTTCTTCTGGGACCCAATCATTTGCCCCTGCTCTGAGCTTCTCGGTAGTTCTCTCCATAAAATAAAGAGCTTCTGGCAACACTATTGCCAAGGTAGATGGGCTAAATGCAATCACTTTTCATCTTCTATTTTCTGTTTTTCTTTAACTCCTGCAGCAACAACAGCAAAAAATAACTCTGGAAAGAAGGTGCGTATGTAAACAGCTGCCTTTGCAATAGGATTTGCCATGAACACCTCCTGTTTCTTCCTGTTCACTGTTCTCAGAATTTCATCTGCAACTTCAGTTGGATGGACACCATAGGCCAGTTTTCTGCAAAGGACTGGAAAAGAGACAGAGAAGAAAATATTAACGTATGACCCTCCTACAACCATTTCTTTTTATCTCTTTTCATCCCAGAGCTGGTCACAAGTGGCATTCAATCCAGTCAATTATGTAAGAAATTCTTTTGAAAAGAAAGATTCACATTACACACTCTTCCGCTGTTCCAGTTTGGCAGAGACCACTCCAATGTGTTCTCTATTGTCCCACCATTTATAGGCCTTTAAAATGTACAATTTCTCTATGCTTTTTCCACTTAGCTCCTTTGTTCTCGGGTTATTTCAATTGCTGATGAATCCAAAGTCCAAAAATAGCTTGCACTCAGCTAACTGAGCAGGAGAGAGGACTGGATGACATCTTGCCCTTCCCAGTAGGCTCAGGCAATAGTAAACAGCTTCAGCCTCTTAGCTTCGCTTTTCTTCCTCATCAATAACTTTTACCATCTTGACCACACTCTGATGTTGCTTGACTATACATGTTCGGTTTTCATCTGTTAAATGTTGGAGGCTATGACGTTGATTGAGTAGGTGTATAGGACTCCATTGCTTTTAAAAGACAATGGATTAAAAACGAATTGGTATGGAAATCACCTTATAATGGAGAGGCCTTGCTGAATGAGAACTGGCAGCCACGCACATTTTGGTCATTTTAAAGAACTGCAATGTGTGTGTGTTTAAAAAAGAGAGAGAAACACTCTAGAAAGGTGGGATATATTATCTCTTGCCTCTTATACTAGAGACAGCAGGGTTTTTTTAAAAAATATATAGAACTGCTAGCCAGATGGAAAAGGATGAGTGATGTGAAATACTGCCCATTAGGTGCTTACAACAATTGTCCATTTGTCCAGACCTACTGTGGTAGGAGAGAGAGAAATGAATGTGTGTCCTCCTATAGATTGAGAATATTGTGCCTAATTTACTGGGGGAAATGTTACTACTCATACCTTGGCAATTCAAATCATGATGATAGTGCATGCTGCAGGAGAGAGGTGAAGGTCAAGTTACCTTTCGGTTATTGTAGGACTACAGCTTGCATCAACCATGCCAGTTTAGCCAGTATGAGACATGAAAGCAGCTGAGATCCAGCAACATCAGGAGGGCTATGTATTTTGCATCTTTGCTTTAGTGCAGTGGTTCCTAGCCAAGGTGTTTTGGACTTTAAGCTCTCAGAAATGCCAGCCAGATTACCAACTGTTAGGAATTCTGGGAGCTATTTCAAAACACCTGGAGGACCAATGCTCTAGTGGAAAAAGTATAACACAGCACATGATGTTACTGTGACTGCATTTCAATCTCTCCCTGCTTCTTAAAATCAGGCGGGACCTCTCTGCTGTTTTCCCCCTCTAAATATTCCAAATTTCAGCTTCCCAACTAATTTTGTCTCTTTGGCACATTTCCTCTTCTGTCCTCTTATCCTAAACGCTTTCATCCACACACCATCCTCTTGTGTGAATCTTACATTTCCACACGGAGGATTCCCAGTTGCTAGGCTGTGGTTGAACACTGTATGAGCGTATGAAACTTGGAGTCACAGTACTGACACAAACACCAAACTCCTGCAGTTCTGCCCTCAGGCAATCAAAGAACCCGAGAGCAGCGTGCTTTGAAGCAGCATCTAGGAGCAAAACAAAGATAGCATTATTAACTTAAAGGACATGTTAACCTCAAAGCATGCAATTACACAGAAGAGCTAATGCAGTTTGACACCACTTTTAAAGCCATTGATCAATTCTACAGAACCGTGATAGTTACAATTTTACAAGGAATTTAGCCTTTTCTGCCTCTCCAAACTCATGATTCCATAGCATTGGGCTGTGGCAATCAAAGTGTTCTCAAACTGCATTAATTTTAAAGTGCAGATGCATCCTTAGTCTCATCACCCTTGGGCTGCTAGACATGAAGGTCCCTAGCACTATTTCTTTTAATCCATATAGACATGAAGGTCTAGCAATCTATCTATCTATCTATCTATCTATCTATCTATCTATCTATCTATCTATCTATCTATCTATTTATCCCATTTTGAAGTGAGCCTCCTCATTCCAAGACTTTCCCAAAATTTGATCTTGTAACTCTTCCAGAAATTAAAATAAGATAATGGGTGTAGTCATATGACACAAGAAGCCAGGATTCCACAGAATGAGTAGCACGCTCAAATATGTTCTTTCTTTCCTTCAGCTTACTCAAACATAGCTAGCTAAATTAACTTAATTATGTACTTGATTATGTGTTGTCTGGTAATGGACAGATTCCCATCTGTAGTATGTTCCCTTACAAGAAACCAAAGGGAATATCCTGGGTTCTGCTGCCAATTCACATAGCAAACTAACAATGGAGCAAAACTTCATGGTTTGTTTAGCTGTTCCTGTTACAAGCAAGAGCAGGCAGCACACAATTGTTCCATTATGACTTGTCAAGTTTCCTTTAAATCTTGGTTTGTACTTTGGTATAATGCATCCAAATGTATGTGTCAGCTCATCAGAAGCATGTGGTACCTAACATGCTTGAAGGAGTACTTGGCCAATAGCTATACTGATCAATCTTGCATCCGAGATTCAATCTGTTCTTTGACTTCCTTTTGGAAAGACACAGGCTCTTAAGGACATTTTAGTTTAAAGCCCAGCTGAGCCACAACTACTTAACAGTCACAACAGATGCCAAATTGTCTACCCATCTTGCATTTGGGGTGCAGACCATCCCTCCTACAAAACTTAAGCCCTCTGCCATATTACTGATGCATGCATCGTACCACAAAAAGGTCAGCTTCTGACATCTGAAAACTGTTAATGTTGTGGCATTTGGCAAAAATGGTACTTGTTTTTCCTCAAAGGAGCTAAAGGTCTTAGACTTTAGACTGAGTGAATTTGTAACTATCATTAGTATCATATCAAACAGTTTCTGCAGAATGGTCAGTTGTGTTCATAAACTTACAGGCTGCACGAAAAGGGACTCCAACTTTCCCCTGGATATTGTTGACTAATATAACTTGACCAGTTCTCCTGGAGATCATGTTGGGAATAAGAGCTGAGGGGAAAATGAAAAGAAGCAGAGAGTATGAGAATCAACTACCAGATAGGGACATGCCATATACTTTGTTTAACCCTAGTCTCACACATTTCTTTTCATGGCTAAATGACAGATAAAGATCTTTAAGAATAGCATCACAGTACTGTATGGACTGGAAAAACCAGAAGTATTGCAAACTCAACACCTTGGACAGTCAGTAATGGATAGGTACTGTCACCATGTTTGTCTTTAAAATGGTACATCCTGATGGCACCAGATTAGGCATGGGAAGACTTCACCTGTCCAGATGTTTTGGGCTTCAACTCTCAAAAATTCCAGGCAGCTTACCAGCTGTTAGGAATGTTGGGAGCTGATGTCCTAAACACCTGGAGGGCTGAAGTTTGCCCATGCCTTCTCCAGATACTGTCTCATCTAGGAAGATAAGCAAGTTCAGTTCTGGTTAGTACTTGGATAAGAGACCACCAAGAAATGCCAGGTGCAATTGGGTATATTTTAGAGGGTGGAACCAGCAAAACCAGCTCTGAGTGTTCCTTGCCTAAGAAAACCCTAGGAAATGCATATTCATAACCAAAATAGTACTGTATGTCTTGTTCTTCCCAAAAAGTTTACAATTTATGCTGGCAGAGGGAACATCTCATCCAGAATGGGGAAAGGATGTCAACAAGCTACTTGTTTCACAAAGTAAGAAGTGAGAGGGAGGAAACAGTAGTCGTACAAGAACAGAAATTTGCCTCGCTGGAGCTGATGGAGATAAAGCAATGGAACCTTCCTTAAAACTATAGATTATTTTACAGTTTCCTTATTATGAGGCAACCAAATACAGGTTATAGTATACAGACCATTTGCCAGTCTGGATCACTATCATCTCTCACTAGCAACCCTCTTCCAAGACCTCAGAAGAGTTCTTTCTCTTCACCTGCTCTGTAGTCTTTTAAATATTTTCCAGAGTAAACCTAGGACTTTCTGCATGCAAAGCATATTCTAGATCAGTATGGAACAAACTCTCCGCTTATTCTTTACATTTGAGGACTTACAAAAGTTCACAATCTGTGTAGATCTGAATTAACACTCACATAGATGTTTGAATAACTTCTTTAATAGTCTCAAACCATTGGTTGGCAAGTTGATGTAAGGCACACCATGTTCCCCATTAAGAAAGACCTCTCTGAGTAGTTCATACACTACAAGGGGACATGGGATGCTTCCAGGCAAAAGGACTCATCTTTAAATGAACCCAAAGACCCTGCACAATTGTTATGTCTTTTTCCTCCTTCAAGGCATTTTCTCACAAAATTGGTGGGTAGTAATTATATCACACTTTAATCTGAGTGTGGCCTTCTTTTTCTGTCAGTGGATTGCCAGGTACCCCTAGGACCTCCAAACAGAGCACTATTGTGCAAGAGCCATCAGTTGAAAACTAATGAAGTCCAGGGTGGGTCTCAATGAACCCTTGGCCTTCCAGAGGAACACTGTACAACTCATTCAGGGATTTTCCTAAGATACCAACTCATAGCACATAGCAGATAAACATTGGTGGTGTGTTATTAAACAGAAGTACCCATTGGAAAAGGAATCACAGCAAAGCATAGCCAGCCCTACATTTCAGAATGTCACGACTGAACAGAGCCTTGGCAGCCCTCTCCATCAGCCCATTGCTCAGAGAGGGCATCTTGTCACTACAGCAACTCTTGCACATTGTTTTCCAGCCTCTGCTTAAATAAATAAAGTGACAGAGAGCTTTGAAACAGATGCCAGATGACTTTCAGTAGGTTTATCATGCCACTGAGACACACTAAGCAGATCTATACTTCCTAGTACCAGCAAGCCATAAAGCCAGGAAAAGGTCCTATTTATTCTCCCAAATTCTAAGTCCAGCAAATACCTCTGTGAAACCCACTTTTATTTTATTTGTTGTAGTTGTGTACCCTCAAGTGATTTCTTATTTATGGCAACCCTAAGGTGAACCTATCACTAGATTTACTCAGCAACATTGGTTGAGGGTGGGGGCGGGGTTGCCTTTTCCTTCCTCTGAGGCTGAGAAAAAATGACTTGCTCGAGGTCACTGAGGCTGGATCTACACTGCCATATCATCCAGATTATCAAATCAGATAATCAAGATTATATTACATTATTATTATTATTATTATTATTATTATTATTATTATTATTATTATTATATGGCAGTGTAGATGGGACCTCAGTGGGTTTTTATGGCTGAGCAGGGATGTGAACCCCGGTCTCCTAGAGTCATAGACCAAAGTTCAAATCATTACACCATGCTGGCTCCCTATATTTCTATTTATTAAAATATTTATATCCTGCCCTACATCTGAAGATCTTAGGGCAGTTTGCAATGAAATGAATTCAAAACAATAAATAATACTAATATGTTCTAAAAACTAACAATGTATTAAATCTTATGTCAGCTAAATAAAAATCCAGGTAATTTAAAGCTAGTTAAAACAATATAAAATACTGCCAACCACAGGTAGAGATATAGAGAGAACCTCATTCAAATGTCCCGTTTAGGTCTTTTCATTGATTTATTTAGTTAATGCTTCACCTTTCTGCAGGGTTGGGATTCTCGTAACAACATCATTACATTCTTTTCCATAATATTTTTGATACAACATCAGTGTTCCTGTTCCTACAACCACTAAGTAATATAATCAAGAAAAAACTATTTGCTAAGTAATTGCACATTATTCTTCTGTTTTGCACTGCTGTCACTTTCTCCCCCTTACTTTTCAATGTGAAATCAAGGTCCCTGTACTTTATATGAGAAATGTTGGGGCTATGATTCGTATTAATAGCATTGGTGGTAGTAAGTAACACCCACAGTAGCAACAAGAACAACTGTGTTCTGATACCAGTCACCGACACCAAACCAAACAGAATGTGAACTGCTTCAGCTTTCAAGTCTGAAATATAGGGTTGTGGGTGGGAAAGAATCCAAATGCAGAATTATAGAGCAACATAAGTGGATCCTTTTCTTAATAAGCCCGTTCTACACAGTCATATAAAATCCAGATTATCTACTTTGAACTGGATTATATGGCAGCCATAGTCTTCTCCAAGACTATACATATTTATAATGTTTAATAATATTTGGGTTATTTAGGGGGTGGGGGTTCAGTGGACAGAGGAGGTCTTAAAGACTGTAAGAGGAGCAAAGCAGGAAGATAAGAGAAAGGATGAATGAGTCAGGAGGAGTGAAAGGCATGGGAAAAAGTAAAATGAAGGAGCATGGAAGGCAAGTCAAAAAGCAGAGCGAAGCAGAAAGAGAACCTGGATTCACATGGATGGATAAGGAAGAGGGAGAGAGTACTTTTCTTCATGAGAGAGAAAGGGGGAGAATACTTGGACCCGCACTTAAATGGGTGGGAGAGAACACTTCTGGGATGGAAGGACAACAAAGTTTCCTAACCTGTGCAAAGTTGATTATATTTGCTAGTGAAAAATGAAAACCATGGGTGCATCTGCAATGCAGAAGTAATGCAGTTCAACACAAGTTTAACTGTCATGGTTCAGTACTATAGAATCACGGGAGTTGTGGTTTGGTGAGGCAGCAACACTATTTGGAAGGAGAGGATAAAACTTGTAAAACTACCATACTATGGGGCAGGACAATTAAAATCAAACTCCATTAATTCTACAGTATAGAATTACCCCAAGTTCACGATTGGATAAAGGTGTGCCCCAAACAGTACTAATTGTGATGAGTCCAGCTGATGATAAACATTTTAAATTTCCATTCATTTCAATTTAACATATGCACATTTACACAAAGGAGGCTTCCAAATGCTTATATTTGGCCAACTCACACCCATTAAAAGACACAGTAGTCATGAACCGTTAAGGAATATTGCATTATGGATAATATTCATGTCTAAAATATTCTAATTGGCTCATCCCAGGATATTTTTTGTGTGTGTCAGGAGTGACTTGAGAAACTGCAAGTCGCTTCTGGTGTGAGAGAATTGGCCATCTGCAAGGATATTGCCCAGAGGATGCCCAGATGTTTTACCATCCTGTGGGAAGTTTCTCTCATGTCCCTGCATGGGAAGCTGGAGCTGACAGACAGGAGCTTACCCCACTCCCCGGATTCAAACTGCTGACCTTTCGGTCAACAGTCCAATCGACACAAAGGCTTAACCCATTGTGTCACCAGGGCTCCCAGGGTGAAAACATAACCAAATTGTGATCCACGCAATACTCCATCTTTTAAGAGAAATAACAAGAGCTTGCTTTCAAATACCTTTGGTGAGTGTTATAGGTCCGAAATAGTTGGCATCCATAATCTTTTTGTCAAGTTCCAGTGAGACATTGTGTACTGTCCCCTTCAACTTGGTGCTAGCATTATTTATGAGTATATCCACACATCCATAGCAATCCAAGATTTCTTTAGCCACATCTTGAATACAGTTTACATCAGATAGATCTAGAAGGACAAGCTTCGGTGTAAATGTCTAGAAAAAAAGCAATATTTGGTTACTACAGTATTTTGCTATGATGCCATGTTTGTAAGTTTCCATGTTTTTGAAGGCGAAGATAGTGAAGAATAGGCCAACCTCCCGAGTTGAAAAAGGTCATACAGAGAAACTTAGTAACCAGTTGCCCACCTTATATACAACATACTAACTAGAATGTATCAGAAGAGGCTAACAATTACTGTGAAAAGAGTTAAACCGGGGTGGAGAAACTTGCAGGTCTCCTGGAGTTGTTAGTCTATTTCCCAGGAGCATAGTGTTGAAGGGTGATGAGTTTCACAATCCAAAAGCATTTTGATGTAAATCAAATCCGGGGATCAAATCCAAGGATTATCTCTTGGTCAGTGGACATTACTGAATACTACTGTATGATCCAAATAATCTGCAGTAGTTCCTTTGAGCAAAGTACCATTTATTCCAGGACTTTTGGCACTGCTGCTGTCACTATCCAAGACTAACCATTTGTTATTTCTCTTATCCACTTGAGTGGTTTCCAAGGACATTTGCTTGAGATGGTTTACATTGACAAAAAGTGCATTGTGTGAGCTGACCCTTTACATGAAGATGATAGTCATGTCATGTAATTTTAAATATTTCTACACTGGCCTTCATCTTAACAGATTCATTGGTGTTATACTGCAATGAAAATTGTATGTAATAGAAGTAACATGTTCTTCAAATAACATTAAAATGGAGCAGAAGAACCTTAAATCACACATGAAGGCATAGGCAACATACAATGGTTTACAACAATGTCATCAAAACACAACAGCAACCCTAATTTAAAATACTTGATAGGTATGTTATGTTTTAATATCAACATTACTTTATTGTACTTTATTGTGGAAAAAGCTCCTCTACATTGACCACTTAGGTTGATTTGGAACTTATCTGGCAGAAATTGGTTTCACTGTACAGATTATTAATTTCAGCATGCCTGACCTGTTCTTTCAGTCGGAATTTTTCTGACTATTATCCCTGTGACATTGGGAGAGGGAGACTAGGACCTTATTAGACATTCTTCGGGTTCTGTTTCCATGCACTTAAGAAACGGAGCCCCACAGAAATCCCACAGAGGCCATCATATGACATAAGGGCATTTCTGGTGGGACTCCTTGGGGCTCCATTTCCTAAGTGAATGGAAACAGAGCTTGAAATCCATCTTCAGGAGATGGGTGTTACCTGACTCCAGGCAGGAGAAAGCGGGAGAAAGTGAAAAGATAGTAAACATGTGGGATGGTTGGCCATCCCTGAAAATGGGGAGAGATTGAAGGAAACAGTATAAGACAGTTCCCTCCACACACCCCTGCTTTCCCCCACTTCCCCCATGCTCATCTGATGAGGAAATAAGAAAGACAGACAAGCAGTTTAGGCCTGCATCCAGCACTGATCAGACCCTTGAGGAAATTGGAGTAGGCTGGGCAATGAAGGAACAGCTAGGAATCCACCACCTTAGCTCAGTGGTTCTCAACCTGTGGGTCCCCAGGTGTTTTGGCCTTCAACTCCCAGAAATCCTAATAGTTGGTAAACTGGCTGGGATTTCTAGGAGTTGTAGGCCAAAACACTCGGGGACCCATAGGTTGAGAACCACTGCCTTAGATAGTCATCTAAACTTGCTTAATGTTAGAGCTGGCTCTCAAAAGCAAACTGATCAGACTAGAAAATCTTGTCTTATAAAATGCATTCATACACCAGTCAACTGCACAGTCTTTATAAGGATATTTAAGCTATATGTGTACACAGGTACTTACTGCGGTAGGATCAGCCACACTGGTTAAAGAATCATAGAGAGCTTCTAAATTGTCCAAGTGTTTACCACATAGAACTAGCCTGGCTCCACCTGCGTGAAATACGTGTGAGCATTCTGCAAAATAAACCAGTGAATAAGGCAGGTTAATGACACTGGACATGAAGCTGTATTTCTGTTAAATGGGGAAATTTCATTCTTTCCACCAGACAGCATTCCCCCACACATGGGGGATAATCAAAAGTGAAGGGAGTTGTCATTAAACAACATCTGGGTACCCAAACTAAAGAGCTCTGGTTGCTATGTAAATAAATTATAGATTGTTCTCTGTACCACAGCTTCTCCATCCATACGTTCATCCATGAAGGCAACCACGAGGCTGATGTCACCTTTGATGAAAGTGTTTGACATCCCTGAACTACTGACATCTTTGCATGATCCATAAACTGCATAAATAACCCTATAGCTGCCCTTAAATTTGTTTACAGACATTCCTGAATACAATAACTGATGAATTGGTTCAACCTCCTGGGAGAAGATACTGTTGAAATGTGTCAAAATCATGATGTGCAAATTCCTCCACATCTGTTACAGTACTTATATTGGAGTGTATCAGTCCTGCCAAGGCAGCAGAGTCAGGGCTGAGCAATGCTGGGAGCTCTAAATCCACCAACATCTGGAGGGTTGCAGTTTGCTCATCTCTGCAGAACAGAGCTGGAAATGCATTTACTGTATTTATTTATTTATTTATTTCCAGTATTTCTACCCCATCCTTCTCAACCCCCAAAGGGGGACTCAGGACGGCTTACATTTGGCACAATTTGATGCCATTGAACATAACAAAGTAATATGATAACAATTAAAACAATAAATATAACATTAATTAAAACAATAAAAACAGTAGTAACCGCCGTATCACCATTCCAATCAAATTCCACATCCAAAGCGCTATTTAATAATCCCTGCTGTCCAAAACCTGACCCCAGAACCACGACTTCGATTTCTTCCTAAAAGACAGGAGGGATGAAGCTGACCTTACCTCATTAGGAAGCGAGTTCAGTTTACTTGTTATGTAAAACTGAAAATTATGTTTGGAAACATTTGTTCACAGAACAAATTGTCACTAAAGATAACTCAGCATCTGAAACCTGTTTCAGCCACCATTATGTCAGTGGCTTAATATTATTACCTCAAGCATCACATGTCTTGGAACACAGTTGATAATTAGATTCAGTAATATCAATAGTGTAGGAAGACCAAGCTGTCCCACACTGAATGCGACTGTACTGACACTGTTGCAAGTCACTCTGCATTGTCACAAAAGTTGTTCCTGTTAAACACCTTCAAGTCATTTCTGATTTATGGTGACCTAAGGTTTATGATCAAGGATTTTTCTTGACAGATTTTGTTCAGAGGGAGCTTGCCCTTGCCTTCCACTAAGGCTGAAAGAACATTGCTTTTTCCAGGGTCACATAGAGGGTTTCCATGCTGAGCAGGGATTCAAACCCCCGGCCTCTCAATGCCTTAGTTCAATACCCAAGTCAATTCCCAATGCTGGCTCTCATCACAAAAGGCACACACATATCTACAAATAAGGTATTAGACTACAAGCCATAACCAAGCAGTTTACTGTAGCAAAAAAATTCCATTCATATATAAGATCAAGCAGGTGGTGGATTGCATCCTCGGAGGGGCATGATTTTTCACAAAACCAATTAAAATGTAGGTTTTCTTTGTATAACTGTTGATTAACACTGCAAAATTATAATGTTTCTTAGAACATGACTTTCACCAGTTGGTCCCTCATCAAATGTTCTTTCATCTGTGGCTCTTATTAAATACTTGCCCAGCCCTTTCGGCCAAGAAGCTAGAGCAGTGGTTCACAACCTTCCTAATTGTGCGACCTCTTAATACTGTTCCTCATGCTGTGGTGACCCTCAACCATAACATTATTTTCTTTGCTACTTCATAACTGTAATTTTGCTACTGTTATGAATTGTAATGTAAAATATCTGATGTGCAGGATGTATTTTCATTCACTGGATCAAATTTGGCACAAATATCTGATACAACCAAATTTGTGGGGTTGGGAGGGATTGATTTTGTCATTTTGGAGTTGTAGTTGCTAGGATTTATAGTTCATCTACAATCAAAAGGCATTCTGAACTCCACCAAACAATGGAATTGAACCAAATTTGGCACACAGAACTCCCATGACCAACAGAAAATACTGGAAGGTTTTAGTGGGCATTGCCTGGAGTTTTGGAGTAGTTCACCTACCTCCAGAAAGTACTGTGGACTCAAACAATGATAGATCTGGACCAAACTTGGCATGAATACTCAATATGCCCAAATGTGAACACTGGTGGAGTTTGGGGAAAATAGACCTAGACATTTGAGAGTTGTAGTTGCTGGGATTTAGAGTTAACCTACAATCAAAGAGAACTCTGAACCCAGCCCACAATGAATCCACACCAAACTTGGCACACTACCTACATGACCAACATTGAATGCTGTTGGGTTGGGGGCAGGGCTGTTTTTGAATTCTGGGAATTGTAGTTCACCAACACCAAAAAGGAAGAGAAGGACAGGCGGAAAGATCTTCAGCCTTCTCTGCCAAAAGGATTCCTAAGACCATCAGAAATATGTGTTTTCTGCTGGTCTTTGGCAACCCCTCTGAAACCCCCCTCATGACCCCTCCCCCCAGGGGTCCCAACCTCCAGATTGGGAAACACTGAGCTAGAGGAGGGTTTGACCTGTAATAAAGAGCACACAGGCTGGATGTCAGGACAGATTTTCTAGACCAGTTGTTCTCAACCTGTGGGTCCTCATGTGTTATAACCCAGAAATCCCAGCCAGTTTACCAGCTGTTATGATTTCTGGGAGTTGAAGGCCAAAACATCTGGGGACCTATTGGTTGAGAACCACTGTTAGATGCATGGCTGAAGTGCTGCAACATTTTTTTTGTAGATTGTGTGTGTGTGAGTGAGTGTGTGTGTGAATGTGTTCACTCCCAAAATCTCTAAAGTCAAAGAGAACTCTAACCTTCACAAAGATTCCCCATCACTCATTACACTGAATGATCCTAGCAACAATTTCATGTGATCAGCATGCCCAAGAATATATATTTTTTCTATTTTTATTGTCCCTTTCTTTCAGTTTCTCGCTCTCCCTTCTTTTCTTTTTTTTACTTTTCCTTTTAAAAAAATCTCCTGGACACACCTTTGTCTCTCTCTCCTAGCACACCTCTGTAAATCCCTGACCTTTGGGGATATGGATATTGACTGGGTCGCCTCCTCTTGCTCCATAACTCAGTGTGCTTCCCAACCTGCAGCTGCCAAGTGGTGCATGCTGCATATGAGCCATGAGGATTTCTCAATTGGCTCCTCCTGTTTCCAGCTCCCTGGAGGGCAACAGAGCAGCAGGAAGGCCAGGGGAGACCTCCATCTAGCAGAGCTGTGAATCACTTTCCATTCCCCCAATACCTTGTGTCGCTGTAAATCCAACTATTACCTGAACCACTATTACCTCCTCAAGGTCTTAGCCCAAAGGCCAACAAACAATTTAGTTGCACAATTATCCTCTGTTTTCAATTTATTGGTCCCAGAACTTAAAGCTCAGCACTCATGCATACCTGATAGATTATAGAAGTGTTCTATTTATACCATCTTGCTGCCACCTGATAGTTACTGTACGTGCAATTAGATCTCAGAGCCACCTTGCTATAAATAGAGCAATTTATTTCATATCAGACTTATGGTTAAAGAAGCTAGCTTTTCAACTCTACCTACCTGCCCACATTTATCTAGTTATAAGAATGGGGTTCTTTAAATATATCGAAGGAATTTTTTTTTATTGCACCTTTGGTTTTGGATAGGCCAAGGATATTTCCTCTAGACTAGGATTTCAAAAGTCGACATTAAAAATAAATATGTGCTTTTTACAACAGAAAAAAACACCCAATTTCTGTGACAGAATTAAATAGCCAAGGCGTACTAATTTGCATATCTGTACATATATACTTTTTAAATATTTCCTGTCATGCCAGGTTTTCTTTGATTCCCTGGCTTCTAAGGAGAACAAGCATTTTCACAACACCTCTTATGTTTCTAGAGTTTCATTTGCAACCACAAAAGTTAGTAACCCTGTTCCTTTCTAATGGACATAAAGATTTGTGAGATTCTGGATATTTCATATGCCAGAAAATGTACTACTGTGACTCCATTCAAAACATACTGATTTCTAGAACATTACTTATTGTGCATTTTTGTGTATTTACTATGAAGTACTACTAATTTACTACACCTATGTACTTACCTTTGCCCACACCAGACAGAGCATCCGTGATCACTACAACTTTACTCCGCACAGCAGATTTTGACATCATCTGAATTACTGTCCGATAAATATATACAACCCCACTGATTACAACCACAAGCAGTGGGAGGATTAATACACCTAAGACACCCATCTTCACCTAGCAGGAAAATAAGAATAAAATAAGATGTTAACAAAAAACTATTGTATTATTTTTCCATGCAATTTGTTTTTTAAAAAATGACAGTAAAATCAATCAGGCTGGAAAGCAAGTAAATTTTAGATGTTCCAAGTTGAAGCTTAAATCAGATTAGGATTTTATGCATAATACATCCATGCACAAAAAATTATAAAATTGAAGAAATAAATTTGTTGCTCTGGAAAGTCAGTTTCCAAATGAATACATGCAAAGCATGCTTACGTTGAGAAATCAAAATTATGACATATGCCCAATTAAAAATGTATTGGGTTAATTTCTGTAATACTTAGTCCATCCTACGAATAGATGTGAGGTCAGTAGTGTTGCAGGTTAAATAATCCATTCATTTTCAATGCAAGACAAATAAAGTAAGATGGGATTGTGTTATATATCTTACTTAATTAGAAAGATTAGATCAAATCTTCAGATAAAATTATACCCATTTGACGTTTGCCAGAAGTTGTGTAACAAAGCAATAACTTACTTGGAATTGCAGAGTCAACAAACTGATGAGGAGGTGTCTCCCGCCAACTGGTTTATTCAAGAAGTTTAATTAAACTCATAGGCATTTTTGGAAAGGAAGGGCACCCTGCACTGAAGCCTTTTGCCTTGAGCGAAGGTGGCTATGAATAGGGCTCAGTTGCATGACAGGATTCTGACAAGTAAATATAGTATCAATGGCCCAAGCCACATACCTGACCTATTTTGTTTCACAGAGCTTCAAAGTCTTTCTACAGCTCTCAAGAGCAAACCAACTGAATGAGATATAGAGACTGCAGTTATTAATTTAATCATTTTGACAGTATAAAGGCTAGATTTGCTCTTGGAGCTTTCATTTGTTAAAAAAGTTTGTTTTTATTTAAGAGTACAGTAGAGTCTTCTTATCCAACCTTCACTCATCCAACATTTTGTATTACCCAACGCAGTTAGCTTCCTGCCTGGATCCACAGCTTTTCAATCTATTGCGATATTTTGGTGCAAAATTCATAAATACAGTAATTACTACATAATGTTACAGTGTATTGAATTACTTTTTCTATCCATTTGTTGTAAAATATGATGTTTTGGTGTTTAATTTGTAAAATCGTAATGTGATTTGGCATTTAATAGGCTTTTCCTTAATCCCTCCTTATTATCCAACATTTTCGCTTATCCAATGTTCTGCTGGCCTGTTTATGTTGGATAAGCAAGACTCTTGTATTCGAACCACTGTGAAAATCTTGTACCATTTCCTAAATGATGGAAGGTGGAGTCCTTAGATTTCTCACTGTTTCATAGCAGTTGCAGTATATCACTGGAAGGAATTCCAATGCAAGTTGCTCTCAGGATTTTTACATATGATCAGAGTTTTTTCTCTTTAAAAATACCAGTACGTGGGTGTTTTATTATTCTTGTACATATATGGGTACCCTGTAGACTGTCATCATTTTTTAGATTCATTCAAACCTCAGTAATTGTGTATGCTTTTAAAAATTAACTCCCATCAAGTTGATTTTGACAATCCTATGAATAAAAGACTTCCAAGTCCTCCTATCATCAACTGCTTTGCATTGGTCTTGCAGACCTGGGGCCATGGCTTTCTTGATTGAGTCTATTCATCTGGAATGGCATCTATTTATTTATTTACTTTTCTCACCCCTGGGGGACTCAAAGCGGTTTGCACAAAAATAACGGCAAAATTCAATGCCTTACATACATAAACCAAAACTCAAATCAACAACATATAACTAGGCAAAAAAATTGATAGGACAATTCACCATTAGATAAGATAAAAGGACATTTAAAACATGGAATATAAAAATTAAACCACTGTGGCCAAGTCTTCCTCTTTCCCTACTATTTATTTATCGTGTCATCAGCAACCATTGTATTACAATTCTAACAGAGCAAAACAAACACACAGATTAAAAAGGAAAAGGGAAAAAAAACCACAAAGATTTTGCAAATTTGGTATTTGGTTAAATGTCCTTTGACCAGTATCTGGCCACTTGGAGTGCCTCTGGGGTTGCTGCACAAAGGTCCTCCATTGTGCATGTGGCAGGGCTCAGGGTGCATTGCAGCAGGTGGTCAGTGGTTGGCTCTTCTCCTCACTCGCATGTCGAGGATTCCACCCTGTAGCCCCATTTTTTAAGATTGGCTCTGCATCTCGTGGTGCCAGAGCGCAGTCTGTTCAGCGCCTTCCAAGTCGCCCAGTCTTCTGTGTGCCCAGGGGGGAGTCTCTCATCTGGTATCCCCCATGGATTGAGGTTTTGGGTTTGAGCCTGCCACTTTTGGACTCTCGCTTGCTGAGGTGTTCCAGCGAGTGTCTCTGTAGATCTTAGAAAACTATGTCTGATTTAAGTCGTTGACGTGATGGCTGATACCCAAACAGGGGATGAGCTGGAGATGTCTCTGCCTTGGTCCTTTCACTATTGGCTGCTACTTCCCGGCGGATGTCAGGTGGTGCAATACCGGCTAAGCAGTGTAATTTCTCCAGTGGTGTAGGGCGCAGATACACCCTGTGATAATGCGGCATGTCTCATTAAGAGCCACATCTACTGTTTTAGTGTGGTGAGATGTGTTCCACACTGGGTATGCATACTCAGCAGCAGAGTAGCATAGCGCAAGGGCAGATGTCTTCACTGTGTCTGGTTGTGATCCCCAGGTTGTGCCAGTCAGCTTTCGTATGATATTGTTTCTAGCACCCACTTTTTGCTTGATGTTCAGGCAGTGCTTCTTGTAGGTCAGAGCACGGTCCAGAGTGACTCCCAGGTATTTGGGTGCGTTGCAATGCTCCAGTGGGATTCCTTCCCAGGTAATCCTCAGAGCTCGGGATGCTTGTCTGTTCTTAAGGTGAAAGGCGCATGTCTGTATTTTAGATGGATTAGGGATCAGTTGGTTTTCCCTGTAATAGGCAGTAAGAGCACCTAGAGCTTCGGAGAGCTTCTGTTCAACCATCTCAAAGCTCCCTGCTTGAGCAGTAATGGCACGATCATCAGCATAGATGAAACTCTCTGTCCCTTCTGGCAGTGGCTGGTCATTTGTGTAGATGTTGAACATGGATGGAGCAAGCATGCTCCCCTGAGGCAGGCCGTTCTTCTGTTTCCGCCATCTGCTTCTCTGGTCCTGGAACTCAACAAAAAAGCTCCTGTTTTGTAGCAGGTTTCCTATGAGGCGGGTGAGGTGGTAGTCCTTTGTGATATTATACATTTTTCTCAGGAAGAGGCGGTGGTTCACAGTATCATAGGCTGCTGACAAGTCTATGAAGACAGCTCCTGTGATCTGCTGCCTTTCAAAGCCATCTTCTATGTGCTGAGTCAGGTTCAGCACTTGCGATGTGCAGCTTTTGCCTTTTCTGAAGCCAGCTTGCTGTGGGATCAGACAGGGGTCTATATTTTCCATAATTCTATGCAAAATAAGTCTCTCCAGAACTTTGTAGAGGTGGCACAACAGGGAGATTGGTCTGTAGCTTTTTGGGTCATTACGGTCTTTGCCTGGCTTCAAGATGGCGATGACTCTTGCTTTCCTCCAGATTTTGGGGATCTGACAGGATGCAGTGCAGTTGTTCATCAGCTCCAGCAGCCAGTGCCTTGCTTTTGGACCAAAGTTCTTGATTTGTTCCATCCGTAGATCATCCAAGCCAGCTGCTTTGCCATTCTTACATTTGTTGAGAGCCATGTCCAATTCAGTAGATGTAAAGGGTTCATGAAGGTTGTTGTTCTCAATCTCTTGTTGTCTGGCTATTGGTTTCTTTCCTACTTTGGTGGCAAGGTTGGGTTTCCCGTTCTTCAAGAGTTGGTGTGCTATCTGATCTGCCTTTATGTTGGCATGGGTATTAGTTTGTGAGGGGTCATTGCTCAGCCGTCTTAGCAACCTCCACGCCTTCTGGCTGCTCCTGCCCATGTCGACCTCTGTGATCAGCTTGATCCACTGTTCTTTCTTGGCTTCAGAGATGGAGGACACAATGCTCTGCGCTGCCTGAAGAGTCTGCTCACTAAATGGGTCTTCGTTGTGGAGCCTGTAATAGTTTTCCAACAAGGCAGCTGTTTCAGGAGTAATGCCCTGAAGGTAGTGGGTTCTGCAGCCTCTCGGTATAGAGGCCCGTGAGCAGGTTTTCACTATTTCAATAAAATGTTCGTATTCCTCAGGGATTGGCACGACCGATGTGATCATGTCATCTAACATGTCTGAGAATTTAGTCCAATCTGCCTTTCTGAAGTTGTATCTTTGTTTAAATCGAACTTCCTGAGGCCTTATTGTTGGGAACAGTTGGCATATTATTGGTCGGTGCTGTGTGTTTGGAATTGGTGGTCCCACTGATTTAGTGCATTGCTGTACAATGCTGTCGCTCACAAATAAGAGGTCTGGGTTATAACCTCGGTGCCATCTCCCGCTGTTGTAGGATGGTGGGAGCTTGCTATCATGGATGAGTGATAGTTTGTGCAGTTCAGACCAGGACAGGACAGCCTCTCCATTTCTGTCCTCTTGGGCATAGCCCCATGTTGCGGTTTGTTAGTTTTTATATTTAAATTACACAGCAGTCTTCCCAGCTCCAGGCTCCAAGTTGAAGTACACAGAGTATAAAAGGAAAAAAATGTCTTTACTCTGGAGTAGTTAATACATGTATTTTATAAAGAAAAATACAGTAGCCTTGACAAACACATTGTCCATGGCAGAAGAAAGAAAACTTACTAAACAATGCATTAATCTGCTTCTTTCCAGCAAACCTTGTAGTGTAGTTCCATCTCTGATTACTTCATTTCACCCACTACCTGCATCAAGAAAACTTCACCTGATATACATCCTAATCAGGGAGTGGTTCTTCCTCAACACACACATATAAGCAAGAGATGATTCTTGTCAAGACTTACAAAATCATATACTGTAACACCCCATACATGGCTATGGCTGTTGAAGTCACCAATTACTACCGCCCTTTGGTGCCTGTGAAAGTTCTCGGGGGAGGAGAAGCAGAACTCTTCATTTGGGGGCTTGTACACAGAGGTGATGGTGATGTTATTAAGCTCTACTGTTATAACCTATAAATAACCTATAAAAATAAAGATTTTTACATCACAAGTAGGAAAACATATTCATTTTGAATAGAAAAGTAGGAAAAGGAGAGATAGAATGTGAGGAGGAGGAAAAGACCCAAAAATTGGGGGGGGGGGTAACAAAAATGAGACCATCTTCTGGGGGGGGGGGGGGGGGGAAAAGGAAAAAATGTAAATAAAAAAGTTGATTTTCATCTAGTCTTTGAAGATCTTTTAAACTTTTTTATTTACTTCATAATTTATCTTTATTTCTAAAGTTATCTGCTTCCCCTCTGTTTCCTCCTTGTTTATGATTTACTACATCTTTACACTGCAGGATCTTATGTAGTTCCATCACAGATACCCTTCCAAATCCTAGTCTTCTTCTGCTTTTTGGACTGTGGTCTCCATTCTGATTTATGACTGAGCCAAGATATGGAATATTTTGAAGTATTTCGATGTCCTCCAAAATTTCACAGATGAAAACTGGGACACATGTGGGCAAACATCATCGAAGTCTAGTCATGATGGTGAAAGTCATTAATAAGTAAGAATGAAGAAGACGAGGCAGGCTGCAACAGTTTGCCTTTGCCTGGATAAGTTTCTCCC